CTAACTCAAATTTTCCACTTAATTAATTAATTGCAATGGAGTAACAATTGATGAGAAGAGTGTTTGAAAAGATGTCATTTTAAAGAAAATGTTATTAAAGCTTCACATGAGAGACAACAGATTATACAGTTATTCAATTTCCTCTTGTTTATACATTATCTGTAGGATATATTTCCGTTTCCACAAGTGGTCTTCGACTTGTGTCTTCCTTTGTGTCTTGTATAAACCGTATGCTCTGGTCATTTCCTTTATGAATACAATTTTTACTTTTCAGTCAATTATTACATTAATTGTTTCATAAGTTTTGAAAATGGTATACTAACTTCCACTAAAAGCTGTTGCTATAAAACGAACAATAACTTTTACAGTTCTTGCTTTACAGCCATTAAAACTTTTATTATTGTTTGCACTTAAATATCGCTTTAACAAAGGATTGATGGATTTTATAACTTTATCACTGAGAACACCTTAACTTTGTTATTAGCTTCATTTGAGCACTCAAATTTCTACTTAAATGCCACGCCATTTAGAAACCTATGATATTGCTAATTATGGCTTTCAAATGTGAAATTTTTAAACGAAAAACATGAAAAGAAATCAAATTCAAATTATCATAGAACATAAATAATTATAAAAATGTTGATATTAATGAAATTTTGAAATTTTTATTCCATAAGTTAACAGTAAGCTATTATCCTTTTTTAAATACTAATTGTTCCTTGCGTAATTTCTTTTCAACATAAATAGATCTAAACATACCAAGTACGATAATACAATGGCATTGTGAACGTCTGCCCCTGAGTTTAATCAATTTATTTATAATGGTGACACAAATGCAAACATCAAGATAAACATTTCCATTACAAAGGCACAATAAATCCTGCAGAATTTATGATAAGTTATCCAAGTAGAAAGATAATTAACAAGATAAACAGACATTTTTACGTAATTTTTAAGATAACTTCATGGTTGTTGGTGTTTTCTTAAAAGTAAAAGTATGTGCTTTCAAAATTGAACATATACATATATGTACTCAGCCAGATATTGACATCAGTCAGATATATTAACTAAAACTTAACACTTGTGTACAAGATACTAGTACACCTTTTTTAGTAAATGACTTTTAGCAATTTATCTCGGTGAGATCAAACAGTTGTCGCGGAGTGTACATAGTGACTCGAGTATTTACTAATGCCAAGGGTGGACTGGACATCGGGAGTCCGGGAAAATTCCCAGTGGAATTTTGGACTAAATAAATTGTATAATTTTACTAAAAAATGAGTTGAATAATTTAAAGCCTTCGAAGGACATGCCAGTTTCAGAATATATGAGATGTAGTACATAACACAGGGTATCTCAGAAAAAGATGGTCCTCTGAAGGAAAAGAAACAGTGACAATAAAAGAAAAGATTACTTTCTAAATGTTTTTATTTAAAGTGCATTTTTTTTAAATGAATTTATTGATACAAAATAGTGCATGTCTTGAAATAATTATTGTAAAAATTTCAACAAATTTTTTTTCATTTTAATCGCACTGATTATTTTTCAAATATAGAACAAATTATTGGAAAGCTAGAAAAGCAAACACCAATGCAAAATACACAGGAGTGTAAACTAGGTCGATTTCAATCTACAGTAATAACTTTGTGATTCCTTTATTTTCTCTAATTTTATTCAAATATTCCGTGATCGATATTCAGTTTCAAAGCATTAAGAGAATGCAAAAATGAGAATTTTTGTTAAAACATACTTTTAAAATCAATCTTTAATACCGTTCAGTATCTTTGGAGCTACTAATGTAGCACTATGAAATGTAATATGATGCTAATTATAACGATTCACCTCATCTCGATGATGACTAGGATCTCAATTACAGAGTTAGCACTGTTCATTTAATAATCCTATCGATTTCGTATTGTTTCTTTAAATATGACTCTACTTGAAGGTATACAAAGAAAAAACCAATTTATCACTGACTGTTGCATGTGCTCCCTCAAGTGTGCTGATACATAATTTATGATCTAGACCATTATTCATAAAAAACTTCTTCAAGCTACGGTTACAACAATTTATTATAAAATGTACCAAGCTTTGATATCAGCTTCTTTATAATGTATGTTTCATAAATACTAAGTAGATCTTTACACTTTTTTTCTAATACATTTAGGTACAAATATAGATATCTACTCACCATCTTATATACTTCTCTGAACCATTTTTCATAAAACGAAAAACTTACTAGATAATAATTTCGTGCAACAACCTAAATTTATATGACGAAGGTACTGCAGCTTTGTTTTGATTCCAAGAGAACGTTTACTCTGCAGTTTGCAGTAAACTGAGAATACTTGACAATAATGGAAGAGAAAAGAAATAATGCATCCCCTATAAACCTTCCATGTGTATCTGATAAGAGCCGAGACACATTCGAAGTTGAAAATATAAACGTCATATTTATCCTGAAGAGCTATCGGATATACGGCTTTTAACTGATCAATATTTACGATCCTGAGTTCAGTAAAGTGAAAAATATATCTAGTATTTTTCTATACAAAATATTTGAAGCCAAAAATAATTAACTACACAATTTTTAATAACTAAACTTTGACTTTGATTAAAAATTAAAAATTCCTTCATTAATAACACCTTGGTGATTGCAAGTTGCTATAATTTTTAAAATTTTGTTTCTTTATATGATAGAGGTAGATATATGTATGGAGATAATATATAGATATTTATATGATATAGGTGTTAAAATTAACACCTTCTCAAAAATTACTCTAAATAAAGTAAGAAACCTCATAGATACAAAGTAGACGGACTTCGTTATAATGATACTAATAGTGATAATGAAGGGATGATAAAGTGATGATTAGTTGAGGGGTGATCATTATGTAACCCCTGCAATCCAATTCAGGTTGCGAAACTTTTATCTTTACTGTTTCAATAGGCTAATTAGGTAGACGAGTCGTGGTTAATTACTGCCAACTGATAACACAGATGTCAGCTACAGACAAATAACATCAGGAACGTTTCTGCGGTACTAAAATGAAAGGATATCGAGATAATTTAATAATTTCATGGAGTAAATAGGATTCAGTACTGCGCTTATGAATACATTCTTGTTCGTAGAAAGCTTTCATGTAGCATTTCATCTGACAATGAGTTTATTAGAAGTAGCTTTTATTCTATTTCGTGTAGTCTCTGTTGAGAGAATTTAAAATTATTTGAAATTAAGGGCATAAGTTTCAGCAGAGGATTAATGTTTATTTAATCCTTTTTAGATACACTGTATAAATAAATATACTGCTGAATCAGCTTGAAAGAGAAAATATTGCATGAAAATAAGCATTCTCAATTTACCAGGCGAACCATATCGTTTTCCTGCTAAGGGAGGTAATTATTACTCAAACGCAGTTTAGCAAATTAAAACACAAGTAGATAAATACGTCATATAATATTTTTTTAAAAAATCAACTTTTTAGTGTAATATCTGAATCACTCTAATATTTTTATTCTCATCAACTGCTATTATAACTTCGCAATTTTCAAAAGATAGAGGTACTACTATTTTCTGAAAATTCGAAGAATATTTAATTGGATTTTTCTGCAAAAGAGAAAACGTAGCTTTGTTATTATTAACAGCGCCGGGTCAAGGGAAGGAATAAGCCCCGCATCTCCCTTCCCAGGAGGTCCTATTATAAACTTTCTATCCATGTCAAAAAACATAAAATAACATTTTTTGTATATTTTCCCTTTTTTTCCGGTTAAATGTTATTTAATTTATTGAAATTTATATTTAGAATAAATATAAAGATTGAAATTTATTATTCATTATAATTTATCATTATTACTATTATTATTATAAATAAATTTTAATCTTTGAACCAAGCTTACCAACCAAGTGGGCCCTTAAAGGTTCAATGATCCAAGGCACCGGAAATCTTAATCCGGGCTTGATCATTATCGTCAACAATAGCATAATTTCATAGTTATTTAACCATTACTAATTAATTGAAGAAGTAGAATGCATGTAAAGGTTCCGATTGAACACCTTTACCTCAACTTTCCTCCAAATAATTAATTTGTGTTATGACACTTTTATTCCTTATGTCTACAACAGGTGGTGTAAAAAATCAAAATACTACATTTTGTTCGCGATATTATTTATGAAACTCCCTTGTTATCACCGATGATTAATTGAGAGAGTACATACGAATGCTTTTGGTGTTCATGGTATGTACCTGCTTGAGTGACGGATTAATTTATCCGACCAGTCCAATGTCTTATCACTTGGTTAAACGCGAAACCTTGCTATTCTCGAGGCAATATCGTTAAACAGGTTTTCACACTTTATATAGAAGACATTGAATCTCACTTAAGGTGTATTTCATGAGAATAAATAGCTACGGGCTATGAACTGTTAATCCTCTTGGAAAATAATTTACCTAAACAAAGTCTTCCTTGTTAGCATTTTCATGTCTAAAGCAGGGATCAGTATTGAGACATGAACACCATAATTAAATAAACATGTTTGAGATACGCTTTTGGTGTCTTAAGCTGCCGACATCTGGAGCTTTCGCGATAGACCGAAATTGCAAACTCAATAATCCGTATAGACCGCGACCAAATAGAATATCTCTAATTAACATAAAATTTTAATAGCTATGGCTACAATCTTAATTTTTTTTTTTATAGATGCACCATATCAGAGCAGTTTTTATGAGAAATTAAGTTGGTTAAAGTGAAATAATTTATTTATATAATATAAATGAGCTATCCATTGAGTGAAATAGTTATTAAATAAATTTTGCTTTGAAATTCATTAATGAATTTTATTTCTATAATAATAAAATGAATGTTCCAATTCCTGTAAAAGTTGCATAAACTAATTAATAAAGCGAAAGCGCGACAGAATAAATCTTCTTTCCTGCTTAGTCGCTAACTAGAGATTATTTACCCTCAGTAAATCATATGCAAACGAAACCTAAATACGAGGGTAAGTATAAAAGGAGTACTCTCTGAAATAACATCATAGTCGAAGGAAGCATTCAACGAACGTAATAAGAAGTTAAGAAATTCATGATGTCTCGTTTAATTTTTGCTTTATTCGCTATTTTGGTAATCTTCTCTGCCTGTAAGTATAAAACAAAGATGACTAGATCACATTAATCAGGCATCTTAATAATACAATGAACGTATTAATTACTCTTTCAATTGTACTACATATATGTAATGTTTTTTATATTATCTAAATCATATCGAATTCAAGATTAACTTTACTTTGATTTATTTTGCATTTTAACATTGAGCAAATATTGAATTATAAAAACATTTAAAAAATTGTAGATATTCCAGGAACCTGTTGTTTCTATACAAATATGCAAACTGTTTCTCTTTATTTATTTATTTATTCAGGTTTCCAATTTATTTTCAATTTATCTTCACTGACTATTCAATTGTTATACTACATTTCTGACAAAAGAATTTACATGTATGTAATAATTTGTAATATTTAAAATACATTACCAGTTAGTTTTCTAATGATCTTTTGTTATACGACTTAGTATATCAACAATAAAACTTCATAAGATTAAATTTGAAATTTATACAATTTATCAATGCTAAAAGTATAAGATATAAATTCTAATAAATTATTTAATACATTGAATCAGCTCAGTCTTCGGCTGACGCGAAATGCCCCGAAAATGAAGTTTGGAATTCGTGTGGTTCAGCTTGTGCACGAACCTGTAAACAGCCTAATCCCATTTGTACCTTGGTGAGTACTTTTCACATTCTATTATAAAGTTCCACATAATAAATTTAATGCGTCATTAAAGAGTTCATTAAGTTATGACCTCAACAATTTCACTCATAATATTTATTCAATTATGCAAAAGGGCTCTGATAATAATTAATGATTTTCGTAATTGATAATTTAATGATCAATTTTAATAATCGATTTGTTTTATTAAATAATTTCATTTGATCCCTTCATTGTTGTTTTAATCGTACAAATCGTAATTTGTGTTTCAGCAATGTGTTAGTCGTTGTCAGTGCAAAGGAGATTTGGTCAGAAATAATGACGGAAAATGCATTCCTCTTAAAGACTGCTAATTATCTCCAGAAAAAATTGTATACCTTGGACACGATGTTAAACTATATTAACTTAATTGCTTCTTTCAAATTTATCACTTGTGATCTAACAAAAATCGAATTATACTTGCTACTCTGTTTGACTTATGTAATATTGAAATGAAAGTTTTGTTCTCAATTGTATTTTCGTGCTTTCTTCTTAACCCTTTCATGGATACATGGAAATCTTGGAATTTAATCCTTTGCGGACGAAACACTTTTCAGCTGGAAATTATGCGTGCATGGCATATTTTCTACTTAAGATAAATTAGATAATAATTTTTCTTATCAAAATACAAACTGTGAATTTATAATGTGTACACTCATAATTTTTATTTGTGTCAAGATAATAAGAATGATTTTCCTTGAGTACGTATCTAAGTCTATCGACCCCAAGGAGTTGAAAAAAAAAACAAAACTGTTACGTATGTATCGGATTTGTTTAAAATATAATATAAAATGTATTATAATAAAGAAAATAAGAAAACTCTAAATATAAGTACATGTACGTTTTTTCCCTTATTCAATTTCACCTTAGTTCCTTTCCCTAATTATACTTTATTACTTTCGCAACCTTAATCATTAGCTTCAGTATTTGAAAAATATTGTAAATTAATTATTGCAACTATAATTCATTGTGTTGTCTACAGAAATTTTGTCATAATGAATAATTCTGCGCGTGCATTGTTTCTCAATGGCGACGTGGTGAGTTCAGGTTCTTAGATGTCGCTGCATGAACATCACATTCATTACAATAAATGATGATTCATAAAATTCAATCACAAAAACATTCCACAATTTTACATTCGAAACTACCTTTATTTATTTTAAAGCAGCTGTAGCAATTGCTCCATAAAATAAAAACAAATACTGAGCTTTTCCAGAAAAATGTTTTTCCAGCTTGTGTAAATAACTCCAGAAGACAATGGCGATATCAAATCTGTCGAATTCTGCGTTATAACTGTTTTTAAACAGGGAAATTTATTGCGTTTTTCTTGAAAAATTCTACAGAATTAATATTTTCATTAATTTGAAATATAGCAGAAAAAAGTGTTAAACACAATTTCCAGTTATAACAGTTAATAGAATTGAGGTTGGTCATTACAGATTGTCATACTGTTATCTCATTACCAGATTAAATCCTATAGTATGCAATTATCGTAATTCACCCATGTCTATTAACCATGTTTTACTACAGTGTCCCAGATTTTCTAGCCACCCAGAAAAACATCCTTTATGTCAATTTTGAGGGTCAGAAAGAATGATAGTCCAAGTTCGAATCAATCTTGACGACCTCATGCGGGGAAACAAAGAAACTCTGGAGGATCCTTGTCTCTCCTACATAAGAAAACAAGGACAGCGCGATAGCTAACAACATGTTGATAAAAACGGCACAAATTTAGCGATTTCGTAATATTTTCTTCTGATTCTTTTGTAAAGAATCCCAATATTGGCCCAATGCCAATAAAATGTTATTGTATAATATAATAAATTTTATTTTATAATCTTTCTCAAGCAAGCACTCAGTACATTGACCGCTACACTTCTGCTGAATATGAATATTATAATTATTACAAGTTTTTCTGATAATTGTCTCGAAAACTTCTACTTTACTCAGAATGTTGGTGTAATTGATTCAAAAAGAAATCTCAGGGATCATCAGGTATTACATTTAATGCTGCAATTTATAAAAATATTGGTTTTTATCATATAATGACAGGGTTCAATTTATAATTAATTTTTATAGAATTCGCTAGTTCAAAATCGCAGTGACCCATATTACTATTGTTTCATCTAAAATTCAGTAGCATTAATAAGCGCAGATCTCTGATCTAACCCTCGGAGGACGAATACTTAGTGTAGACGTCGCAGAAATACATATAGAAATATAGCAGATATATGTATAGGTCGTAAATCTCGCCTATCTATAAATGAGTTTCGTTTCATTTACACTCGACTAACTCAAAAGATGGGAATGGTCGATTAGAACCTTCAACCGATGTCCAATTCCGTACCGTGTCCATTTGTAATCGATTCTTCCGTTACAACGTATTTAACCTTCAGGTTGTGAACCGCTGAGTTAGCTTTAATTTAAATTTGATGCTAGATTTACTTCCACATTTCTAAGGATTACATTATTTCTAGATGAAATTTTAGAAATTACAAATCCACTATTGAATGAACTGCTCTTAATTGATTACCTTTCCTTATCGATAACCAAAATTTGGATACTGAAGTATTACAAGACATTTTGCATCCTTTCTTCACACTTACAATAAGTATGTGGACTTTACACTTTGCAAACATGTGGATAAAAAGGTTTCAAACACTCGATTCAATGAGTACAGATAATATTATCTTCCACTTGTGTCCACTACTTGCACTTTACGTTCGTTTCAAAACAAATACGATCAAAACAGAGACACAGGTATCCAATTTGGTATATATATAAGTCAAGATGTTGCAATTTTCATAAAATTCAACGATAGTATTGAAGAAGCTCTGTACGAAGCAAGAATGTCTCGCCATCTTCTCGTTTCATTTGCCATATTGGCAATATTCTGTGCCAGTAAGTAAATGGAAACATAATTACTACTTCTTAAAAAATTCATTTTATAATTACAGTTTTCAAATGTTTCATTTTCGAAATAAATTAAAGAAAAGCAACGTAAGTGCTAAAGTACAAAATACCACTAAAAAATATTTTATTGTACATCAGTTGAAGCGTTTTCTAGTTCTCTACAAAAGAAGTATTAAAGTAGTTCGATCGAAAAATTCATTCGAACAAAATTCGAGAGACAGGGAGAGCCTAGGGTCTATAAAATTTTGTTGGAATTGTGTACTTTACTATGCATTAACCGAAGCGTATTATTATTTTCTATATAAAGGTATTAAGGTATCTGTGTAAAAAATTGAATAATTGAAAAGATATCTCAGGGAAAGTCAGAAAGAACTTAGCGATCTCTCCGCTATATCTCTTGAACTAATCAATTTACGACCAAAATATTTTAATACCTTTCTGTAGAGAATAAAAATACGCTTATGTTGACGTATAGAAAAATACATAGTCCCATTAAAAAAAATGAAGATCACCTTGTAATCTTTGAAACCCCTCCGCTTCCGAAACCGACACGTGCAACCGACAAAATTCGACACTATTTTATATTGTTTAATGAAATTTTTCTCTATCTTCTACCGTTTTAAAAATATAAGTTGGCCTAATTGCATGGGACACTGTAAATGTCTTTCACGGTCAAAGAATTGAGTTATTTTCTTTCATGTCATACTACTAATTATGGAATATTTTCTATATAATGTAAGAATTTTTTATTAATTGCTACTTGTTCTAATTGTGACAATTATAATAAATTACAGTGACATTAAGTTCAAACCTCGATGGACATGATGGAAAGATATCTCGTGTAGAGGTAGTAGGTATTGATTCAAAAGATCACGGAATGAATCACGGAACTGGTCACGGAATGGATCACGGAATTGGTCACGGAATGGATCTCGGAATGGATCACGGAATTGGTCACGGAATGGATCACGGAATGGATCACGGAATAGGTCATGGAATGGATCACGGAATGGATCACGGAATAGGTCATGGAATGGATCACGGAATAGGTCATGGAATGGACCACGGACTCGGCCATCAGTTAGACGGCCACGTAGATCACCTATCACTCGGTCATGACCAACACATACCACTCGGTCATGGAATGCCACTCGATCATGGCATACCACTCGGTCACGACCAACACGAAATACAAATTGTTAAAATACCTGAAATACACGAACATGAGCAACCAATTCTCTCACATGATAGTCATCATGATCATGGAAACCATCATTGTCCGAAAAATGAAATGTGGTCAAAATGTGGAGCTCATTGCGAACCATCTTGCAAAAATCGCAATCCCCATTGTTCAAAGGTTAGTATTTCAATGTAACATTTATCATTTTTATGTAGTATCGAATGTATATATAGTAACTCCATTTGTGTGACTAAGATCTTTGTCTGGGACAGGTCTAGTCCTTTGACTTTACCAACTCGGTAACTTAATTGTTTAGAATTTTGGAATTTTACAATTTTACTATTTTAGAATCCCAGATTTATTTCACAGGTCTACATTTTTGGGGGGCTCTATTTTGCTCTATTCTATCAAATACTAATTGCAATTTGAGAAAGTAATTTTATGCTGTGCATTAAATTAAACTCTGAAACATAATTCTCTCTAACATCTTCCATTAAACATAAAAAGGAACGTAATATTGCACGAGTTATAGATTTCACGAAATGTTTAGCCGTCAAACTGAAAACAGTATAAATTGATCCTAAATCCTGTTAGCTACTAAATCATCCAAGCTTTTCAGCAAATGTAATTGGATGAAGTTATATTTCCTTTGTGACTCGTATCATCTCGGTCCTTTTTCCAAATCCTGAAACGCATCAAAATGCTGAGGTACATTATCATCATCATTACTTTCATCTTTCGTTTCATTTTTCCAAGCGCTCATTTTTATCTTGTTGATATTGCACTGATATGTGACCCAGTAGAATGTTAAATTTTCGTTGAATTCCAAATTTCATATCATTTCTTCAGTTTTAGTTTGCTATTTCATATCATTCATTTGTAGAGCTGTTCAACAATTTTTTTCCTTTGGTGTTTACTGAACTGTTTAAATTAGATTTGTATCACTAATAACTTGTTATCCCATGTGCATTTAACGCATTTAATTGTGCATTTAATTAAATAAGTTTCGCTAGAAAGAACATAACTTTTCGTATTATTTAAAAATATTTGTAAAATTATTAAGTAATAACTAACTCTGGCCTATATATTCGTTCTATGTTTGATATTATTTATAATTAAGTGATTCTAATTGTAAAATAATTTGTGTTTCAGATGTGCACTGCTGGGTGCGTTTGCAGAAAAGGTTTAGTGAGAGATGCGCATCATCACTGTGTTAAGAAATGCCACTAATAATTATTTGTATCCATCAGTTCCTTGGGAGATTTTTTTGATTTATCTTTGGCCAAAGATGTAATTTGATATTAACCAGAATTCTGAGTTTAAAAATAAACTTCAATATATCAGAAATTTTTGTGTTTTTATTAATTTATAAATATTCCCTCCTACTAATTTTTTAGATTTAATTGTAATTGTAATGGTAATCATAATATTTTATACTATTTATGATTATTCAGAAATACAAATATGGAACTTAAAAAAAAAGTGGAAACGTGGATCAGAGACGACACCCAGCGACGTAAAGAGGCCACAAACGTGATAAACATTTTGGCAACTGTATCAAGGGATTCACGTGCGAATCCAAGGCAGGTTGAACATGAAAGTGACATTAGTCGACGAAGTATTTTACGTACACCTTATTCTAATGACCCATATGTTTACCATATTTAATTCCATTGACAATTATTCAGCAATGGCTTCCAAAATTTGTGAAATTTATGGAGGTTGCAAAATGATAACGTATATGATAAAAATTTTATTTATGAACCAAGCCACATTTACAGATCATGGGCAAATAAATGAACGTAATGTACTGTGGTATGAATAATTATATAGGGACAAAGTAATTTTTTACAAATTCTACGAACATGGGGGTGTGTTATAAAAGAGAATTTTTTTATAACCCTTGGTCGTGAATAGTATAACATTTTTGAATTAAAATATAAGATTTATATAAAAGTGTATTTAAAAAAAAAAGATAAAATACAATGCAATTTATACCATTCATAATTTATCTACAGTTAATTTAAATATTAGAAAAAAATTAAACCATTGACTATCGTATTGGTTATATTATTTTTACGGCGCAAAATATATTTCTGATATATAGAATATACATTAACTTAATTGCTTCGAATTTTCCATGAACGTATAATTATCCCCTTTACAGACCAACAAAGGCCTTGGTCTGTCAATATTTAATGCGAACTTCTTGATAACAAAATAGTAGTTTCCATTCTGTTAACAGAAGCTTAAAAGTTGCAGGTAAGTAAGCAGAAATTTTAACAGACGTTCTATTACAGTTATTAGACAACGTTCTATTAGATATAAAATATACTGTAAAAAAATGCCGTTTCTTTATTTCTGGTGATCTTTTAAAATCTTGTAAATATCCTAATTGAAATTAGAACAAAGATTTTTTATCAAAGAATGTGAATAATGAGCAAATTCTATGTAAGGAATTATACAAAATTTAAGATATGAAAAATATACAAAAATTTGGTTTAAATTTGAATAAATGTAAATGAATTAAAAAAATTTCTAGTATTATATGAAAAGTTAAACAAAAAATCTACTGACAGATTTTTAATTAGTTTATTCGCATTTAGCAAATTTGTTACGTATCTTTCAAAAAAATTGATAAGAAACAGTGTTTCCAAAAAGCAATTTACGTAAAATTAAACAAACCATGGTTAATTTAATCCATTAACAAGAACCAGCAAATAATAATCAAAACATGTGGTACTTTTCCTGCAGTGTGCAGGTACCAGTCATATTATATAACGCTAATAAATTTTGTTATCTTGTGTCACGAAACGGAGATCCAAAAATCAAATAAATCGGAAGCAGAATACATATATTCAATCTTCGTCTTTTTTCGAGGGTATCATCTTTTTAAAGCCATTTAAATCAAACTCAAACAAGACAAAAGTGTAAAATGAAAGAACGAAATCAGTATAAAAGCGAGACATTTGGAACTCTTTTTACAGATTCAAAGGAACATCACCAAAATCTACCTACAATCAAAATGTCTCGCCTTCTCCTTTCTCTATTGGCTATCTTAGCAATCTTCTCCGTCAGTAAGTAACCAAACTTCTAATAATATTAACCAATATTCTTAAAGTAAAGTGCTAATTTATTTTTGTCTCACAACCATTATAATTATTTCTAATATTCTCAAGACTTGGTAAATTCGTAACGAGCTTTACTATATTTCTTTCTAAAATAATCAAACTGTTAATTTCTTATGATTTATAGTTGATTTATCAGCGCGTTACTACCAGTTGTTACCGTATATAAATTCACGAATGCTTACTTCAAAAGTTTCGATCCAATTTAATTACTGGTGATATTGCAAAGTGCCGTCGACAAAAACAAAAATTACTTTAATGAACTGCTGTTATTTCAAGAATTTTAATCGACATGTTTTTACATGAAATGTCGAAGATATCGAATTTTACTTAAGGAGTTAATCATTTAATATTGCTCGCTAAATCATCAAATCATTCTATAAGTAATACAAATTCTAATGAAACATTTATTAAATTGAAACAGCTGTTTCCTCGAAGCAGGTTTGCCCGGAAAATGAAGAGTGGCAGTCTTGCGCTAGTCGTTGTGAACTAACTTGTGAAAAACCTGACCCGCGACCCTGCACTTTGGTATGTATTTACTTTTTATTAACAGTTTAACTTTCAATTTATGAATCAAATAAATACGAATATTTAACTTCAGATTTTTGCAATTAATAATATTCAGTTGGAATACTTGACGTATCAAAAGTTGGTAAAGAAATTAATGACCCAATAGTCGTGTTTTTGTACTAATAAGTGTTCTTTTGCAATAATTTCATGTTATCAAACTGCATCAAATTTTCTATATTTCGAAGTTAGTCATTTGATGTGTAACAACCTAATACGTAGCAATTAATCAGTGGCTAGAGTTGAAGTAGCTGATCAATTGAAAGTGGATACAAGATTAGTAGAAACGCATGAATCGCCAATTGCAAGTGTGCAATAATATGATTAATAAAGGAATCAATATTTCCATCAGTTTCTGTATACTATCGCAGGAGGTATTTCTGACACCAGTTTAAAGCTGAAGGTCTCTAAGCTTTGCAATTAAGCTAAGAATACATGTTGAAACACGTATTTTATGATATGATAAATTTACGTAAACAATCATTGAAAATTTGCATAAGCATTTGAAACACAACTTCAAAACAATGCATGAATTACCATATCCGTAACTGTTAAATTACAATATCAATATGGTAATTAATGCTTTGAAAAAAATTTAATTTATTCATTCGTTTAAAAATTGCTTCATTCATTGTTAATTTTCCACGTTCAAGGTCCATAAAAATAAACGTAGATAGACATCTGTTTGTTCGTAGATATGAAATCAAGATAAGTAGGTGCACATATATTCAAGCATTTTAAAATTTGCTTTTCTTAGAAATAAAGCTCCAAATAATGGAAATTTATTTCATATTTTCGACTTTTTTTATACAAGGTCGTACTATTTTCTTGATTCAATTACTAATTTTAACATATTCGATATATTCTACATCATTAATATCTAAATAATAATTAAAAAATTTACTATCAGATAATTTTGTTAAGATTATTAATTGAAGATAATATTCTCGTACCAATTCAATCGATACTGATTCATTTAGTAAATGAAATTTTTACCTTGTAATAATTTGTGTTACAGGAATGTGTAAGAGGCTGCAGATGCGTCGATGGACTGATTAGAAACAGTTCGGGAAAATGTGTTCGACGTGCAGAATGTTGATCACTTGTGGAGTGACATGTTTACCTTGAACCCAATGCAAAACCAGATTAATTATTCTTCCATTCGTATTTGAACATGCAATAATTTCTATGGAAATTATTTTATAATGAAATATTTAAGTATCTGTTTTTATGTACATAAAGACTAAATAAATATCTGTATAAAAATACTAATCAGAACGGTGTTTTCTTATTTCACACTGTTCACTAAATCATTCTTCAATCAGGAAGAAGAAGTTTCATTTCTTGTTTGAACTCTGCTATAAATATAGCAGAGATGTAAATTGCATTGAAGCCGCTAAAAATATGAAGAAAATGTAATGGAACTGAGAAATTTTCAATATTGCTTTCTGAAGTTCTGTGGTGGAAATTTTAATATTGAAGATGAGGAATGTTCCGGATATCCGTCAAATATTGATATCGAAGAGCTGTGGTTGAAGTTGACCAATGTCAAAAGTTTCAAGGAATTATATAAAAATTAAATTTTTCAATTACAAATCTATTTCGTCATCACACTGTAGATGTTTATGCAAATATATATTTTTATAACATATTTTCTATTTCCAATTAATTTGAATTATTATCTTAATTCCTACACTTTAAACAACTCATTTCGTTTTCTTATACATATGTACCATTTAGATTATTTATTTTTTGCACATTCTAAACGCATAAACATCCGCAGTTTCTTCACCATGTAAAATATCAATTACAATTAAGCTACTTCATATAAGAGTACAAAAATATTTACATCTATATAGAAACATTACTATACTTCACTTTCTACTATCTCAAGATTGACGAAACAAAGCCCAACTTGGATACAAGGGGCAAAGGGTAATAAGAGGGGAATGGAATAATTTTGATGAAGAAAGCATCAAAGGGATATGTTCAGTCACAGCGTTTGCAAGAAAAGAAGAGGAACAACTAATTAGACTCCGGGGGACACACACCCTTTCACATTTAATTAAAAGATAAAAACTAAAAGTCCCGAAGTACAGAATATACGAAGGAGAAGAAAATTGTACCAAAAGATAATATTATTTTCCCAAAAAATTATTATTTATTATATTAAATAATATTAAATCATTGTAATATGTATCCAATTTTTTTAATTGAATTAATTAATTAGTTTTAATTTTAATTTCATTATTATCCAGTCTTATTAAAGGTATAGTGTTCTGTTTAATTATGATGTAAGTAATTAGTGTTTTCGTAGGTCTAGGTCAAGATTTATTTGCCTTCATTTGAATGTTAAATTCTCTTATCAAGAGCAAACAACTAGCACTGATAAACATAGTGACATCATCTTAAACATACCATGAACCTGTCGCAAAAGTGACCTCTGAAAAACTAAAACAACTGTTACAAGATGTCGTATCTCATTTTTCATATTTCCCTTGTTAGTGGTGACATGTTTTTAATTGAAGTGAAAGGTAGGATAAGTCTGAATGCTGTCTGACTTCGATAGATTTATAGGCTTGGACTTATACTACTGCCTACTTGGTAGGAGGATGACACACAATTTCCATATTATCCTGTCACCATTCTAACGGATCTTTTTGATTTACAAATAAAAAATAAATTAAGCAGACTATTGATGAGTTCGTAGAAATGAAAAATCATAGATTTGTTGTCATAGAATTAAGTGGAAAATATATAGACACGTAGAAAACAAATAAAAATACAAAATACAGTTATTACGTCCTGCATTATTATTATCTAAAACCGTCAGAACTGTTGCATTCACCTAATATTATTATTTATCACAAACATCGAAAACACGTTTCTAATAATTTTCCCTAATAATTATCATTTAAGTTTAAAAGTTCTAAAACCGACTATTTTGCGAAAAGCGATAAAACATAATATTCATTTTCTTTTTTTTTTCACGACCAGCTTGATACACCTGCTGTTGTTATTTGTACATATATTAACTAAAATCTGTTCAACAGATGTTAATCTGAAAAGCGATTCTCAAGATACATCTCTGAATTCTAAATTCAACGAGCAAAGAATTTGCATTCAATACTGATTCAGCGAAGCGAAATTAATGAGTTCGAGACCAAATATAATTACATTGCGACATCTCTCGAGTAATTACCAACCATCAAAGAGAGGCACGAGTTTGTCTTGTTTCTAAGTACACGTTTACTATATCGTAGGCTACCACTATATGGTGGTAGTAGGAATTGTAGGCAGTGATGGATATTCGAAACTCCCTCTTGCAAGCTCTTAGACAATTCAAGCACGTTTGAGCTTTGGATCACTCGGAATTTTATTTAAACTCTTAAAGTCTTGAAACCAGAGTTGTCTAAGAATTGCTCTCGTGCTAAATTATGCTCGCAAGGTGATAGTATTTACAATAATTATACAAGATTGAATTATATAGAATTAAAATCAACCTCAACAACTAGCAATGATATCGACCGATACAGTAATAATGTACAGTACCAAGCATGATAGGTTTCCCTAGGGCAAATCGCGATATCTCGATCGTCCCTCCCTACCTTCCGAGTTTTTGGATTCCGCGATTTCTAGCTTTTGCCGCACTATTATAACCTTACATTTAAAATGTTTATTAAATTTAAAGTTTTTGAAGAATCTTCTTCAGAATGAAATAACAAAGTTGTGATTTAAGAGTCTAAAAAGATCCACCAAAGGCCATGCAAGTGTTAATTAAACAAATTACATGCAAAAGAGTAACGTGTTATGACAACTAACCTTCAGACGTCACAGCACGATCTTTCCAGGACGAAGCTTGGTACGAGACTGACGATCTATCGATGTAAACACAACATACTCGTCTGTAATGCTTCTAATTTCACTGTTATACATATTTCTAACAATTTATACGGTGATCACTAAATACCGACGGTGGTTTCCTTACTTTCACCTGAAAGTAAAGTATAATTCCCTTAAGCCATATAAATACAGTGAAATATCGCGGGGCGGGTTAAATGAAAAATTTAAATTTTCACGGGTAAACTGTTCTATTCCCTTAGACTTAATACATGTATTCCGAAGCAACGATGGGGCGTTGTATAATCGCAATATAGGGTTTCGGAGCGCTTGAATAATCGCTGAAGATAAACGTCTATTGCTTGAGAATAAGTAAGAACGAGGGGTAGCAACGTTGAATCATCCAGCGTAACCACATAATGTAATGAATTTACTGTTCTTGCAATTTCTCTGGAATAATTTCTGCGTCAGCGTGCAGACCTACCATTCTATTTTTAAAAAAATGAGGGTGGCCGCTGTAGTTGCCTCCTGGGGGATAATATCTTTTGTCAGACAAAAGGGTACTTTAAACGGTGAAACAAAAAGAATCTCTATTACTTCTCTGTATTACTACGCCCTGTTACTTCTTTCAAAAAAATACACCTCGTGACTCTTTTCATTAGAATCAACAAAGATTATTGTTTAAGAAGTCAGTGCATCGCGGTACATAAACTGGTAGTAATACAGGATACTTATTCAATTTTTTTTATCTCCAATCTAAGAATAGTGGGAAAAAAAAGAAGAATGGTTTTAGGAAATTTTATGTGAAACGTTTTACCGATTCTTTATTTTAAACCTTCAATTCTCGTGATTGATGATTCGTATACAACATACTTTAAACATCCCCATAAGAAATAATGAATTGAATAAATTCGACGAAGGTGCTGACCAGCAAATCGGTCCTTTCGTGCTGATAACACGTTAGACGGTCTTGATATATGTATATCAAAGTTAATGTGGCGAATAACCCTAACATGGGAAAGTTGCGTGTCGAGGTAAATCAGAAGAGCGCAAAATTCAATATCCTCTGTTTCTGTCCTTAAAACTTCAGGAACTTATATTGAAAAATATATATATGTATATATACTGATCGAATTTAGTAACCTCCTTCTTTTTCAAAGTCGGTTAATAAAAGGGAAGTCATTCATAAGTATCTATCACTGCCGTAGTAGTCATTAATAATGAAAATATGCAAAAGGGTTGTAGAAGATAAAGGATTACAGTCACATATTTGCTTTAATATTAGAGGCGATATAAATTTATTGAATCAGATAACCTTTGACCCTGTTTAAGAATGCATTGCTGCTAACATATTCCAACATGCTACATATCATCTCCATATTAGATGCAGGTGACAACTAACGTGCAGAGCATATCATTCTGGTGTAAAAATATCTTCCATTATTGAATGTAAATTTGAGAAAATTAACAAAATTTTAAATAATTTCAATGCGAGATATTATTATTCATAAAGTTTCCTTTCTTCTTCTAAATAACTCGTTATCACAAGAGCAATATAAAACTATGATTTTAATTTTAAATTTAATAAGTCACTCTTAATTACACGCGTTTAAGACACTTTGAAGTGAGGAAGATGAAATGTAAAAAGTGCTTTTTTCCAGCGCAAGATTATAATCAGATTAGTCCATCAAAGTTATTTGCGCAACAAGTTTCTGAATGAGTACGAACAAAATCGCAACTGACAGCGTTCAAGAATGGAACAGGATTTTTCATTACGAGTGGTTTCTTATTAGAGTTTAAAGTAATCCAGATAGTTTCCAATAAAGTTTCCGCTTTCAGTTAAATCTTTGTTCCATTTCAAGGTGTGCCTGAAAGTCTTCAGAGGTGTTCCTGTGGAAATACCTCCACTAAAAATCAATGTTCAGTGTAACTTTCGTATTAGTCGTAGAAAAGCTATTACTGCGAACGCCATGGACCATATAAATGAAAAGGAAGGAATAAAAATCAAACTGCTTTCTGCGATAGCATATTAGAACTCGTAAAAAAATTCTTCGTTGAAAAATTTCAGTTCACATTGCAGGTTTTCATTTCAGAAACTTGATAATGAAATATTAATTTCTGTATGTGCATCACATTTTCATTAATTTAAATTTATATAAATAAGATAACTAATTCCATAATGAAATGAAATGAATTTATGAAATGCATGGTACATTTTGTTTCGATATTACCTTATTTGTTTTGTTTTTTATTTTTAACTTCAAATTAGTTATTCGTCACACAGATGTACAAACATAATTATTATAAATTTATGTTAAAAGAAATATGATTAAAATGCACTTCAGTATCGATTTTTCATAAAGGAACTTTATGCTGTCATGGAATAATTAATTCACAGTTCGTTACTCGATATATAATTTCTATAATCAAATGAAAATATTACGATTTCAAATATTAATTAAGATATTAACATTACGTGTTAATAAATTAGCAACGAAATATGTATGGAATGAATTTGGAAGAGGTAGCATTAAATTTATCCCAAATAAATACATTCATTTTAACTTTCCATAAAAAATAATAACAAGCTTATATTTATGTTGTATTACGACGAGAAGAAAATAGGTACGTAAGAATCTGTCGAACAAATTGTACAAGTTACACGATTCTGTTTATTGGATCTGTGTATATTCAATAGGAAATTCTACGGTTCATATTCAGCGACACGAACTTCCAGAACAACTGATAATACAATGTTAACAATAAGTAAAATTAAAGCTACTTTATATTCATAAGTTCGAAGTCTCTATAATGTCAGAACGGTTATCCATGGTCTTGTAAGTACAGGAGGACAAGTCTTTCAAAATCGAAATCAAAATTGATCTATCTTTCTCAACAAATTCTGAAACAGTGCAATTAATATTTCTGTTAGGTAAGAATTAGGTTACTCGCAGTCAGAGGCAAATGGATTAAATGTGAATAATGAATGGGTTTTACAGCGATTTACAGTAAATTGAAACAAGTTTAATATTACGGATAGCATTATTTATGTCCACGATAATCTACATCGTTATCCGTTGAAATGCCTTTGGGTACTAATTGATTTGGATATTAATTTAAAGCTTTGACGTGACCAATGGCTGCAGCACCGTGGCAAATGCAATAAATCAATTATTGAACAAATTTTTGTCGTAATCATTTATACGATATTACTTCTCTAGTTGTAAATTAAACACCAGTTTCCATTTTTAATTTTACTTTCCAGAAATGTTTCCTCTTTTCAAGTAGAAAAAAGAAGAAAGGTTGTTTAAAGATTAAAATATTTATTTGAATATTCTTTCATTTGGAAAAAAACTTAAGAAGCTGTACAATCAAAAATAATTATTTCTTAATAATTATTGTTTATCTGTAAAATCATTAAAGTGTGAATAAATAGTTGATAAAAATAAATTACCTATTGTAGTACGTTTATCCTGTTTTACTGGAGAAAAATAAATAGAAAAGCAACAAACAGTCATTTAATTACCATTAAGAGTATCAATGATACATTTAGGTAATCAGTTTCATCAAATCTTCAGCTTCCTATGTCATAAATGCTATTTTGTGGTACAATAGAATCTTAATTATCGAAACTACTCATGACACGTGCTGTTAGGATAATTAAGCGTTCCATCAAACAATATTCCAATAATTGCATGCTCCGTTAATCAAAGTTCTGATAATCGATCCTTTTGTTAGTCAGTGTTCTGATAATTAAGATTCCACTGTGCCTTCCACTATACCTTCGTACCATCAAACTACATGCCTCGACGTATATTTCCAAACCTGTCATTTTCAAATCCAATGAATATCTGATGTTTTTTCAGCTTTTTGCCACATGCGGCCGCGTATTATTGTGCACGGTATGACCTACCTACTCCCATTTCCGGTGAACTACACCAGCCCACTACACTGATCTGCTGTTTTCTGAGCTTATATCGGTAACAGTTTCGGTTTTAGAGTTGATACTCCTAACTTAACAGGTAAATTATTTCGTGCAATAACTACTTGAATATGTGTTCAAATATTAATGTGACTGCGATAAATTTTTAAAAAAAGAGTTCCATATTTTGAGAAATAATATTTTTAAAAATAGTGTAAATTTTGGAAAATGAAGATAATATATACAGAATAGCATAACAAATTTTTTAATTGTAACTATTCCAATAGTCAATCGTTTCAGGATAAAATAAGGATAATTGCATATTTTTATTTGTGCCCAAAAAATAATGAGGCGAAATAAATTCAAATAATTATTAATAAATAAATAAACTGGATACTGCTATGCGAAATATAGTGTTAAAAATATCACTAAGAAATATAATGATGAAGGGGTAGCTATTCTGCGTGACTGATTGAAGAATAAGTCACTCATAATTTCCTCTAGAATCTGACAGGAGGGATTAAGCTGCCACAGACGAAACGGCAGATTTATTCACGAAACTTTCAACAGTTATAACTTCGTTATAAAGAACATTCATTAATCAAAACAAACTCTCCTTAATGAAAATGAGGCAGATGCGTAAACGCGACGAAACAGAACAGAAAGTTGAAATGCCATATCTTACTTTAGCTTTAGACGGATGAAAAACCCGAGAATTTCAGGTTTGGTTGGATTAGAAATTTTTCTTGGAATAAATCAGTTTTTCAAAAGTATGTCACAACATAAGAATATCAAGATTCTGAAAATTTTGCAATTAATCATTTTTACTTTGTAATTTGCTCCTCATTACGAAATTTTGCAATAACCAAAATAAATGGTAATTTGTTGCAGCGATGCGAGGGGAATATGGGAATTGTATAACACCTGACAAAGCTTTGTAAAACAATTCGTGAATGTCACTCTGATGTATTGTTTGCATTCTATTGTGTGATCTATTGTACCAAGAACACTCTTGAATGCAGTGTGTAGTCATTTCCACTGAATTCTAAGCTTCTAATTGATCTATACAGCACAAAAGCATACCACCACATTGCAGCGATATTGTAGTATTGTTGCAGAAACATTGTACATATAGCTACAATGTTGCAATATTGTTTGAACAATGTTGCAACATTTCAAAATCAGTCATTTGACATGTAACAACCTGATTCATTTCATTACACATGCATTATTTTCATATTTATTTACTTTTTTCACTCACTTACCGTAACAAAATAATCTACAACTTGTCCCTGTTTCTAAAATTGCAAGTTCCACAGAGTCTATAAAATACTAATAATAAATTAGTGAACAATTTGACCAAATGAACAAATTAAGTAGGTTTCTACTTAATTATAAACAACAACCAACTGTATAAAAGATAATAAGTTTAAATCAGCTGAGAAATTTCGTAGTACAATTACGAAAATTTCTCAGAAACCCATATTCTGATTTATTTTATTCATAAAGTTTGCAATTGTACATTTGACACGCTTAAGAATACATTTTTGTATGTTTCTTTACAGACATAAGACGCATTTATACAACACGCATAAAATGATTCTCAACACTTTCGGTATGACCATTTTTGTCATAAAACGTTTTCGTACGTTTGTATATTAAATTGTTAACTTAATTGTAATTTTTTAATTTTCATAGCATCTCCTATTTTGAAATGCAAACGCTTTGCGTTGGACGACTATGGACCATAGTAATCAAGGGATTAACTTGTTAAACGTCGTAGTGAAAATCGTACCCTATAACTATAATTATTCAGAATACGATCGTTCCATTTTCCAATTTAAATTTTCCACTTGCCATCTTACGAAAGTGGTATAATACCAATGCAATCTAAAATTTTCCTTAATTTTTTCTTTCATTCAAACATTCGATTATATCAACCCTTCAAGACTCGACATTAGTAAACCATACCGACACAGAAATTTTCTAATAAAATAAGAAATACAGTAAAGATTCGATAAAAGCTAAACCCTCGGGATCAAACTTTTACTTGCCAACACCTTCGAACGTGTAAAAGGACGGCGAGTTAAAGAGGAACTCCCGATTGTCACGATCACGGGTTCTCTTTCTTTTTCATTCGCTATTCTTCCCTGTGACCGAAACTTATTATCGTCAATTTAACAAATAAATAAAATGTCATAAATATCCTGGTAAAAGTTTTATAAGAAAAGAATGAAAAATAAGTTCAGCCGTTGCATTAGTATTACTTCACTGATATATCCGATCCCAGATCGTATTACATTGCTCGGCAAGCGAACTATACGTCTAATGGTGAGGATGAGTTCTTCACTTTCATCGTACACATTTTTTTCGCTTTCATCGAATCTTTACTGTACCAATATTTTAACTACAATCCAGAAAACCACAATTTTGGAAGCTATGACAATTTACATATGTAACAAAATTACATATCAATGTTAAAAGGGTTAAATTTATAGTGCCAATTATTAATAACCCACACGGCATTCAATATATTAATTTACCTTAATATTTAAAACATTTACACCATAAAAAAATTGAAGAATACCCAAAGGGTAAATAGAAACAAGTTATAACTCTTCCATATATCTAATTCACATCAACCAAATAAATATTATAGAAAAAAGAAGGAATAACTTATTTATAAGTACTTCGAAAAACATATGCCTCAAAATCACTAAAAGACATACGTACCAGTGTGTCTTGTGATTCACGTAACGCGTTTGTGCATGGGACAATTAAAATAGGTCCTTCAGTTATCAGTCATAGAGAAAATTTAGATTGTCCACGCAGGATGTTCTCGATGAGTAACACTGTGAATCGTTATTCGCAAGACACTTCTCTTTAGGTAAATGAACCCTGTCAGTAGATGGACGCCATGATATTTTTAAAAAGAAATCGTCCTGCTCGTTACCAGTCTGTAGCAGCGGAACGTTTGATCTTGGATTTTCGAGGTAGGACACGTTCTGCCTGTACTAGACCCGATCTTCCTCTTCCAGTAATCTCATCACCTCTGAAAATAGAATCTACGTGTAACAATGAAGTTAACATCAATCTTCTAATTGTAAGTGTAATGTGTACAGTGCTGGAAATGGTAGGCTTCCCTAGGGCAAATAGCAATATAGGGAGAAGTTCCATAGGATGAAAAGTCGAGTGAGGTGTACTTTGTCTCAGCGAACAGTGGGTATCTCAAGTGTAAAAACAAATATCAGTCGAATCCAACAAGAAAAGTTGGACAATTCTAAAATTTAAAAAAGAATGTGAAACTTTATAAAAATGTAGCTCAAACGGTTAAGAATAAGCAGTCAACGATAAGCAATTAACGTTGAAAGCCCTTAAGCACTGTTCGCAGGCGAGGTGTTAATTTGGAAGATCGAAGTGAAGAGCAACGTTATACGCTAGCGATATAAACCACCTGTTACATCCGACTCTCACGTGTTTGCTGAGTTTGTTAACAAGTATGTAAGTATATCTGCTAGTGTTACGTGTCTGCAATATACAGTTTCGAGCAAAGAAGGGTTCCCGACGAAAAATTGCAATATAGAGGAAGGGAGAATTTTCTAAATTCTAATTTTGACTAAATTAAAGTTTAATGGTATTAGAAATAAAAGAGGGAGCTGGGGGGGGGGGGGGGGGGGGGGGGCAGAGCATTGCCATTTTTCCAGGGGAACCTACCATGCTCAATGAGGTACAAAACAGAGAAAATAACGTTTAACGTTTCTTATTTAATTTTTTGTGTCTTTATATTGATAAATGTTTAAAAAAAAAACTACTGTTGAATACCAAATTATATATGATTTTAAAGTAGTTATTCCACTTATTGCCAGTCTGTAGTACTTTATCAATTTTGGTACCTTTTCTCTACTTCAGCGATACTTCAAGAGGGTAGACTTCCATGTACGTGATGTAATATACCCTACCTTCTATGCGTAGGGGTTCTTATAAATTCAAACTCGTATATCTCGGCAAAAGAAAATCATATGAAAACGTTTGAAAATAGATTTTAAAGTGGAAGAATGGTATGTATTATTGAAAACCTCCGACAGAAATATGCGAGGAAAATTTCTACTCTGGCTTTAATTCAATTATTTCAAAACCCGAAGGTAACTAATAAGTTCTAACAATTTAAAATTACTAGACTTCTCGAATATAAAAAGTAGAACCTATAAAGCAATAAATCAGTATTATTTTAATATTATTTATAATAACATTTTACACCAGTTTCTTCCTCGTTCAAGCACCTGTTCAAGTCATTATAAGTTTTATAAGCTGTGTGTAATAAATCTTCTGACATTTTAGTATCAATGAAAAGTAAAGTAAAAGTTTTTCGATAAAATTGGACATTAAGAATTCAGTGTAAAACGAAAATTAATTTATCGCAGGAATTTCTTAAAGTCCAGGTACTGAACTGAAATCACATCTTCCTAGCTCTTGTTGAAACAGAAGTCGTCTTAATTTGATAGAATTTAGCAATGAATAAAGACTACAATCGGAGCACGTACCAGTTGGATTGTAATTAAACTTTAAACAGTTAAGGGTTAAAGTTTGGACAAGGGTCTTGACAGGAACTCGAACGAAATTGAACAAGATTCGGCGATGCAGAAATAATCTCGTTCCGCTTGGATGAAACGTTTAAACTTGGACATGGAACCGAGATTACACGCGTTATGCTTAACGCTGTTAGGTCTGACACTAGAAAAATGTTCCTGACGTTTTCCAAGTATTGTAGAGTGACTTTATCAGGGGTCTAAAGAGGCATTGATATTCAATGCGGTAGACTCTTGATAAGTTGCCGCTAGCTAACTTTCCGCAGGGGCCTATTACTCTCTACACGTATTCTCACCAATGCCTTCGCACGAAATTTCATAAACATGATAATCTTATTAAATAAAACGATATTTCAAAATCGTTGAGATACTAAAATTTTATTTTATAAATCCAGAGGAGCTTTTTGCTGCACTTAATAGGTATCAGGAAGAACGTTAGTAGAAATATTTCTCGTTGTGGTCATCATCTAAATTGATTGCAATATTCTGCTTCCCAAGCAGAGATCGTGCTGCGTGCTCGGAAATAGTCCGCTTATCGGTGAAAATGGGTTAATCCCTTGATTTTAGATGTTCCACACGCTACGATACGAGATTCCTTAATAATACTCGCTCGGTGGATGCTGGGTTATTCAAGCCCTTATATCCAGTTATAACTACGATATTTGAGCGATATTGCTGTAACTGAATAATATTAAACAAAAAGTTTACTTCAATCGTTGTTTAGTTCCAATGCGACCCCTACAGATATACGGATTGTGACTCGCACAAAGGCATTAGGTCAAGGATAACACCGTTTCAAAACGATAAATGATTCCCTGTTTCATTTCCAGCATCCGAATGGAATTTTGAAAGCCTATTATACTCTTAATTATACAAAACGATGTGAAAGAGTAGAAATCATAGGCCAAGTGAAATAAGATGATCGAAAAAATTCGAACGAAAAAGATACTATTCATCTCGGATTAATTTATATTTTATATAGTTTCTTTTTTCAGTCGATGCATTTTATTAATTTGTTTTAAGTAAATACGTTTTCTTTGTAACTCACCAAAGATGTTTTTATCGAATCATGTAATTTTTCTCAGAATTCTTTCAGTACTTTATTATTTTATGTACTGTGACATTTTTTTATCGTTATTTAACTTCTTCAGAAAGTATTGGTTTTCATAGTACTGTTATTTGTGAAATTCTGAAAAAATTGTGTTACCGTACCGGATCTGGCGACCAACGACGCTTTTCCGAGATATACCGTCGTTTCATTCCCACTCAGCTCGCTGTTGTTTCCACCTTGAACTGCATTTCTGGTTGATGCCATAGCGATATCGCTGTTTCTACACCCTACTCTGAAATTAAAGCAGATATTTTTATATTAAACAATGGCAACGGTTATTTTATTCCCACAGTATCAGCATGCTCTCCTTGATATTTAATAGTTTCGGAAATTTTCTACAATACTTTCGTGACTCTATAAAGGAATTTCTAGTTATTAAAAATAAGAATATGTTAGTCATTTTTATTACGGGTAAATTCACTAACTTCGGCTATAAATCTGCAATGTACAAAATTGTTCAATATAAATAAATGAAGCTTCAAAGTAGGAATTTTTTAAAAATTGTTACTTTTGTGTTCAAAGCTATCTCCTCAAAGATTGATGGACAATAGAACGCTCGTATCATTATTATTTCAGAAAATAGATCCCCAATTCGTTTCAAATATTCATGGGAACTGCATGTTCTCTAGTTGATTTATACATTAAAAAAAAGTAGAGTCCGACAGAGAAACCCGTTTAATTATTACCCTTGTTAAATACTTGATCGATATTCGTTTCTTAAGAATAGACGTAATTCATTCGCAACTTTTATATCCAATATTCCCTTTCTCGATCTCTTACAAACTCTGTCATAACTTTTGTAGCAAACATTCCTGGATTTATTACAACTTTAATTCAGTTCTCAATAAGAAATCCAAGTGTTACGACCTGACCTTTTTTTGCTACAACTTGCATAAACCCATTGTCGAGGATTTATGTAACCTGGCAAAATAACGATCAAAGAATTAAAAGACATAAAATTCAGCTACAAAACTCATAATTCTAAACTACAGATCTACTTTGATCTTCAATAAAACTTTTCGAATTTACAATTTCATGCTTTATTGTATGTCAGTCGAAGCGTATTTCAATTCTCTACAAAAAGGTATAAAATCACCAAGGGTGAAAAGTATAAAGAGTGAAAAATCGAATAGTTGGAAAAATATTTTAAGGAGAGACCATTAGGCTCTTTTTCTCCCTCCCTAAGATTTCTTTCGAACTAATCAATTTCCGACCCATGTACGTTAATAATTTTTTGTTGAAAATAACAATATACAGCACTTGACTTTAAGAGAGGTATTAAATTTCAAAAAACATTTTTCGAATTAGATGAACCTGAGCCTTTCCTTAATATATATTTTCAACTACTTATCTGAGTTTCATCTGCTTTGTAACATGATGCTTTAAAAGTATCAAGCATACAAGGATAATTCAAGCACCAAATTTGCATTGAACTAATTACAAAGTGTCTCACCTAGAAAACATACCAGAGAATCTACAAACAGTTGCAACATGAATAAGAGAAGTTTCTTAAGAAGAAGTTATTTATAGCATGAGTTGATGTCTAAGATAGATAATGTAATGAAATAGCAACATTTATAAGACGCACAATAATTAATCCTTCCTTATTACTGCTGTGGAGAAAATAATTTGATCCTGTAACCGATACAGTGAATTCAACTGTTTTATTCGAAAATTATATTAACTTCTAGATTCGTCTCGTTTCCGATTGTATTATTTTACTCCACCTTTATAATCGTATCTAAAGGTCGCCAGGGATCGAGAACAAAGTAACACAATAAATTAGCTTTAATTACCTCCAACAACGGTGGCAGTCAAAGAGGCCAAGGAATGCTTGTCGAAACTTTCTGTTCATGAAACAGTAGGTAATCGGGTTGCAGCAACTGGAAACATAGGCGAGTAGCTGAACCAAGCTAATTCCGGTGCTTCCAACTATTGAATAAACCAATTCTGGAGCGAAAAGGTACCACGTATTGATCACGTGTAGTGGTGCCCAACAGACAAAGAACTCCAGGACAATTACGAACAACATTCTGATCACCTGAAATTCATACGTATCAAAGATTTTAACGAATGCATCGTTATATATTCTATTATCCCGTATTAAAGAGGACGTGTGCATTGTAGTGGGCTCGAAGAAATATTCTATTTTTTAACCCTTGAATTAGCGAAGTCTGGGGCCAATCGAGACCTAAAGTTACGAATCATATAAAAGAATATTAAGTTAAAATTAAATATATCATTTTTAATCGAAAGAGTTTCATAATTTTTAAAGGAACAGTGTAAAATTTAGAAAATTAAAATAATATGAAATACAAAATTAAATTACAATTGGAATTCTCTCCATGGTTCGCCATTCAAATTTGCATGTGGTGACTCACAGAGGGTCAGAAAGTGGGATCCTCTCTGGATCGAAAGTGTTAAAGTAGAAATAAAAAATGTTAGTTACATTAATAAAATTCAAAATTCACTTACTTTTTTTTTAGCTTCAATGCTTTTGCCCATGTAATTACTACGTATCACGTGTTGTCTGGCGAAGGGGCAGGCTGAGTTTTGTTTCTCACGGACAGAATTGTCCTCTGTGTCTCTTGACAGGCAGTTGGTTCCATTGGTACGAACCTGTTCCCTTGATTCATGAGAAAAATCAGATTCTTGACATTTTCGAGCAAAATCCCTGGAGACCCTCGTTCGTGGAACGCGTACCTGTTCATCAAAATTCTGTCATAGAATTGATAATGTCAATTGATAATTTTCATAGAATTGATAGCGTATAAATGATCGTAATTACAACCTAATGCAGCTATCGTGAATAATGATTTGAATGAAGTATATTGGCGCACGCAGTGATGTATTAATCGTCATGTGAATCATTGAAGATTGATATTACGAATTTAGTTTAATATCTTCGCTGCCACTCAGATTGTCAACGTTAAATATCCAATCATGCGCTATCACGTACTTGTTTGGGTAACAATACGTTGAATATAGGTGCATTATATTCTACAATCTGTAGTCAACATTTTGGCCTTCCTAGTTAATCTACGATCCTGTCAGTATTTCAGGTGACATTTTGAGATTTATATAATAAGGGGATTTAATAAACGCAAGTATAGATAATTAGATACGATACATTTCAGAGATAATTAATTTTGTTGAAAATGTCACCTATCGTTATCGAAAATAAACAAAAAATAAGGAAAATTAAGTTGAATGTTAACATAATATTAATAAGGTATGAACAAAATTTTTAAATAAATTTTCCTTTTCGATTCAGGAATATAGGATTTTCCCGACCTAAATTCGTAATATAGGTCACCAGTGTATGTGGCAGTAAATGTGTTAAGAAAATGAAAAGTACAGATGTAAAGGTCGGTTGATAGTAATTTTATCATCAGTCGAAAGAATAGCGAAGGAATCGCAAGAAGATAGTGATAAATTGTGGATCATACCAGCTTAGGACGTTCGGTGCTTTTGCTGAAATAAAATAAGGTTTAACGGAAAAAAAGGTAGCTGTTGGATTGAAATATGTGAATCGACAGAATCAGTGTGGACTACTCTCTTAAGAGAGATTTCTTCGGGAAGAAAGCCGTTGCTTCGATTTGTGAGAAATTCTTCCAACTTTCAAACACCCTATTTACTGAAGATAGTAAAACAGCTTTAGAAAATGTGAATTCAATAGTGTTTATTGTAACATAAAATTGTTACAAACTTAATAAAATCAATCGTTTCAGCTTCGTATGGTATTATATAAAATTATATTACAAGCATTTGTAAAAGCTTGTTATTATCATAAGATTTCTAACCCTTCTGATAATATGTATGCCTCTGAATAATAATATAAGCTTCGTTTAATCCCTTAAACAACGGACTTTGGGTCAACCATGATCCAAAATTAAAAAATGTATACCAGGAAATTAATATAAAGCTAAATATATAATTTTTAAACAAAAGGGTTTCATATATTAAAAGAAAAATTTTTAAAGAAACTGTGCAAAATTTAGAAAATGAAAATAACAAAATACAAAATTAAATTAAAATTGTGGCTCTCTCTCTGGTCCGTCGTTCGAAGGTTAATGGTGAGAGACATTTTTTATTAAATATTAATAAATACATTTTATTATGTTAATTGTGAATTAATTTAAAATATGTATTTGTTTAATGTAAAAGTTCAGGCCCACTATGTTCATTTTTATTATTCCTTTATTAATTAACAAAAGATTGTTAGGCTTCAGTTTCATCGATAAATAAATAATTATTATATTATTATATTGTATAATGATTTAAGTATTATTGAAAACTTTCTTTCTTTCCTTAATTATTAAATTGAATTATTAAATTAATTTACTAGTCGAATCACTGGCGACAATCATGGCAATCAATCCGCTAAAAAGAAATTTTCTTACCCTGGATGATACTCTCTGTGAGGAACCATGAAAGTATCCGTGTGAAGTGGAAAATCCTCGCCTTAATCTTGAAGATGCACCACAAGCATTCACTACAACTGGCGTGCCGGTAGCTGAATCACCTTTGTCGTACGTTGAATTTCTCACTGTTCCACTGGATTCTGTTCTCTCCACTGTAACTGAAATTCGTTATTCAATTACTGTGAACAGTACTCTTAATGCATTCTAGCTACTGGAACATGCATTAACCCTTTGGAGAGTATAAGTCTATGAATGCGTTCGAAGAAAATCAATATGATAACGTTAATGTTCGTATGGTACATTTGGTAAATATCTTCTTATAATTTTGGCACGAACAAAAATGATAAATATGGAAAAATGGAAAAATATTATTGAATTTATCTTAAATAAAAAATGTTCTATTCGTAGACAATGCCAAGCTTAAAAAAATACTTTGTCTCCAAGGGGTAATTATGGTTCTAATTGCTTTGATGCTCACAAGCTCACAAGTTGTCAGCTAGCTTTTAAATAAACGTATTTGTTAATTTTTACGATTAATTAATTATGAGACCTTATAATAATTTGATAGGTACTTCAATATATCTATACATCTAATGATGTGAGAAATTATTTATGCAATTAAATCTGAAGTATTTTCAAATTTACAAGAAAAGCACTCCAATTGTCATTCTTAAATTTTATTGATTTTAATTATGTTGCTACATGTCTTCCGAAATTTAATATTCTTTAAATATTGCTTTAAATAGATTCGAGTTTACTAAGGCTTTTTCTCGATTTAGCGGTTTCAATCTTCTCTGGAATTTCCTAACCTCTTTTTTAACACCCCGCATATATGAATGGATAATAAGGTAAGGATTTAGGAAAAAGTAGGTACAAAAATTACGGATATATCTTTAACGGCGTGTGTGGGTAATAGGATTACGTTTTTTAGCTACTAAACTACACAAGTTTTTTTAGCCAAAGGTAATAGGATAAAATAATGTCTCTTTTATTCCTTGTGTAAGCTTGAGCCATTTTCTAAAACTTTTATCTTCCATTTTATCATTCCAAGCACATACGACATCACGTATAGAATTTCCTATATCTAAACACCCATTATTCATTACTCCCATTATAGAATCCTGCAAATATCAAGCAAATGATTATGTAAATATGATAATGCCTTAATATTAAAATGATGAAATATAAATAAATTCCTATATAAGAGTTACCATTGGAACATTAATTTATCAGAAATTAATTTATCTAAATCAATCTTTTGTAGATGGATAAAGTTGCATTAACTTAATTTGCAACAGATTTAGAATGGACTTGCTGGAAGTGCTATTTGTAAAAGATATTTTTAACTATTCAATCTGACGCGTGAGAAAGACCATTAAAGTAGAGGACTTTGCGCCCCTTCCGACCACTCTTGTTTATACCGTCTTGTTTCGTTCGTACTAAATAGCAATGGACACATCGTAAATCTATAGCTTCAGCGTAAACTAACAGTGGTCGCATTGTATTATTTCGGAAAAGCTCCAACTTCTCGATTGCGGCAATCTTTCGCCACGCTCTGTGAGGTGGACAGAAGCTTTCATCTGGTGGTACCACCCCCGAGAAACTATTGCAACCATTCATTCGCCCACCTGGTCACCGCTCACAAAGAACTGAAGTTACTGAAGATGCAACACATTCTCGACAACTAAAAAGCTTTTCCAAATAAAACAGAGCAATTGAATCAACCGTACGTACACAGGTTTCTGCTAAATTGGTGATTTTTATCGAGGAATCTATTCTGTTTTCTATAAAAGTAAAAACAGTATTAAAAAACAAAAATTGCAAATGACTGTTTTAATGATTTAATAATTATTTTTAAGTTTAAATTCTGTGAGTGTATAATTTCGTATCTATCTATAGTATCTAATTAGTATTATTGTATTCATATTTAATGAATTTATAGAAACAATAATTAAAAATTTTTATATTTAAACGAAAACCTGAATATGACTTTTAGAAGGTTCATATAATAGTTTCTCAAGTTTATGTTTGCTAATTCAAAGTTCATTATTTGTTATTTAATTAATTTTTCGTGCAAACTTGTTTTTTTCTGAAACTAACACCGCATATAAAAGGAACTATTATATGTATAATGGAGCTGTTATCGTTTAACTTTCAAAACTTACGACGCTGCTGACAAGACGATGATTGCCTTATTTCTTGCCGTAATCCTCGCCAGAGTTTTACAGCGATCAAAGAATAAGCCAGACTCATCACGATCAAGGGGACCAGAAGAAGCGTACCATCCAAGAACAAATTGTAAGCTCGTTCGGTTCCGACGCTTGGCCATTCTTCACGACATTTGCGTCTGCCTAGAACAATAGAGACGAAACATTCCTCAAACTTGCCGGAAATAAATCAAAGTCTGCGGTATTTTCCGTTGAAATGCAGCGTGTTACATTCTGGGTTTAAGTACAGACCGTTAAGAAAGTAATGGTTACAGCTTTCAGAAACGATCTTATTTATTATGTTGTTTAGACATTTAAAAAGAATGGGACCATTAGTAAAGTAACATATTTCCACAAGTGTATTTTGGAAAAATAATATCTAGCAATATTTATATACATTAGAAATATTTAATTTTATTTTTTTTTTCATTTTTGCCATAAGTTATCTGTGGAAATTCATAAAATAACTAAATAAAATAATTAAATTCAGAATAGAACAGAAGAAATATATTTTCTGACAAAGAACAGTAAATATTATATTAGGTTGAATTTTATCTAAAATCTGGAGGAACTATCTGCAGGAAATGAGACATTCTCTCAGAATAAACTGTTCAAACTTTGTAGAGTTTTTACAGCTCGCAGTTACGAGGTGATGTTATTCCAACTCTGCATTGCTATACAGTCGTAAGAAATATAGTTGTCACTGAACTAGATAGGGGTATAAAGTACAGTAGCATCCCTTAGGCTTTAACAGCAGAAGTCAAACATCTATCAAACTAAATTTTACATCTATACTGTCTTTTACAGTTTCCGAAATTGTAAATTGTTTACAACTTCTATTATATTGCAAACTGGTACTTCGTTTTTAAGATATGCTTAGATTCATATGTGCAAGACTGAATGAAATGTATAATAAATATGTATAACATAAACATAATTTTCTATAATCAAGTATTAAAATTTAATTTTACTTTAATTTAATTTTAAATATCATCAAGCTATGCCAATTATTTTCAATCAACTTAATACTTGGAACTCCGTTTGAAAATTACAAATTTTTATCAAAAAAATGCGTTTCCTGCAGAATTTAATTATTTTTCAACTTCGATATGAGCTTTTTATTAACCATATTCTAATGAAATGAAATTTTCAGCACACTCTGCTGAAAATGCAGTAAACATTTTTGAGCTGCAATGTTTGAATGGAAGAGTGTCAAACATTCATTTTTAATATTGCGTATCAAACCAATATAAATACCGGAGATAAAATATCAGATATAGCGGAGCTATAGTAAATAGATTTTACAGTAAAATCGTGATTTATAACAGCGGCTGCTTGAAACAGTATCAAAACACGTAAATGGAATCTCTCTGAATAATCAAGGCTTTAAGATGAATTATAGGTAATTACGTTAATTGCAAAGTTTACACTCAATAAATTCATTTTGTGTTTGTTTATTACACCCTTATTCTGTTATTCACGTGGCTTCAGCAATTATTCTTTTATTCTTTTTACAAATTTATGGTTACAAATATTTATCACTTATCTTCTCAATTTTCAAGGGACTCTCGTTATATATGCCACGTGAGCGATTTGCCTTTTACATAGATTTTCAAACATGCTAGTACCACTATTCCACTATCATAGCTTAGAAAAATGATACAATTTTATCTTCCTTTTCCCTTCCAACTAAAAGTTTGGAAGCTTGACAAATTTTTCGTCCCTACCGTCCGTTTATAATATTAAAACTACTGGTATTATCGGTAAATACTTACGAATATTACTAGGTACATATTCGCATTTATTTCATTTCTAACAAAAAGAAAGCGAAAGATTCAATAGTATAGCTCGAGGAAAACATTCAGTAGTATGATTAAGTGATCAAGATCAGTGATACGGCCAGTCATGGTGGAAGTCAATGGGGCAGAAAGATAGAGAAAGATTTAGTGGTACATAGTCAGAGAGAAATAGAAATTTAATAGTTCAATCTGGCAAGGAAGAAACCAATGGTGTGATCAGTTAATGAAAAATTGATCACAAACTTTATTTATTTTTCATTGGGTCTGCAATTTGAATTTCTGTATCGACGATCAATTTTTTAATAATACCTCTGAAATAAGCTCACCCTGTATGATTCTCTACGATCGCAGAAGATAGCAAACTGATAATAATCCTAAATCGCTGAATACGGGAATGCAAACATATGTTCCGTAATTCCGAATATGAGCTGGTCTCGTTCGATCTTCAATAAATCAGAATAATTGCTGTTGAAATCGCAATTCCGATTATTGATTTTATTTATCTCCATACACGATCCGTTTCCATTATGAAGTTTAAGTATCAATGAAACAACTTGAAATTTTATGCATCATTTAAATATTCCTGAGTAAAACATATTTTATACGTTTATATAAAAGCAAATATTCCTAATGTTCTCTATATACCATTATAACTGTCTAATTAATAATTAATAGAAATTATGACATCATTTGATGAATAACATGCACAATAGAAATGAGCGATTAATTCAAATTTTAGATACATTTAGATCCTATTAGTTTAACCGTTTTAAATATCAACAGTTTATTAAAGTTTGTTCCCAAACATGCCGTTTTAGTATGAAACATACCTGTTCGTAATAATTTTCAGAAAATAACCGAGTTTCTATGCTGGCATCACGGAATAACACGCTGCATACTTCGGCGATAAAACCGCAGAAACAAAAATGCGCAACTTTTGTGAATACGTATTTTTCTACAACTGTTATTGCAAAAGCAAACGATTATTTTTTTAATTATTTCACTATCTGGTGCGATACAACAAAGGTTGATATATTCTGGATATTTCAACAACAATTGTGTATAAAACGACACAATACAAGAAGAATTAGCATTCTTTGTGTACATTACATTCGTTTTCATACTCATTTGTTAAATTTTCCACTATTTCCTTTATTATTATTTTCCCAATATATGAAATTTATTCGCTTGGAAATCGAATACTCACCAAAATCGATGCACCATTGTACCAGTTATGCAGATCTGAATCACAGTTGACCCGGTTATGACGATATCAATACGTATTGAAATACAAGAAAGTTTGGTACGCTTAGAGCTTAGCCTTTGAACAGCAGAGTTTAGATCAATCAAGACTCAAATTTACAAAATATATGCAAGATATTAATGTAAATTTAAAGTGTTTCACATATTGAAAGAATAATTATTAAAGGATTAGTGTAAAATTTAAAAAATGAAAATAATATGGATTACAAAATTAAATTAAAGTTAGGGTTCTCTCCATGGTCCGCCGTCCGAGGGTTAAACAGCAGTAATAATCGAAATATTCAGTAGCTTTGAATTAAAGAATAAAAAAATGTGGACATTATAATAAATAAAAAACGCCTGAAGTAGTATGTATCTTGCGTATTTGAAGGAATATTTCATTAATTTCTCTCTAGCAACGGTGCTTCATTTTAATTTTTCAAGTTATTTGACAGTCTTTTTATATATTTTTTTAATTAAATTAAAAGTGGTGGAGTATTAATTAAAAAATAAAGATATTTATATCATACCTCCACGTATATTCTTGAGCTGTGAAACGACCAGAATTGGAGCATTCCACGTAAGGCTGGCAGTCCAGACCACAGCGATCATTTTGTAGGCATGAAATTGAGTTTGCCATCTTCTTGACTTTAATGGCCTGCAGATAGCGAAGTAACGTTCCAAGGAAATGGCGACTAGCGTCCATACTCCAACGGACACTGATACAGCTGAAACAGAATCAATAATTTCATACATTTATTGTGAGAAAAAATAATGTTTTTACTTCTGCAAAACCTACAAATACGCAATTTGATCACTTATGAAAATTCTAGCATTCTTAACCCTTAAAGGCTATTTTAAGAGTAAAATTTCAGCCCCCGCTAATTTTTTTTTATATCATTAAAAAACATAACAATTGTTATCATTTACCCCCACTTGCAACTTTATTTTTACTATTGCCATCTGCATACCGGATCGTTTGAATCTGCGGCTAATTTGTTTACTGTTCTTGCCTTTCAAAAATCTACAAAAATCTGGAGGAAGATTAATTGTTCAGGTATTAATTTATTCAGATTATCAAAAGTAATACTAAATTTGTATAATAATTAAATCATGTCAAACTTTCTGTGATTCGAAATCCACTGTTTAATACACAAGAACCAAATATTCCACAAACTTGCGGCACTTAATAGATTGGTGACGTTGATGTGTTTGGCTTTGATATGTTAAATATGATATGATCAAGGCAGCAAATGATATTCGCGATACGTTTGTATGATATCAAAACCAATTAGAAAATGATAATACTGAAACCAGAATACTGCGTCGTTAACTCTTAAAGGCTATCATGGGTGTTTCATCCTGCGTGAGTTTGGTTTTATGATGTTAAAAACCGTAGTATCTAAGCGGAAAGGCAGGCAAAATGAATCATAAGCATGAATTTTTATAGTAATTTTATCATTTGGCTTTATTCAAAATTTTATAAGATTTATGGACAGCGGTGCATATTTATAATAAAAATGGTATGTCTGAAGGTATACTTATAATATTTCCGCTACTCCATTTACTCTTTTAACGATCTCATTTATATTCCGTATTAAATCTTGTTTTCTATGATGTCTTCCTTAATTATATACACATGAATAGATTTCCAAGGATGTAAAAGGCAAAGATTGAATTTTACTAAATGACTGAGTTACATTAAAAAATTTACATACAAAGAAATGAAAAATTATAGTGTCATATTAAAAACAGATAAATGTAAGAAAATAATTTATAATTAATTTAAACAAAAGTAAATAGTAATAGATTTATAAAGCTTTTCAATACAAAAGCCGAGATTTCTTAACACATTAACACTTTTAGAAGCAATTGTATCTGTGTCAATACGTAGCTGGTGCAAGTAACAGTAGCAATGTAAACTCAGTATTAAACGTGCGGTAGACATCAAATGATATAGTGCTATAATACCGACAGATAGTGTGTATCTTGTCTTGGTCGGTTTGCAACCACAGCTACTAAACCCTGATTAGAACTCGTGTCGTAAATCACTGTTGCCCAAGAATTTGCTTCTGTAACAATGGTAGCAACATTCCTATCATTGGTAAAGATGTTGCTGTCACCAACGTTACAACCAAACACCGACAAAGTGACAAAACAATCAATGTATATTTTAAATGACGACTAATTAATGCCGCTTTATTTGAGCAATTTTTTTCTGTTTTCCATAAATTGTATTCGAATAATGATTTCCTCTTTCGTTTTACTCATTTATTCTTTTCACTAACCGTTCTTTTATGCACAGAGGCGTGCAGTTTTAAATGAAGTTCTAGTATGTGTGTACATATGTAGAAGAGAATATTCTATATCCGATGATCCATTATCCTGATACACGACCACTCTGTTATATGATCGTTCTATTATACAAACAGGGCGTTCCCTTTCCGCCTCCACTTCCTATTTGAATTAATCTATCTCCTAACGACTAAAATTGATTCTAATCGCAACGATTAATTCCAATCATAAAACTGAAAAGTGGTGAGAGGATCACAAAATTAACAAAAATAGAATAATGCCCCAATTGTAGACGAATTTTTGTCTTCATTTTTAATATTTACACGCATAAGTCAAGGAACCCTCGTTACATTAAAAATAATTTTCTCAGCAAAATATTAAACAAGAGTGTCTCTGGCCTGTATCGTTATCGTTATCGTTAAAAAGTTCGAATAATCGGATTTCATTAAAAATATTAGCGTAATTACATAAATATTAGATTCATAAGGTGGGGGATTAAAAACGCCCGGTAAACGGCGTTCTTATAATTATTGCAGTGAAAATAAGCAGAGGAGAAGCTGAGGAAATTAACGACCTGAAAATAAAAACGGAGAAGGTATTTGTTACCGCACGAACCTAATAACACGTAGCAATTAGCAAAAATGTGTTACTTTTTCGAGTATTGGTCAAACGAGTTGATTTTTGCAGAAACTGTTTACACGAATAAATTCAGAAATACATCATTCCTCGATTCGTAGCGATCAAGAATAAATAAATAAATTGTTGCAATTGTTGTATATATATTGATTACTTTTTATAAGCGGTGGTAGCAAATATTAGAAACTGTTTATAATGAAATTTTTTGAAATGAGAATAAAGAACGGTACATTGTACTAATTCATGACACCTTCGTTTTCATCTTTTGATTTCAAGGTTTTCAATGATATTACTTTTTTAAAACGTTTCTCTGTAGTTTCATATTACATAATTTGTTTCAATTACATCAGAAACTCTGCTATAAAGGATAAGTAACCTTGATACATGTCCTGTAATAATTTTAAATTTGTAGTATAAAATTTTCCTATGTTCTGAAAAGCATTTTTTAAAAATAAATAAAATTAGAACATTCATTTCATTTACGTAAATTGGGTATTTTACACATAAGTGAACTTATATGAATAATGAGAATAATGCGATTATTCAACTTCAGATTTAAAAATCGGGATCATGGAAATACAGAATCTTATATAAAATATGCAGAAATGAGTTAAATTCTATCAAATATTTAGAAATTATTTAATAATGTGTTATATTAAGGAATAAAAAACAAAATATCTGACAATAATTATAATTATACTTATTTAAAAAAATTTTAAAAGCAACGTTATTTCAATTTTTTTTTTTGAAAATGGAACAGTTTTAATTATAAATTGCAAATTTTTCTATCTTCAGCGATATATTATTAATGTACATCTATGAAATAAAGACAACGTTTTCAACTGTACTTTTCTTGGAATAACAGAACGCTGAATTAATAAAGATTCTCTTCATTTTCCACCGCTTGAAAGTGAAAAAATTATTCAGAACAGAATGCTTAATCACTTAAGTATCTACAATCCTTCGCTTAACGAGCTGCACCTCTGGTTCCATACAAATTAAATGTCAACAAACAACTGCAGTGAAATTACAATTTAAATAAAGTTTTTCATAGAATCAGACATTAAACAGAGGAATTTATTTTATTTCATTAAACACAGATTCATGCTTTCACAGGAATATGAAATATTATTTTTCTAACATTTTTTACCTTCATTATTTTTCTGTAATAATATAATAATTCTAAGATATGCTTGTCCAATGCTATCATAAAAATAGATTACCTTTAAATTCTTCTATGTACTTTGAAATATACTATCTTTTTGCAAAATGGAAGATTTTTGAAGGAAAGATGTTAAAAATTAAAAGAGATTCAACAAGGTTTATCATTGCTACAGTTAAATGAAAAATTCATTTTAAAAAATTCGTACGTCTAATTGAAGGTAATTTTATTACGGAAATTCTGTAAAAATATCAAATAAACCCGATCAGAATTTATTAAAGTATTTAACCATCCAGTTTGAAAAATGTAATGACATTAAAACTGAATTGAAAATTTATAGAGCAAAATAAAATACCGTGTAACAAGTGTAATGATTCTTCAAGTTAAGCCAGAGATAAATTTTTCTCGAATAAATTCTAAGTTCCTGCATAAGAAAATACTTTCGTGTCGAGTTTTTTACAGTCCAAGCGATTTATTCAGTTGCTGCACGGCTGCCTTAGGTTCACCCAAGTAAACGTTAATCAAAGAAATGGTGCGGTTTTTTCCTCTTGAAATTAACATTATTACATGGAAGAGTAGATTTTATAAGGTTATCACAGGAACATCTGCTATCAAAGGTAACGAATGATATCATATTACATTGGCATGGGGTTTATGTTTAAATTTTTTGTGACTGTTTAGTTATATATTACGGATACGCGAATGTTCTGATAATAAAAATATATTTAGATTCAAATCGCAATCACAATACTTCCATTTACAGTTTTATCACCAAAATCATTTAATATCATTATCATTAACACTTCTAATTTCGGTTTTCATTTTTATAATCACTGGTACTTCTCTAAAAGCTTGAAATATTTCCCGCAATATTTATAAATCCTGTTAAATTTCAATCATTGCCGCGATTGAAAGAGAAAGAAAGGGAACAACTTTTATATTTCACGATCAGTTGGCTAAAAAGTACAATTATTTCAATCCACTGTGCGCTTCATTGATTCTGTTAAATTGACCGAAAATCAATTTATTTCTCGATTCATCAGATATTTTACTTTATATAGAATATTTCAACATAGGTATTTTAATTTGGGACTTCGAAAATTATTTGTTCATCTCATCTGAAAGTTTGTTAAAACTGAACACTTACAGTTATTAAGGCACAAGAAAAATATAGCATTGATTATTGATTTCATAGTAAAAAATAATTTAGTATTTGATTAAGTACTTACGTGAAAATATGTTTTTTATAAAAAAATAATTAAGTTTCCCCTCATAATTTCTCTGAAATGGTCAATTACTGCTCATTCACGCAGGTATAAAAGCGATCTTTTATACACTCATTAAATTACACCAAAAATAATTTAAAAAAACGAGTTATTTAATTAATTGAGAAGCAAGTGTAATGAATATTCTTTCATAGTTCCGTTTATTGCATATTTACAATTTGCTTCGTTTTCAACCAATTAAAAAGTCATTCTGTTCTTCTTTACAAGACAGAATATATAACAAAAAATGTGCAGAAAGTGAAGCTACCTTATAATTGCTGCATACCCTTCAATTATTACAATGTAAATGTTGGACAAAGGCTTGAGAAAATCTTTGAATACGTGTAGCGAACGATGCCGTCAGAGTATTTTAACTCCTCAAGCCGATAATTGTGCCCAGAGGAAATTTATGACACAGGCAGCAATTAATTTAGAAGAACTGATTAACTTTCGTGGTTGATTCATTAAAGTTTTATGAAAAGAAAGCTATTTGTCAAATTAACTTTTAACTTTTAAGGCAAATAAACGAAAACCTTCATGAATAATAACTTTACATTTACATTCGTCAAACGAAGAATAAATTTTTAACTCCAAGAAATAAAAATAGTATAAAATATAAAATTAAATTTGAATTGTTTTAGCAATCGGTCGAATATTCGTGTGAAATTGAACTCGCTCAACTGGCAATATAGTGAGAGTTTATTGATTTGACTTGAGTTTATTGATATGTCAATTTGATGTATACAAACTCCATGTTTAAAATAATCTGACCAATTTCTTATTTAATTGAAGATTAACTTCTACTATTTAATCGCCATAAATAATGCAAAGCCATGGAGAAGCTAATCCTTCAACTTCATAATTCTGAATTAATTCATATCAGGGCACATTTCATTGACAGATAATTTTATTCCTGAAGAAGGATTTAACTCTAATTTCTATTCAAATTGCCAGACATCTTCTATAGAATTCATGCAAATCATTTGTCCCTTTAAGCGACTGAAAGTAATGTGCTGGCATTAGTGAAATATCAAAAAGGTATTAACCAGCGTTGATTTTTGCTATTCGTGTATTTAGTACCATATTAGTTTAATCTTTCACCAACGATTAAGCGATTATGGTAATTGTGCCAATACGTGAGAGAGGAACATTCGATGTTATTCCAATGTTATTTGGTTTTTGCTTTTATTTTTTCGGATTTCCATCATCGCTTTTGTTTTGGTTTTCATCTTTTCGCATTTTTATGATATTTTGTTTCAGCTTTCGTCTTTTCTAATTTCAATCGTGTTTTATTTTTGTTTTCACTATTTCAGGTTTCAATCATATTTTCGTTAACCTAGTATGTCTATACCTGAACGTGAGACTAGCCCAAGTCCATTTTCATTACTTTTCACTGGAGCAGAAAAACAAGAGCGGTCACTGATTGCTTTGTAGAGAAATTGAAATAGTTTATTCTTCTTTAGTTAAAGTACTTCTTTATTTAAAATGCAATATGAACATATCCCTATAATTCTTACAAAGTACTAGAAAGAACTGTAAAAGAATGGTACTTTGAAAAAAAAAAGTGGACTTGAATTAGTTTAGCTCCCAGATATAGACTTTACTTCTTCAAACCAGCCTTGAAGTTTATGAAATGTTGCGTTTACTATAAAAATATGTATAATTAACAGAAATCCAAAAAGCCTTGATGTCTTATTTATACTGTTCCGAAAGTTCCAAATAAACCAATTATATAAGTTCTTAAAGGAAATTGAAAATATAACTATTCTGAAATTAAAATATCAATTTTAGAATATTATTTTTAATGAAATATGTTTATTCGCGAATAAATTCCATGATCGGGAATTTTCATTCTTTGTCTTTTTTAAAGGTTTTATCCTTTCAATCATTCCATTTATTATAAATAAAAAAGCAACCAATAATAAATTCATTCTGAATTGCTTTATCTAGCACCATCGTTTAATTTTCCATTAAATGAACTGGAATCTCTGATATATTATTGTACTAATTGTTCTTTCTTCATGAAACTAATTAATCAATAAATTTAATATTTATTAGAGCTCATAAACATTGTTAGATGGAAGTAAAAGTCTTATATAGTTGGAGAGAACTTTTGCCCTACTTTTCACTCGGATAGTTATCCTCATTAACAAATTTAAGACAGACAGTTGTACGGAAGCAAGGAAAAGATTTAAAAGGTTATACATTGTTTGAAACTTCTTTCCCTTCAATTTCCTCACTTCTCTCACTGTACCTACATTTCTCTTACGTCCTGAAATACATATTACATTCGTGACACATAAAACCACTGATCGTGCACCATGCTAGTGATAGTGCTACTACTTTTATCAAAAGGAGCTTAACTTGTCAAGCAATTTCCCTTGACACGAACCTTGAAGTTGTAGCTTCAAGGGGTTACACCAGGGTAGGCCGAAAATCACGAAAGGGTTTACAGAGTTTAATAAACTTTTTGTTCTTAATTTTCTTTTCTTTTTAGAATTTATTTAGGATTCTTAGGAAAATAATTATGAAAAAAATTAGTGTCGAGCAACAAATGACAATTAAATTCTTTCCTCTTTTTTCCAATCTTATTTAATTACTTGACATCATTCATGTAAAAAAAAATAAAAAATAAAAACATTTTAATTACATATTTTTTCTGCGCTTTTAGGAAATTATTATTTTTGTCCGCAAGCAAACTTTGCTTCATTTCCGTAGAAAATAACTAAAAATAAATGTGTACTTTTAATAATTAACCTTCATAATTTGATTTAAATTTTCAAATTTTCAAGCACCTGTGTGTATGACAAATTTATAAATTAATTTTTAAAAAATGTTTTGAAAAGCAAGAGCAAAAACTACGTAGTTTATAAATCTTCATTAATTCTCATTAAATTATTAATTCAACGCCTCTCTACGCATAACGAAGGTTGCTCATTAACGAGACAGTGAAAAATATGTTTTCATGCTAGCATAAGGAAAAGTATTTTGTTTAAAGACTGAATAATGGGCAACTGGAACGAAGATACAGCATTTATTATTTAAATACACGGCATTATTCTGAAGTTTTTAATACACTTTTTGAAACATAAATTTAAAGACAAATTTTTCTAGAATCTCTTTTAAATATAGCAAAGAATCTTTTATAACTTTACACAACATATGAAATCTAACAATAAAAAAGAAATTAACTTAACAGATACAACTATGATTTTGTGAAAATTGTATTCTCTGTATAATCACATTCTATCTTTATTTATTAACAACGTTTGATTGATTGCTATTTTTTATTTTATTCAATGACAAATATGTACTAAATTAATATTTGTTTATGCATCCAAACATACCTGTTAATATTGCTGCTCTTATTGATCATGTGTCGTATTCCAATAGCTAACTCAATATTGATGAGAATTCATGTAAACAATTGCTCTATTACCAGACATTTATAAATTGTATAATTAAATGTTAAAAATTCGAATATATTAAAAATATCTTCTAAAATCATTTCAAAATATTCTACATGTCAAATTTCATTTAAAATTAGACAACAATAACTAATTGTTAGTATTTTTCAAACAACAGAAATGGCACCTTTGCCCAAATACCTAAACAACAGTCCTAAAACCTCCAATCAGAAATTTAATGATGGTAAGAATTTTTTTAAATGTCATCGAATTTAAAAAGCCATCTATTTTTAGAAAAAGAACTTAATATTATTTTCACTGCAATAATCCATATAAAAAATATTCAAAATTTTGATCCTAAATTATACAGCTAGTCAAAGTGAATATTGGTTTTTTATATGAAGCAGCCTCCATATACACCGATGGATCTTTAAACTGGTGTAGGATGTGCTATATCTACTAACGCGAATACAATTAAACTTACAAATGAATCCCCTATGACTGCAGTTAAAATATTTGCAATGCGTCGTGCAATGAAGCAAATCCTGGACAATTCTCAACTGTGGTGTGCGATATTTACTGTGCTTCAATTTTTTATTTCTCCAATACGTTAAGAAATAAAGAGCCCTCTTAGTTTACCATAGATAATAAAAATAAAGTGTAGAAAGTTTTAAATAGTCAATTATACAATACATACCTTGGAAATAAGGTATGAGCTTGCACATGGTAATGCCAAACACGAAGTTCTTCAGCATTTGTCCAAGAAGTGTGAAAGGCATGCAGAAAACACCGAGCAGCAAGTCGGAAACTGCCTGAAACATAAAATCAACAAAATATTGAATTTCGTAAGTGATAAACAGAAACGAATATACTTTTTAGACTTATTTAAATAATTTCTAGGGTCATTGCATATTGTGCCATAAATTTTATCGTAATAAGTGAAAATGAATAGATTTAATCATTAATAAAATTCCCATCCTTCCTAATCAATTCCAAAAAAAATTGATCTGATTTTATATCGAGGAAATACTGTTTCTCTCGCTCTTATATCATCGAGGATTTTGACACGTAGAAAATTGTCAACTATAAAACTTGAAAATATGCTGATACAGTAAAGTCTGATGAATACAAAGCAGGGATGAGCATCAGCGTGATGTCTCGGAATAACGTGATACATTGTAATCTAAAGGAATCAGGACGACGCGACTCGTCGATATACCATTCTAAACGGCTAACACAATGTACTGTTTGATTATTTTGAAACTTTTGTGACAGCATTTATGATACTTGGACAAAATTAGGAACTCATAAATATAAATAAATAGATCTTGTCTCTAATTCACACCGACGTAAGAAATAAATTACAAAAGTCTTTATTTTTCACAATCTATGCTTTATTAACGCATAGATACCGAAATGAATGACACTGCCATGGAAAATGCGAGAAGGCCTCGTTACCACCTCGACGAGGCAACTCCTCTGTCATCCTTTGTATCGTTCTCCTTGATTGGTGCGTATCCTTTCTATGTAGATGTCCTCGGGAAAGCTTAACCACATGGCCAGATACAAAGTTAGTCCTTAATTCGCAGAAATATTTTATCTGTACACTAAATGTATCGTTACATTGCGTACGTATCTTAAAATGTATTACGTTACACGGATTTCCTCTGCTTCAATATTTATATGGTGCCCAACGTTATTATACGTGCAGTAAGGTCTCTTTTATTCTCCAGACTAGGCCGTTTAATCTATAAAGCGAAATTTAGCACATTTAACCCGGAACATTTCTCAAAGTTCCATCAGAGAATCTGAAACGACAAGCGAATCGCGAATACGATATAACGACGTCGTAAATTAAAGCATTAAGAAGCGGCACTGACTGATGCTGTCGCGATTAAGACCGAATACTGGTTGTCGCCGATTTACAATGAGCCGAGTACCGATCGAGATTGGAAGGATTGCATTGTCGAACCATGAATCCATAGTGATTTATCATTATTTTCGATTGTATTTGAATGAATATATAAACATTTTTATTCGGCACTGTCTAACTTCCTTTTACTAATTAGATACACGAATACAGTGTATCAGATTTTTCAAAGAGCAGTCAAATATCTGGAAAAACATGGAAATTCTAAAAAAAATATTTCTTGTAAAAGTCGAATTTAATTTTTAATTGTGATAGCATAATTTTTTTTGCAAAGATTTGATTTTCGACGCATTCTGCGTAAAAAAATAGTAAGGTACAATGTCAAACTAGAATTCCAATTGTCATAATATTTTTACAACTTTTACAAGTAGGTATTATTGAATATCACGAAATTTCCTCGATTTGATCCTGCAACATGTTTGATTCGTGACGGTTTGTTTGGATGGAAATATTTTTCAATAGATAATCCTTCTGTTATCCGTGAAACCGTATTTCCAATGTTTATTCATCGCCTGTTGCGCGAAATAATAGGAGATTTTTGTTTTTACACGATTCGTGTGGTATCCATTTTTCCAGTTAAATATTTTAAAAAGTGTGCTGATGAATAATCCGATTGCGTCATTTGCAATGAAAAGAATTTATTTTTCGTTTATAAGTCGCTTTATCAAGATGTGATTGATGAAGGTCTTTATCTGAATGAATTGGCTGATTGGTGGTTTGTGTTTTTGCGAAGATAGACACAGTGTTTAACCTCTGAACCCCCCGATCAGTAAATTCTGTACTCGAGATAAGGATTTCCCTTCAAGACCTTTTTCTCACCGTGTTCCTTCGATACTTGTTAGTTAAGATGGCTACCCTAGATGGGAGCATCTAACCTTGCATCCTTCATGGACCTCCAAGATAACGATCCTCTACTCTTCTACTTCTTCTACAGGTTTGCAATTCTAGAAACGAGCTATGTAGAAGTATCTTCTTCGTAGTGTAGGAGCCAGCTCAAGAGTAAAACTTGCGCGAAAAACTGTCGATAGCATTTCTTACAAATTGATACTTTGCTGAAAGTGGGTACCAGTCAGCTGAGAGTGATTCTCAGTAGAGTGCTAACTCCCAAGAACACGAAGACGTATTGGAATACATGATTTTAGTTCTTTCTGAACTAAAAATTTCAGACATGGCTAAAAAATTTAGCAAGAACGGTGAAGCATCGTTCGTTATTTCAAATTGAATAATTCACTAATGAAATTATATTCACGTATTACGAAGCGTATCATAATTTCTGAATTTTAAATAAAATTAGCTTCGTGCAAAGTTCAATTTTTCTTAAAAATTTCGTTTCATAAAAAAAAATTTCATTTTACTGATCACATTTTTACAAAACTACATATGAGAAAAGAAAGAAATAAAAATAGATGAGAATTTTTTTAAGGAGATCGCAATATGTTCGGCAGAAAAATGACGAAAGTTCGCGCGAGAAAAATACCAGAAAGAGCTACAAAATATATTTCTTCTTGAAAAACTTCAACGCACATACCATCAACAATTTCTCATGTTCACCACGAAAAATGCAAAAATTTGTTTGTCGAGTAACAATTTCATTTCTAGCTTCTACATTGATATTCATTATTATTCTATCGTCAAGTTTGCTAGAGTTGAAATTTCTTAATTAAAAACGGCTAATGAAAAACCTTACTAAAACTGAAATTTAATTCGTCTTTCCAACTTGAGCTGAATCTCAGTTGAATAAAGAATTTAAAATCTTCTTTTCTGAGTTTTTTCCTCAAATCTGCAGGTGAGCCTCTCTGTGCAGTAGTATTAACTTCATATGTAACATACTTTTGTAACCATATAAATATTACCATATAAATATTCATGTAAACGAAGAAAATCGAAACATTCAACACAAGGTTTATTTCACCTGTATCCACATGATCCTGAAAAAATCATCATCTTGAAAATTTTTCAAGAAAACTATATTTCTTTTTTTTAACGTTCTGTAACGCTTTATTAATCTTTCTTTATTTAGTATTATATTGTTTATAATTTAATTTTTGTGTTGTTTTAGAAATTACTAGGTATCAATAAAAATATTTTATTTTCAGTTTGGCTTAGTTAGTCTCATAGGCTTTAATATTCATCTGGGTAGATTTTTCTAGTATTCAATGGTAATGGACGTTCTACTACAATTCTGTTTGAACTAGTGAAAACATTTTTGCTCCGTTTGATTAAAAACGATTCTATTGTACACGCGCGCAACAGAATGTACATACCCAATGTAAATGGATAGTATAGGAAACAATTTTGAACAAACGATTGAATGAAACGCAAAGTGAAGATAAATACACTATGTACTATTAGTATAAATACCGGTGCGCGGAAACAGACACGAAGCGCACAAGAAAAATTAAAACGGTTCGATATCGAGTTGAAGGCAATCTTGATAGAAATTGCAATATTCTACGTTGTAATTCATTTTTCCCTTTTTTGTAAACAGATTTGACGAGGGACAAACTGTCAACGCCAGGATCAAACTAAAGGAATAAAATTTGAATGAGAATTCTTTTTTAGAAACTGTTTACTGCTGGGACTGTTGTTTGTTGGAGAAATATAAATACGAAAGTTTAAAAGCTGTGGTTGTAGACAAACACAAATCAATAGTTAGTAGCATACTTCAGCATCGTGAAACGGATTAAAATTGAAAAAAAACAAGAGATAGAAAAGTACTTTTGACGATGAATCACTTTTTTCGATCATTCGGAGTGACGACAAAAACTCAAAGCAAATCATTGCAAGAGATAAGAATTTATTCGAAAATACAGATTTATCTAACCTTTCAGAGATCCGAGATACATTATAGCACAAAAGAAATATATCTTTTTTTATTGCAATTTATTTTATTGGACTGTCAAAGGATTGCTATCCTTTCTCGGGCACGAATGGCTCAAATGAAAGTTATACTTTTATGGCGACAATTATTGCAGCGAAATTATAAACGTCGAAGAATTTAATTATATTTCTAAATATTTCTTAATTGTACACTAAATTTTATAAAATTGATTAATTAAGAATTATATTATTTTGTTTCCAAATTATTTTTAATATTAATATCGTCAAAATTAAAACTTTAAAAATTCGTACGTCTTCTATAATCTCTTTTTTCAATTTGCTAGATACTCTACATTACCCTTCTGTAAGGAAAGGTTGCAAATGTATCATAACCTTTTATATATTCATTTAAGTAAATTAATTTTTTCAGAAATGATTTACGTAGGTAAATTTAGAATTCAAAAGCACATAAATGAACAAATTAACGCAATCTAGTGATCACATTTTCATCCTTAATTTAAGGGATCGTTTCCAACCCCTGGATAAAAACCTTTGCCCACAAAAAGGTGCATGTGGAACATTTTTTCAAATGTTACGTTGTATCCAAGTTTCACCAAAATCGAAAGGACACTTGGTTAATATTTCTTGTCAGATCCCAACCTACGTGACAAGAATTTACACATTATGGAAGCAGGCCGAAATCAGGCTCGACTTGTACAGCCTTTTCTACTTTATATTCATCAGACGTTGTTTCATTCAATTATTATTTGTTTAGAAGTCTTCGCAATTCTTAATAATTCTATTAAACTGTTGCATATCAGAAAATCTAATATGATCCGATGACATAAAAGTATTGCGAAATAGCACTTATGCTAATTAAATTAAAGTTTAATATTTGGTAATCTCACACGCAATAGTCATTTGATATAATACATTAACAGTTAAGATTTTCAGACGATACATAGACCAAAGAATCATTTAGAAAGATTCGTCCAGTTATATTTTTTTTATAATAAAATATTCAAAAGAATATGCAAAAATTGTTATATAAATTCATAGAAAAAAAACTGTTGATAAATTTTACTTACCAAATTCAGCAGATAAACATTGGTTACAGTTCGCATCCTCTTGTTACGTGCGAGGGTAATTAACACCAAAGAGTTTCCAATCATCGAAAGTAGAAATATCGTCCCATATAATGGAATGATTAAACTTTCCAAAAGATCAGCTTGTCCAGGCTGTGTGATGCTCGGCAATGTAACGTTAGCAATGATCGGAGTCATCGTCGATAATTGAGGTATGTTGCTGGCAAACACTTGATCAATGTCAGAATTGACAATATATTCGTTTGTCAACGCGTTGTCTGACATATTCAGATCCGGAAACGACATTTTGGCTTTGTATAATTTTATTCCTTCATCAAATTCTTGTTATGAGTCTGAACAAAACGAAGTCTTTCCTTTCGTGTTTGCACAATACATAGTGAATAAGGAATTTAATTCCTTTTGGTATCATCAAAGTCCTGTTATGTCGAAACTTTCTTCGTTGACTTTTATTGCATCTGAAACATAAATAGAGGCAGATAATATTAGAACATTGTTTTATGGTGCTTAATGGAAGAGTATAATTTTACAAATATTATTAAATTATTTTTGGAACAAGAAAGGAAGATCAAGTTCTTAATTAAAAAATTCTATTATATTACAAACTGAATAGTTAAAATATCAATTTCGGTTTTAGTTTTTAGAAGTATCATATTTTTTCATTGTCAGTAAAACGTTACTTGATACATATCGAAATTCGCAAAATTACGGATTTGATAACTGAAAAGTCAAGAGGTGCACGAAATTATTCTCGTCCGAATATAGGTCGAAAAAGATACCTGGTAGAGCTAAAGGAAAGCTCTACTTACTGAATAAGAACAGATTCCTAGTATAGATACCTCTGGATGTTCTTTTCGGAGAGGTATGTATTATTAACCGTACTTTGAAATCTTGGAAACTTTACCTCTTAACTGAATACTCTACTGATATAACATAGACGGACGGTCAAAGTTAGTTAGAATATAAAGGTATGCAAGTTTGATGAACAGTTTACTTTTAAAACAAATTTTTAATACTCTTCACTTTTTTTAAATTTATTTATTAGAGACAGGTCCGAATTGAGTTTTCTGGAGCCAAGGGCTATCAACCCTTCGAGGGCTCCCTTGGTTAATAAACTTGATTCAAAAATCGAAATTTATTGTACATAAAAATTAAATAACGTTTAATCGTAAAGAAAAAAGAGAATAGTAAAAACAGCTTATTTTTGAGAAAATTTTAATATTGTGAAAAATCACTAATGTCTATACACAGCTTAATATATTCTATGTTTATTAATAATGAGTAGGTGTATTTACAATTTTAATGGAATGAATAAGCAGTCAAACAAATGTTATGAAAATTAATTTCCCTGAAATAACAGAGAACTTCAATCGGCAATCCTGCTTATTTCTAATTCGTTATTGCATGTTGAATATTCTATAAAAGCATATTCCTCCATCGACTGTGTTAGTGATTGTACAGGACGGTTCACGTAATTGAAATTGGCTGCTGTTTTTATTTCCTTGAAGATTGGTAAAGTATGGTGAAGGATAAAATTGAATTCCTTCGCATCCTATGTTTTCAGAAAGGCTAACACAATATGTCTATGTATTCTTTTTTTTCGTTTAATGAAAGTATTATACTGTGCATGGAAACGAGCTAAGATTTTCCCAGGGCGTATGTATTTTTAGAACACCCTGTACATTATAATATCGATCAGAATAATTCAAACAACACGATATAATCTTTGAAGTTTATGCCAGTTTTTGGACCCAGATACATGGTTTATGGTATTTAGTTAATGGAATGTATTGTTTAAGAGACAAAAACGACCGTTACTGTCAAATACTTGCCATAAACGTATAATGAAACACGTGTATTAATGTGATGGTTTATAGTTTTTCTTATGACTGCTTTTACTACTCTGGTTTTTCCTCCTAATTTTCCCCATGCCCAAATCTCATAAATATGAAATATACCTTTGCCCTAATTATTTCTTGTTTATTTCTTATAAAGGTTGTAAAAATATCTATTCAAATATATTTTACATTGTGTATTTTGCTAAAAAGGTCATTTCATTGTACATATTATAAATAATAAAACATAACGAGTTGCATCACCCTAGTTCCTCAAAATAATAGGTAATTTTAAAAATAATTTTTCTGAAAAGTATAAAAAACAAAAGATATTAAGTAAACTTCTGTTTACAATTTCAAATTAAGTGGCATAAAAGACGAAATAAAATGGTGGGTTAAAGCTTAAAAGAAAGCTTCTTCTGAATGCAAGCTTTTATGGAGCAAGTCATAAAAATTGCAATTGTTTTCTGAATTAAAACAGGTTAAACTTCTTATTAAATTTTTTTTTAGAAAAGTACACATGAATAAAATAAAAAAATCAGTAAATGGGAAGATAAAATTTTATATCTGGTTCTATTCTGAATAATATTCGATTTTATTTAATTTATGTAAGAGCAGCACGTGTTTTAATATTTCTATTGTAGCATTGTCTGGAATTAATTAAAGTTGCTCTCGATGAATCGAAAATCGAGTATGTATCTTAACACGGTATTTGGACATACAAACATACCACAAAAAGATTAATAATTAATTAGCACTTCCATTAAAGCGACTATTTTCCAATCAATAAATACCATCGTTTCATGTCAATTTCCCCGCTTAAGGTAATGGCTAATTAATTTTCAGTCGCTGACTGTAATGAAATCGATCATCAATTTAGAATGAATACTTATCCTTCAACTACTTGACAAAATGTAATAGGTACACCATTGTATCTCAAAACTACGTTATATGAACTTTTTGTTCATTTAGAGAGAATGTAAAATAAAACGAGAAATTTGGTGAATTAAATATCCCTCTATAAATGATAATTGTACATTTTTGAAACATTTTACAACTTTGATAATATTTTGAGGTTTTTGAGTAACTTTCAGAGAACACTTTTCTTCTTTGACTTAAAAGAAAAGGAATTTACATGTACAATTTTACAGAACATTGATCGATGAATTTTTTTGAAATATCTTCAATCGAAAGTTCAAGTTTCTCAATGTCTTCGACATTTGTTTTCTTAAACTGTTTGAAGTAGCGTCAGTGTTCAATCTTATCAAAATTGATTATTTCGGGAATATTATATTAGTTATGTAGTAAATTTTAGGTGTGATCGATAGAAGGTGACACCGAAGTGGCACTGACGTTAAAAAGACGAACGATCAATCCTTTCATTTCAAGGGTTAACCACAGAAAGTTTAAATTCGATTGTCCCAGCAATTCGAGTAACAAATACATTTCTGATCTCTACATATAATAATGAAATAATAATAATGAATAATTTTCTGCTACTTTAGAAATCTATTTAAAGAAATCTTATGATCGGTCCATCAAAATTTTATTATCTATTAAAACTGTGCAACATTGTGTACAAATAGAGCAAGGAATTGAAATTTTAAAAATAAGAAATATTTTCGATAATTTTATTAAGAATCTGTGTGCAATTCATTTATGTTAATGAAATGATGCAATATAATAATATAATATTTTATACACCTAATCTACAACACAATGCACTGAGTAGTTTAGGGATATGTATTGCTTAACCAGAGAGAATTCAAGAACTTTAATTGCTATTCATACCGAGAGATGTTCCTTATTAATATTATAATTACGGTATCTTTGAATTTCAGAATTATTCATAAATAGGAATATCATTAACATTGTTTTAATGGGATTAAGTGGGAGAATGGAAAATTAAATTGGTAAATTAAATATTTATGCCTTGAGAAATTCTTGTGATAATTTAATTTCAATCTTATTGAAATTAAAATTATGGAAAATACGTATTTAACCCTTTCATCGTGGCATTGTATTTCTCATCTGACAATAAGTAACTAATTTTTGTTGTGTATATTCTACCTTTCTCTCTAAAGCGATAAGATTGTGTTCGATGCCAAAACAATATACTGGCTTTGTTTGGGCTATGACGTATCATATTGTTCGGACAAATTGCCCTCACGTCCGTTTTTGCGATCCAATAATGAACACTATGCAAATATGCATTAGAAATTATACGATGGACGTGTATTCGGTGCATAGCATAATTATCGTAAACGATATTTTAATCATTGCTAACACGACGAACGAATTACTTAAAACATTGGACATACCTTTAAACAGTACATTTCTATTAAAGCTTCAATTTAATTTCGTAACAGAGCTCAATAAACTGTTCATCAAAATATATAACATATACTGAAGGAAGGATCCATGTCTAAACTGTTAAAAATATTTGATTTACAAAACCTTTAGTACATTTCACTGTAATACTTTTTCACACTTACGATTAATATAAAATTTAAATACTTTTAAATGGTAGCGTAAGTCATTTGTCTTACGCTGTCATATTCGCGTAGGTTGTTAATCGTGTTGAACATCAACTCATCGATCAATCATCGTTTCTGTTGATTCTGATCAATATTCAGTCGGTTTAATAATCTTTAGCAAACTTTCTTGTTTCCTACTGATATAATTCCTTAAGAGCATCGATTCGTCTTCGGAAGAATTGCCACAAAAAAAAAATTCAGTAAATTGTGCGTCGTAAGGAAATCGTGTAAGTATGGAGTTGGGGTCCATCGTGATTCATGAAGCGAGCAAACTGAGCTACATGAATTATTCATGACTAAAGGGTTATTCCACTCTCCATGTGTCAATATTTTTTTTCTTTTTTTAAAAGAGACCAGTTTCTTGTATGTTAGTAATTATTAAGAAAATGAAAACGAAGTTATGTAAAATAGTTTCTTTCAATCTAATTTTAAACAAATGAAGTTCAAGTTGAGTTCGTTTTACTCATTTACCCTCTTGTCATTTCTTTGGTGTTATTAAACGTTATTGATCGTAAATTATCGATGGAAGTTCATGCCCCACGTATTTCAGTGTTAAACATCGACTCAACCATTCCTTATTGAAGCTTTGTCGAACCCCTGTATTCACAGCACCAGGCTATTTTGTATAATTGTATTCAACGAAATCTTAAGGTTCATTTAAGAGGAACATTCCTTCATCCTTTCAGCAATTTCTTTCATGGAAATTAATTAGATTTCCTATAACCTGAAGAATTATTAGGAATATTTAGTCTAAATTTCAGCAACCTTTTTGCTCAGAACTTGAACGATTTATTACCATTTTATTTGAATTTAATTATCAATGATTCAATTTACATAAAATACATTTAAAATCTAAATTTGAAAAGTTCGGGTTTGGATAAATTGAATTATTTGTAATTATAATATATTAAACGTTAACAGCCTAAGTGATATATTAAATTTAACAAATTTAAAAATCTTCGGACACTTTACTTTGTTATTCAGCATTTTATGTATAAATACTGTATCCAATATCAAACCTTTCTACTTTAAAATGTTTTGACTTTTAAAAAAAATTGTATGAATGTACAGTTTTTTAAACAGAATTACACATTGGACGGTGCTAAAATCGAATAACGAAATATACCGACGTTCCAAAATTACAAAACATATTTTACGTTTAACATGATGTCGAGCAGTATAAAAGTGGAAAACAGAACATGTCATAACGATTAATAGTACATAGATATCGGGAAAATGACGAATATTGATGTCATGTTGCTAAAAATGAAAAATCTCTTTTGTAGCATTTTTTTTCAAAATTCAGTTTCCGAGAAATTTTAAATGTTTACATTTTACTGTCAAATAATAAACATTGAAATAAAAATAAAAAATATTAAAAACGTAAAAACATTTTTTGCATTGCTTTCTTAACAAAACATTAATTTTTAATTTTTCTGAAGTATTTATGGATTTAGACCTTCAATTTAAGACATACTTAATTCTAGGAATTTTTAATTAGCGAGCTGCTATATTTGTTATCAAAACCGTAGAAAATATGGCTTGAGTGCTGGTAAAATTATAGATGTAATTAAGAAACCCAAGAAAGGTTTGAACCTTTGCAATTAAGGATATCATAAGCTAGAATTCAAAGGGAATAGGCCATCGAATGGGAAAAAGTCCAGAAAATAATTATTTCTCACCGTTCATCACAGGAATTTATTTTTAAGAATTCCAAAATAGTTTCTCATGGAAAACTACCCAAATCTCTCCCTTTCCAACAAATATAATATCTTAATTACACGTGTATTAATCCTTTGCAATGTTTATAGTAATTCTTTGAAGAAAAGCTTGGATGATTTTTAGCCAGAAGAGCATGAATTAGTTGCCAACCTAATAATTTTCTGTGCTCCTACATTTCCTGGCTATGTACAGACCCCCATCCACTGACATATAGCTACATATACATTCATGTTTCTAAAGAGGGTCACCATTTCACGTCTAACAAGTTTCGAGCACTTGTGAGTTCTGATCTAATCTAAACTTCTTCAGATGTTCGGCACCAAAAATGCATTGCAATCATTGCACGACACCCTCGTTCTCCTTTAAATTTTAAACTTTATACACGTGGAACTGATACTTCAACATCACTAAAAGTGACGTTAAGTCAAGTGAAGTTTTTTGAAAATTTTAAATTGAAAGCAGACATGGTTAGTTAAATCGTTAAATATAATGTTATAAATAAAAAATAAAAACGTCACTTGCATCCTTTTAGTTCAAAATGCCTCATTTATTTTCCACAGAAAGTTAAAACTTTTCATTATGATTCGCAACAATGTTATATGAAACTATTAAATTACTAATTACATAAAATTAAAGAGAAATATCAATTGTAATATTCAGTGTTTCCGGTGTGAAATATCAAAGGTGCAATTTTATATGTTCGATATGTGTTTCTGCATCGCAACACCCATATAACGTAAACACCCACAGGTGGTAAGTTATCCCTTGCGAACTATGATATTGAAACTTCGGTGGAGCGTAATGTAAACTTGTTTTGACCCAGCTCCTGGTCGATTTATATGTCCGAGTAAGTTCGTAGTAAATTTTAGAAAGGCTGTTGTAAACACGATTGTTAAAAGGCATAAATTCTCAAATGACGAATGTACGACTCTATGCGATACAGGAAACGTTTTATAAAATGATTTGGATCATCAAAAATTATAAAATATATTTTATTCCTTTTTAATTTGTCGTTTCTATTACACACCTGCTGCATTGTTTCCTTGATATTGCCTCAACTAGATCACTATATACATATGTTTTTATTTGACAATTTTTGGCATATTGCTAACGAATTCTTTACCACATTTCGCAATCAAAATTTTTGTTGGGTAGGTTTCATTGCTGACCTTATTCACTGGATCACAGTTATATGACTATAACTTTTATGCGTACCTTTTTTTAAACTTCACATTTTTATTTACAATCTATCCGAAGTAGACAATAAATAAATATGCAATTGTGGATTCAGAGACTCTTCTAAGAAATTACAGGGTTAAAGAAAAGGTCTTATATATAATTTTATATATTAAAAAACGAATGCAATTCAGTGCAGTTGCTTACATTGTAAAACTTGTATAAGTGGACTGTTAATTTACCTACTGCAGTCGAGTATTAAAATTGATTGTTCCATTATCTGAAAATTCCATTATCTGAAAATTCCGGTATCTAAGCACTTATCCCCCTATTAGATCGAATAAGGAAGGTTCTACTATAATTTAATTATTTACCCCTGAAAAGCTTACAGTATTTCATCATCCTCTATATTCTCTCAATTTAAAATTAAAATTGAAGTTAAAAAATGCTCGTTTCGATGATACTTCTACTATTGAAGAATCTACAACTGACTGCCTAATTATGATTCGGATAGAAAATTATCAATAAGAAAGCAAAAAAAGATCTGGTTTCTCTTATTTATAGTTTGACCGATCACATTGAAACTTGGACAGGTTACTTCAATAGCAAAAATCACGTCATAAAAATTCTATGCCATTTATAGGAGTTATGGTAAATATTCACTTACCGATACGGCTAGCATTCCGTCGTTAAACACCGTGCAACTCTCGTCATCTTCGTCGTTGCACAAATCACATCACTATAATGTACGGATCCGGGACATGAAACGCACTTTCATTAACACTGTACCGAACCTATTAATAAAGTTCTTAATGGTGACTACTTGATTAGTTTTTGCTCAATGAAATTCAACTATGTTGCAAGAATCAGAAGCAGAAGTAAATTAAATTATACTTCTCACTTTTTATTCACTATTAAATCACAGAATTAGGATGCACATTTATTCTATCTTCTTGTGATCGACAATTCGAAGTCAAAATAATAGATTTCAGATTTATTACTTTATATTACAGAAACTATTAAGATGCTTGTTTACTAAGATAAAGGATGTTCAGCTACGGATGGGCATCTTTCGAGGGGGTAATAGCTTCACCGTGGCAGCGAACAAACTACTCACCGTGTCGGTTCGTAGCCGACACCCCCGCGGCTGAGCATGTGCGTTATGCATGCTCTGATTGATAGGTGTTTTTCATCAATAATTTAAAAACTAAGCCCTAGAGAGCTTTTTGGTAAAAATAAAAGCCGAACACCCTGTGTAATAATCATAAAGTTCTATTTGTAGCATGCACTTTTGTGCATCGGTGCATCAGAAAAATTCAATTGCATTTTTTTTAATGAGACCATATATTTTGAAGCTACATTGATTAATGCAGATTTCACTTCCTACAGAATCTATTAAGATACTCGTGTCTTAAAATTATTATATGAAAAAATATTTAGAAATTTCTCTGGCAGATGATCGCTTTTCACTTAGAAATGCAGGGAAATTTGTATGGGTATTATAATAATGAATCAGAATAGTAATTACTGAACGTATAATTGGGTTATAATAAATGGATAATTTTTAACGGATAAATCCACCATCAGGTCACAGCGACAACTTTCACTTGGGCAGATATATCCGATCAGAGTAATCTAAAAGGATTAAGAAGTATATAAGACATTTATTACTATCTATTATTAGATAGTTGCGTTAAATTTCTCAAATAAAAGTACTGCGACAGATCAAATAAAAAAATCCTTTACGTTCATTTGCAGAGCAGAGTGTTAATAAATGTTCAAAATCGTATATTTCAATCGATCATAGTTGCACCTTGAATCGAGTATACGTTTCAATTCATATTTTGATCCGACTCGATTCTAATGGAATTTTGCTGATTGGAAATTGGATATTAGATAATAGACAATACTAAGCTGCAAATTGGTTGGCTCCAAATACCTGGATAACATTTCGAGAGAGGGAATTTCAAATATTAAATGCTACAAACTTGAAATAAAATAATATTTTACATAAACAGCTGAACTGCAAATGAAATAATTTTGTTTTAGGAGCCTGAAGCATAAAACAGAATTCGTTGATTTGCCAAAATAAAATAAATTATTAATTACTTTACCCAGCACTGATTTCAACAAAGAATCACTCATTCTATGTTAATATTACAAAATTGCTGAATTGTTTATATAGTAATTTTCATGAAACTTTGAGCTTTAAATTGATGTATCATAAGTACCATTTTGTGATACTTTTATGTTATCAAATCCTGTCACACCTTATACCTTTCAAAATTGACCATTTAATATGTAACAACTTAATATTTTATGTTTCGAAATTGATCATTTTGTATGCAACGAGCTAATATTTTGATAGCAGATAAATAATTTTGACCTCAATTATGAAAGATCTTTAATAAGCTACTCGCGAAATCAATCATATTATAAACAATTATGAATATCACGGATGTGGTTGATCTGATTACTTTTGATCGATATTAAATTGATGTAATTCAATGATTTCATTCATTGAATTATTTAAGAACTTGTTTCAATCCTGTTATTTTAAATTTTTAATTTAATTGATAATATCTGTTGTAGAGTGCACGCACAATTAAATACCAATTTATGTTTCATTTCATGTTTGAAGGTGACAATATCTTTTTCGTTTTTATTTCATAATTTATACTAGCAGATAAATAATTAAATAATTGCTTGACATCTACTGCAACTGACGCTGTTCGAAAACTTTTTCAGTAAAAATTCATGAAGGAATTTTTAAAATTGCTCGCTACGTATGAAATTATTTTAAAATTTTGTATTCAAATTTAACGCGTCAAATAAATCGCCAATTTTTTTTTAAGATTCTAGTAAATTGAAAATTTTTTAATAAAATTCAAGATAAAGTGTTGGTGGAATTTTAATTGACATATATTATTTCTTTTTTCTAATCAGTTGAATAATCAATCAAATCTTCACTGCTATCACATAAAAATAATTGTAAAATGTTTAAAATGTAAAAACAATTTTGTGTGGTTTTATGAAAATAAAAAATAGTTTCGAATAAAGGTGACTGACAAACACAATGAACTGTTCACACGATATCGATAGCTTATTTTGGTGCATTATTAAACTACATTCTCCAGGTTCCTTTATACACAACCAACCGGAAAATATCGATGAATATAGAAGACTTTACAAAACATTTATTTCCATACATATTACGAAATCGACAGCTTCAAAGCGGTTGATCAAAAATCGTTTAAGATTCTTTTCTGACTATCATTGTTTACTATCAATAATTGATCAAAAGCGATCGGGGAAAAAATGTCCTGGATTCTCTTGTTCCAAAATTAAAAAGTTACGAATAGACTACGAATGTTCGTACAACTATGTGTCTATTATTTTTTTTCAGGTAATTCGTAGTATTATTTTAACAATTTAAACATCCTTATTCGATTTATAAAATATATCGAAACATGATTTCAATTCAATGCTTTTAAAGTACATACGAAACTTTTTTAGTACCTATTGTATAACTTCAACACAGAAAATTACAAATGAATAATATTTATATTATTATATTCAGAAGTGTAATATCTATTGTTGAAAAAATTAAAAACAATTTTCATTAATTCATAACATAAAAAATTTGTGATTTAATTTTAATTGAAATGTTCAATTAGCATTTGCTGAAAAATTAATCGATACATCACCAATAAAAAAGCAATGAATTCAAAAATAACATTGAATTTTGTATTTACATTTATAGAATTTTTTTACTTATTTTAATAAATATTGTGATTAGCCAATTATACTTAATATAGAAGGATGTCTTTGCCGAAAGCAACCATCAAAACAACCGAAAAGTCTTATTAAAGGTAAATTATGAAAGTCGTTTATTTTGAGATGTCTTTATCGACAAGGTATTACTTCTGCCTCCCTTATATAATATACCCCTCATTTATTAAAGTCTCCTTTTTCACTGACAAAGCTTCTATGCGTATAATGCATGTAATAAATGTAGAACACAGAAATATTAAAACGTGGTTCCGTTAAAAAATAAGTAAAAACTTCCATTGAGTCATATAATAAATACAGATTACAACGCTTTGATTTAAAAGATTCAAAAAGAATACGTGGCTAGAGTAACAGTGCACAGATTATTTTATATTTGGATTAATTTATGTAGAATATTTTATAATATTTGTCTTGTTTCAAACCATTAGGTAATTCAATTATATTTTGTTATTCTGTTATATAATAGATTTTAAAATACCTTATTACAAAAAAGTCTTACGAAGAAAATTATTTCATTTACTATGTATTAACGTTTACTGTTAATTACGAGTTATGTAACTTGTATTTAATTATTGAATAATTAAAAGAAAATAAAAGCTAGAAAAGTTTTTATATAACATTTCGTATTAAGTATTATATATTAATTACACAAGACGATAAATGGAAATTTTAATTAAGAAACTGAAATAATTGTCTCCTGAAGTAACAACAGTTTTATCTATAACCACGAGAAAGAGCACGGAATTCCAATATTTGATAAAAAATTATTAGATTAGAAACTTTATCCAATAATTATACTCGTATAAACTTTTATATACATTTTAAACTCTCGATGCAACGGTTTTTTATAATTATTATTCTTTACTTCGCACACTTTATCCTATTATATTATTTCAGTGAAATATCATTTTTTCAGCAGTCTTTTAAAGATTGATTAATAATAAAATTTTCTCACGGCACACCTGATGCGGCGTTGACTATTTTGGACAAGCACTGATACACATCGAATGACGTATTTATATATTCTCAACATAAGCAAGAAAGTAGTTAAAAGAACAAAATTATAAAATAAATTTTTTTCCATTGAAGTTCCGTTTAAAAAAATATAATAGTTTTAAATTTTCATAGAATAAGAAGGTACTTACAATCACAAGGTCTATTTGTGTTTATAGTACTAATTCCATAATTAAAAATTGACAAATTGATTCCGAGGGTAGAAAGGAGGGTAGAAATCATTCAACATTTTCCATATGAAAATCGTTCAAAATGAAATAAATCTGTTGCTCTATAATTGATGAAGATAGCACGCTCATTCACAGAATAAATCAATGAAATCACTCAACTGTTACGCGACACTTTCATCAGGTTACACTTTTGTATCAACCCAAAACGAACTTTTTAAATGGTAAAAGTTTCACCAATTCACGCGAGGCGTCCGAACTTTTTCTCGATAATTCAAGATCACTTATTAATCAATTGGTGTGACCTTCGTTTTTCCATCGTTTAACCGGGAAAAATGAACGGCGATCATTTTAAGCGGACACTTTAGCGGTAGCGGTTTAAGTGGCGATGCTCGGCGATTGGCGCGACGCAAGTAGTTCAGCTCGACGCGTTTAGCGACCGACCAGCGTGAAGCGCACGCGACGGATCCTGGCCGCCTACTGAATCCAGGACTACTTCGTACCCGGCGAATGTTCGCCGCTCTCTGCTCGGACCAATCATCGCTCTCCTCTGAATTTTCTCTGTCGTCCTCGCATCAACATAAACAAGGTTTATGGTGTGAACTTGCTATAGTCTCTATAATTGTTTCCTACCTTCCCTTGTTGATGCGTAATCATGTCAAAAGGGGACGTGATTAACCTATCTCGAGGAGAAATTCTGCTTCGGAAATTTCAAGACAGCAATTTATCCTCAATTCTGTATTACCTATATGAATATGTGTACAATTTGGTTCCTATATATGTATGTATATGTAATAAAATACAGAGATTCTTTCAGTATCTCCAACCCTTTCGTTATGATCACTTCTGTCGTAGATTGTATTACCATGTTTTTATATTAAATTGTCTAATTCAATATCTGAATGTAAACTAGGCCACCATCCACTTCGTGACTGACATACTGGAGCAAAGCGATTAATTTGCAATAAAAGTAATTTTAACAGAGTTGGGACACAATATAGCAATTAAAAGTAGTGTTTCAACATTTTGGCGAGCAACATTTCAGAAACACGTGGAAGCATTATTTAAACGAGAGCGAATTTACAAATATAGTCACTTATCCTCGTTTCGTTTTAAAAAAAGAGAAAAACAGAAAGTGCATTTAGCTATACAGCACTATCACGAGAATTTGACGAAAAAGTCCACAAAATCATTTCCCGGGCGTAGTACTTGAACGTTCCATCAAAGAGTAATACACTCGAGGATTGAATTTTTATCGCACCCTTAACTACAAGAGTAAAAAGAGTAAAATGGAACGTACATCACGCTGGTCACGAAAGGGTTAAATGGTCCAGTTTATCTTGAATAAAGATTTGTCGTAAAAGTTAAATTGGGTGAAAACACTCCACGTTAAGTAGTTTCATTCTTATCCCACCATATGACTAATGTGATTTTTGAGTGCAACTGGAGATTTAAATTGTAGGAAGTAAGGCTATATCTTCAATATTTATTTATAATTTCTTTCCAATTTTATTAGAGAAGCATAATAATTTTTATTATTTTGAGTAAACTATTTGATTATTGATGGGGGTCACACTTTTTAAAATACAATCTTTTATTTCCAATGCACTATCTTATATTTTTTAAATATTTTGAATAAGAATATTTTCAGTGGAATAAGATTAGTAATAAAATAGATCTTTCAAAATGACCCATATTTTTCATTTGATAATTACTGAATCACTCTCTGTACAGAGTAAGTACGTACATGAAACTCATTTTATAGTATTGACAATATTTCAAACAATCTAACATTACAAGACTTATGTACTTATCAAACTTGTGGAAACTTAAATATTTTGCTGAAGAAGCAATAAAACTTTAAGATTTAAAGTACTTATAATCAAAATACTTATGAACAAGCAGGAGATTAATCTATAGGTCTTATAGATTCCTTTGATGTGACTAAAATTATTTAGATGAGCAGAAAAATTTGCATCGTTTATAATAGATACATATTGTAATTTTTTCAATTTATATGATAAAAATGAGAGTCTCTTATGGGAAGTATAAGGAGTTAAGGAAGATTTTCTCGAAGACTTCATTTCCTTAGAGCAGATGAAGAGTCTAATGTGATCTTGAGGGATGGAAATAATTTTCGAGGGTAGGAATAGAAATAACGTTGTTACTTTCTGCTATCTCATGGCGATAAAAAGTTGGATAATATATGAGAATAATCTTTTTACAGGAGCTTTATCCAAGTAGAGATTTATTTTAGCTCGGAGACTTAACAGCAAGACATTAAATTGTTTTAAACTACATATTTCACGTAGTCTTATTCAATATTCTATAATAATTACAATTTTTATTTTTTCTTCAAAATGAATTTCATTTTTAATTACTATATGTCGTAAAAAAACATGTAATTATCATAATTCAAAAGTCAACAAAATTCTTTCATAAATGGTCGAATATTAAACATTCTTAATTTTTTTTTAAATCAAGAAACAAACTTAAAAGTATTACGTTTCACAATTTATTTGTCTTACCATTTAAACATATCATGGTATACTTTTCCTTTCCCATATTTTAAAACTGCGAAAATTATCCTTAACTTACGAGTCCTATAAAAACAAATGGCGGCTTGAATTTGACCTGCAGGCTGTAATTTGCCGACCCTTACGATAGTTTGATCACCTTATAACTCTGTGAAACATACAACCTAAGAAAATGAATTTTCCTTGCATCGTGTTCACCCTTCGAAACCATGTACTTACACGTCGCTTCTAACATACTCTTTTCTTCTATTGCCAGGGGATATTGCGGCAGCTTCACTGTAATGAACTTTTAATCTCAAAGGTGCCGTGGTCCTTCTAAGTGATTGAATAAACAGAACGACCTACGATTTGTGACAGATCTAAAAACGCGGTAAGATTTGGAATGTTTAAAAGAAAATTAGAATATCTCCTAAAGATATCTACAGACGATAGATATATGTATACATAATAATTACGTATTTTCTAGAAATATCAATTTGAATTGGTCATTTGATATCAATCCTTCATCAATTTCAGCACTTTGTACATAAAACTTTTTATATATTTTCACATATCCACGAACTTCTCAATTGGGTATAATTCTATGTTAAGAAATGTGTTCACAGAAGATTATCCCTTAAGGGATAAACCCTTTCAGAGTTGTTATGTGAAAGAGGGTTGGAAAGATTTATGACGGTGATGTTGATAAAGTGGAGCTTGATTAAGTGGAAGATCTCAAAGTTTAGTAGATCCAGGGACTACTTGGCCCATCCGTAACAGAACGTCATAAGTCGAGGAAATTGAATTTTAATTAAAAATTATCAAAAATTAAAGAAATTAAGTTTTGATTTCGTGAATATTGCTAAATTACACTTTCCGTTATTAAATCATTATTATTTAATATTTCTATTTTCTATATAAATTATAAATTTTTAAATTAGTACCCGATACAGTGGGTCTAAAAAAACATACAGCAACATGAGGAACTTTGTGTTAAAGTAATAAATATGTAAGATCGTTCGTCCACGTGTTGAAAATAAAACAAAAATTTTTACTCACGAAAACTAATAAAGTTCTAATAGCGTATAATAAAACGATTTTCATAGGGGGCCTAAAAGAACCATTAGCTTATGATTAACGAAAATCAATTGGACGCTGAAGGCACCAGCATATGGCAAACGAATTTCCGAAGTACCCGAAGGCATTATTAATAAATATTAAAGTATCAATACCTCATTTCGGATGCATGTATAATTTTATGGAACACGTTTTAATTTCCATAGGAATCCAACACCATACTATTACGAATTCTTTTATTTATTATTTAAAAATAAGTATATTATATACTTGAAAGTATAAATAATGAAAAAGATTTATTAAAAATGAAAATACTGGCTAATGATACTTGCAATAAATTCAACATGGAAGTCAACATCTGAAATTTTGTAAATGTATATTGAAAAATAAATATTGTTTATATTTTTTTTTCTCTTCTACTGCAAATTTAGAAAATAGGATTTTAGCGCTTTGGTTATAGAATTTCGATGCATGAACTGGATCGAAAGCGTCGTATTTCATCATCAGACCATGCAGTTCGTTGAAACCTCAAACAAGAGGGAGTGTATTATTGATTTGAAACTGCGGTTTCGAATTCCAAAGGAAAATCAAACGTCCACGAGACACGCGCCAATTTTCTGAGTAATATAAAATCAGAATGTTTCGTTTATATAAATTGATGACATAACATGTGTCAACTTTGATCCGTATTTTGTGTCTACAGTTGCTTCGAAAACAAGTCTTTACCTATTTACAATTTAAAAAGTGTGAATAACCAAACTACGTGATAACTCCAAAACAATCATTAATTTGATCTCCAATTTTAATGCAAAAATTATTGTTCCAGTATATGAAACTCTTCCGTTTAAAAATTATGCATTAACCTTAGGTTTTGTGAGGTTCGGTCACGATGGACCCAAACTCCTCTGTTCAGGGGTTAATTCTTGGTCGTTAAATTATTTATTAGTCAAACCGCTGAAAATAGCATCAGTCTGAAAGCTCTTCTAAACATCGTGACCTTCCATTATTTGTTACTGTATTTACGATGTATTTCAAGAGCTGAAGTATAAGTTTCTTCTGCTTCGTCAATAACACGAAACATTTCACGCAAAGTTTTGTGTTGACTTTAACGATGTCACCCCCATGTACGACCACTCTTCTCCCTGAGCATCAATAACAGAATTAACTTAACCCAACGTGCGTTACTAAACAATCAAATGATAAAGCTGGTTATTTACTTTGTATCTTTCTTCAAAATGCAAACGTACTGTAAATGAAATCAGTATCAATGTTGGTAAAAAGTTTGTACATTGTTTTTTAAGGGAACGGTTGGATGGCAATATAGACTGTCTTTAATACCCTGTCTCCTCGTAATGAGTACAATAGAATAAAATACAAAAAAGTTGCATCTTGGATTTTCAGGTTAAGGTCAATTTTTTGAAAACGTTTTTCTAACAATTCCCACTGATGTGAGGACATAAAATCAGCAATAAAATTCAGAGAGCATTTTTTGTGGCTTATATACTAGATTGTAGTCTTTACAAAAATTGTACTATTTAGAAATGACCAATTATAAATAGTTTTCAAATTATTATGTAATTAAAAATAAATTACATATTCGTACGTTGAATTAACCTCCGAATGATGGAAATCAGATATAATTAAAATTTAATTTAAAAATTCCTTTTTCTACATTTTTAATAATTTATTTTGACATTACTTTTTGAGTAATGAAAGCCTTCGTTTAAAAACTTTAATAGTGAATTTTAGTAAAATATTGGTATATAAATTTCACAACTTTGGGTCGCGATTGACCTAGTTTTGCTGTTTGAATGTTAAATTCAAAGTTAATCCTACCTACCTGTGTACTGAATTAATACCGAGCTATGTAAGGATGTTTTTCTATTTCCATAAAATAAAAGATCATTCATCAAATTCTATGGGACACGACAGACGAATTAACGTCGTCGCAAAAACCACGAACGTTTTTCATGAAAGAATGACCTTAGAATATTCAATGCCTCTTACGATCTCAGCTCGTGAAACAATAAATAGTTATTCCGCCATTACTGGTCGCGAAAAGAAAACGTCTGAACACCGATTCCAACGAGATACGATTGGTTTTCAATACGATGTCGTGAAACTGTTTCATAAAAATACCAGACGTTTCATGAAATTCCACGAAAAGGCGATACTGCAAAGCGCTTTGCTTCGAGGGATGATCGAAGTTACCCTCGACTGAAACATCAAAAGGAACGAATAGTTGAAACAGTGAGAGCGAACTTTTTGATTTTTTGTGGATTTTTATCATACTAGAATCGTTGGTGACGAAACTCGTGTTTTTGAAGAACAAGGTATCTCGATATAAAGGATCTTGCAAAAACGTTCGGCTTCCGAATATTTAACACTCTGACGGTCGTATATTTTGTGGAACCCATGGCTTTTGTTATTTCATATTTCTTTCTATATCAATAAAAAAACAAACTTACTGAAAGAATTACAATGTTCGGAGCTCTTAAAATTACTACCTTTCAAAGTAGAATTAATGTACAATATAAAAAATATAAATAAATTAAAAAATGTTTGTATGAAATGTTACATACGTATTAAAATCACAGTCCCTCAATTCTTTAAATTAAAATATTCAAAATGAAATAGGTTTACATGATCAACCTACCGGAAGGAATATTTAAACAAAGAAAACTTGTGAACGTTGTTAATTATTAATCTTTAAAATTCACGTTGACGAATCTAAAATGGAGGCAACAAAGACGGAAAAGGTTCATAAAGAAAACAACTCACCGACTCATAAAGTGGTGAGTCAATTTTCAGTTTCTTAATCATAAACATTCATATATTGATAATTTAAATCATTTTTCTGTTACATATTCATTTAACGTTCTGATAAATAAATTTATTCTTTTGATACACCTTTTTCCAAACTAGAATCAACTTCTTTAAAAATTCTCTCTTTTCTTTTTTTTTATTTCAAAGTACAGTTTAATATAATAAAATGAGTACACTATGCAAACTTTGTTAAATATCAAGAACTAAGGTTACTGAATTATGTTGCTTGTACGTCAAAAAGTAAATTGATTGACTTACATCACTTAATTATCACGCTACTTCCAACGAGAATTCCATCGTTCTATTTCCATACAATTTAATTTAATTTTCATACGATGTTTAGTTTTTTCCATAGGTCTTCTATAAAAATGTACATTTATAGAATTAGGGTTGACATTGTAGCCACCTTTAGCATTGATTAATTTATAACATCCATTAATTTCTGAATTAACAAAAAATTTTTTTCTAAATATTTTTTAAAAATTTTCAAACTCAATTTTTGTTGAAAACTACTTCCTGCATGAAAACTATGAAAAATGTACACCACGACAAGTTTAACTTTTTCATGGCAAAAGAAATGTTTGATGACCACTATGAAAATCAATAGTTATGTCATGGAAAATCTACAATTCTGATGGTGTACATTTTTCTTCTGTTTTTGAGGCATTCTGCATACATGGAAGTTCAATTTAACAGGCTATGACAGGTGCAACGCGTTTCGATGAAACTCACGGTTCGACGAATCGTTCTACAACAGCACAGGAAATAATCAGGGATTTACAGCCGATCGCACTACGTACTGCATCAAGTAAGTAAATTAATTTACCAAGGTAAAATCTATTAAGTTGTCGCCGACGAAATTGTCAATTTACTCGAGAACGTTGAATGGCTATAACTAGTATTCATTAATTGAAACATGTTTTCAGAACTATAAATTTGAAATGAACTGTAAATGAAAACCTGAATTTCCAAATGAATTACTGCAATAAGATGTATCATCGATAAATAAAGCTAAATATTAAACGTACCATCCTGATACATTTTCTGAAGTTTAGAGAAACGTTATCAAATTCAAACAGTCGATACTTTAATTCGAGCGTGAAATTGTATGTCTAAAGTTCCAAGAGAAACGTTCGCTATCCGTAAACTAAATTTATCAAAGTTCGAAATGTTGGGGCTGGATTTTATAGCAAGATTATTATCATTGTAAAAACTACTAAAAGCCCGATCCCTGCGATTCACGCTCTTTTTGTTCTGATTAATGAGATTACTTCGTTAATTACTTCATTCTTTGAAAACAAAGGTGAGGTATTTACAGGGTGTCTCAGATCTTCTCGACCAAATATTATTAATAGGTATAAATAAAAGACAAAAAAATACAAATTTTGATCATTTGATCAACTAGACAACAGTATGTCACAATAACTTTTCTGTCAATTATACTTCTCATCGGTGAAAATTAATTTTAAAATATATTTTTCATATTTCTAATAATAACAATCACAAAATGCGTTAAATAACACAGAGAAAAATCTAGTGTCCCTAATTTTTTCATTGCCTCTGGTAACGTATAAAAATAGGTTTGTATAAATATTAAATTTTAACGTTCAGAGACACCTTAAAGTTTCATATCATATTACCACTATGGTTTGAGTTGCAGGGTACGTATTACATTACTCTGAGAGAATGCTTTGATGGCTATCTTTGCTTTAGACGATTTCAACTACGTATAATACAAGAATTAGTGCAGTGTGAGATAAAATCAACCCAGGATGGTACGTGTTTCGGTAGATTCAGAACTGCATGCAGGATCAGTGCAAACAAACAATTTCTAGTACCTCTTGCGACGTAGAATCACTAATTAATTAATATTATCATAAAATTTTAATCAGTAAAGCATTATGATAGAAAAATATTATTATAAAAAGGAACTAATCAATGGAAAATTATAAACAATTTAAACGTTCCGATAACTTGAATTCGTTTTTATCAGGTTCAGACGAAGGAAAATCTGGCATAAAAGACAAAGAAGAATCTCCAGAATTATTACAACGAAGGTCGAGGACCGAAACTGTTAGGCAAGATGCTAGAAAGCTGAAGAGTGCCACCCTAAACAGAATGGGGAGAATGTTTAAACAACGATCACAGACACCTGTTGCCGATAAATCATCTCTAAACGCGGAAGGAAAGATGGTAAGCCTTCGATCCATAAAAACGCAGGTTGTTCGGAAATATGTCAATTTTATCATTCTTTTGTTATACTGTTATTAAATGATCGATTTGATAATATTGAAAATCTAACACAATTTTATGACATGAAAATACATCGATTCGAGTTTTAAAATTTGGTGGAAATAACTATATAAATCATTTCTCAATCGTTTTCACTCCTAATTTTTTGTATTAATTATATTGAAAATAGATAGATGATCAAATCATGTCACATGTTTCGAAATTTATTTGATATGCGACAATCTAATACATATTAAAAATTTGTTTAAACTATTAAACTAAAAGGGGCGCGCGATGTGTGCGTAATAGTTCACGAGTAGAGGGTAGCTATGATACTATTTCCTGTCACACGCGAAAGTGCAAAGTTGATAGAGCCTAAAGTGGATAGGATAGTTGCTGAAGCACTTAGCAGGAACTTTGTTTACTCTAGAGAATACATAACATTGCTTGCTTTGATTAGTTAACTAGAATTAGCAGTGACTAAGGTTATATTATAATTAGTTAAGTGCATATGAAATGTCAAATTTCTATAATCTTCATAATTATTACAAATATTACAGCTATACTATTCTAGAGATCGAATAAGGGTATGGTATACGAAGCATTGTTAATACCAAATTTATTTTTTAATTCAAAATTTAATTTTTATCACCGTTACTTCCTTTGTAATTATCTTTAATATAGATAAGAGAAAATTTAAGTATTCATATCTTGATGAAATTGCTTTTTTTATGTATTGATATAAAAAAACTTTTGTTTTCTTACAAATCATAAAATAAACTGTTGTAAATCACGGTTAAACCGAAGTGGACATAAACTTTTCATAGCTACACCAACAACGAGATTTCTTAATGAAAATGGCACGCAGTTGTTCTGAAATGTTGTAAACATTAAATAAGTACTTTACAAAAGTTTTCATAGCTGTCACTACGTTATATAAACAAAATTCTTGTGACACGTATTACTGCCGCGTTTTCTGCTGCAACAATATCAGTCCAGGAATTTAACTGTAATTGTCCCGTACCGAGAAACACGTTTTACGAGGATTTCGAAAGTCAGTTTATGACGGTTTCGCCGTTTTAATATAAACCTTTTAATATTGCCGGCAATAGTAGTTTCCCTTTTTTCTGCAATGGATTTAGAGTTTTGATTTTCGTTTCGTTCTCAATGGCTAAATCGCGTCATAAACTGAGTCTTTCCGAAGGGTAATTCGACAGTGGTCAACCTTCGAGGGTCAACCTGGATCAAAAAACCCCGGCGTTGCCGAACTTTCGAGGTCCTCCGGTGCATCAGATATCACTCCACCCTCTCCTGGACGAAAATCGCGCTAAGGGCGTAAGGAAGGACGGACTCGATTCTCAGGGGACACGCTGATTGGAAAATCATCTTTTCGTATGAAACTAATCAACCTGTTCTCCCCGCTAGGCGAGAAAAATCGAGAAGGTGAAAACGCCACCAGAGCGTCTAGCATACTTTATAAAAACAGTGACATTCGAACGCAACCGACACTTATTCGATCAGATTCATTGGACGAATTAATTCAATCAGCGACAACGTTCGAAATCACTGAATCAAGGAGAGGTCTATGGGCGGCTTTCTAGAGGAGCCCGTTCTAACCCTTCCATTTACTATCCCACCAAATATCGAATGCAATTTGTTTTTACTGTTCCCCTTTTTCTTTACGACTGAACGTTATTTAAAATAAATTTCAATTTTTTTAACCAAGTTTATCAACTATGAGCGTCTACCGAGGTTTTCTAGCAGTTGGCCCCAAAAATCTTAATTATTATCACTAATTTCCCGGTAAAAATTTAAATTTTGGTCCGCCACTGCATCTGCTCTGACAATACTGAATTCTTTTTCTTAATCACTCTGGAGAAAATAAAATTAATAAGTGTCACGCTGAGTGTATACAACGCCAGCTATAATTAAGAGCAGACGACTGACCTACTTTCACAGGAGGGTGTTTTAATAAAGAGAAATCATTTTTGATAGAATACAATGAAATCAACGGAGAACTGCGAGGACGAGGCTTCGAAAAAAGAGAAGAGTAACTCTTTGGGCAGAATGTTCAAGCTGGTGGATAAAGATGGTTCGCCGAAAAAATTGTTTCATCCTCGAGCTGGGTCCTTGAGTCGTATTTTGCGCCGACATCCCAATAATGACAATAACGACAACGAGAAGAAAGTTACAGAAGATAACACTCCGGGGATTTTCTCGAGGATGCTGAGTCAGTTAAGAGGAAAGTAAAAAGCTTGAAACTTTAACCACACGATATACATATCAATACATGATTTTCTAAATTTTGCTTATACTAGCTGTGTATTGCTTGTACTTGCTTCTTTTGGTAGCAATAATTTCTATAATGTAAAGTGAACTGAATTGTAGTGATACAATTGTAGGAAATCATCGTTCTATGGTTAACCCTATTCCCTTACCCTGGGGCATTGAACATTCTAGCACACATAAAAAAATAAGACCCTTTTGTAAGGGTAAGAAAGTAGGGTTAACTGAAAGAAAAATACTGTGTAAAATGATATAGGAAGCTGTAATATTTTTCTCTATTTAAAACAAATTCTTTTGTTTTAATTGAATATTCTGTGCATAAGGGTGGCAAAATACTAAAGTATCAGGAAACTGCAATTTTTATTTTAGAAAAAAAGGTATTATCAAATACATAGTATTCCAAATATTGGCATATTAACCTGAGTTTGATTTCTTGACTTGATGAGTACCTTAAATTTTATCAACCCTCGAACGACGGATCATGGAGAGAGAAATACGATTTTGTATTTCATATTCTTTCCATTTGTTAAATTTTACATTATCCCCCTAAAAATTATTCTTCCGACACATAAAACTCTTTTGTTGAAAAATTAAACAATTAATTTTAGGTTAACATTCTTGTACGTATTTTGTAAATTTGGGTCACGATTGACCCAGGCTCCGCTGTTCAAGAATTAATTTTCGAATAACAGAGGCTGGTCTTTATGAATCTAATACAATTTCGAAATTGAAATTTAATTTTAGATTGTTTTCCGTTCTCAAAGAGCATGTTGTTCCTTTAGTAAGATAAGTGTACACAATTTCTCCAGTGTTTGCAAGATCAGAAACTAACAAGAAGACTATATCAGGTTCTACCCAAAGAATTATAATAAACTTTTGTATTAATTATTTTACTTGTAAAAAAAAAGTTAGTACACTTGAATTTTTGCCACCTTGCAAGCACAGTGTTTAATAAAATTGATTTCTTGGGTGACAAAACAGCTCCCAACCTCTGAATCTTACGAACGTGTCATCCTCGTGATGAGCAAAATCAGAGAGGCAGAAAGATCTTGTTATACAATTGAACGCTTTCCCTGCCATCCTTTCTTGTTCCCAACTAAATAAGGGATATGTTCCCTCGAAATTGCGTTGCCCACCCTATTTAGAAAAACAAAAGCAAGCTGACTTTTTCGTAGGATACCTCATACACGTTTACAAGCTTTCAAATTATGAAAAATTATAGCAAAATATTTAGTCATCTTTCATGTTTCATGAGAGGAATTTCTGTGTAAGAAACAGATCAGTGTTGTAACCTTCTGCTTACTAAAAAGTCCATATCCATTTGGGTTGTTCTTTTATGCGAATATTTATTTCAAAAAATTTCTACTCGCGTACCATGGTCCCTGTTTGAGGACCAAAAAGGAATCACAAATGTTCCTTAAAAATCAATTTCGACGGAATTATTTTGCTGTAAATTCTTACAAATTAATAAAAAGAAAATGGGTTTTAATTTATACTTTTGATGACAACTAGTCTACCGATCTTTATGCAAATATGTATTTTTATACATTTTTTTTTCTCTTTTCAAGTCACCCTTTAATTCACATATTTTACACATTTTACAGATTTTAAACAATTTTTTTTCTATATATACCACATTGTTTGGATAAACTTTCTTAGTCCATCATTTTCTTTGTATGGATATACTTATGAATATATTTTATTAAGCTTATACTTTTTTGAATCCAATTTTTCGGCAAAAATACTGCACTACGCACTGGTCACTAAAATGTTAAATACTTTCAACGCAAATTCCGACTCACATCTTCCATTCGATATTTACCGGCGTAGCGTGAATCACGAATGTTATTTACGAAAGCGATTTTTGGTTACTTTCTGTTCTTTATTTCAAAAACTTCCATGTGACACAGATATCAAAGGACAGTCCCATATTTTTTGCCAACACGTATGAAATGAGGGCAGCCAACCAAGTAAAATTTGCTTGATATTTTTGTTTACGATGTTCAGGACGCCCACACAGCGGAAACGCGTTGGCGGAGCCGAATATAAAATCCCGTAACAAAATGAGCTCGTTACCTCCGAAGGTGCCATTGAACTCGAGAACGACTAATTTGTCTTCGTCAACGTCCGTTTCATCAACTCAATCACAAACCACAGCGTCACCCCAGAAATTGTCTGCTTTCGAGTATTCCATTTAAGATTTTATGAAAGTAATCAACCATTTTCGCGATTGGACTACGCTTATAGATCTTCTCTAATGTGAATTTCTTTCGATTTTTCAGCAAGAAGATTTACATAGATGAGTAATAATACGAACACGTAAAAATTGGTTCCCTCTGTCTCGTGGTAACAAGTATCTCGTCTTGTTAAAAATCAACTGATAAAGATATTTTTAACTACATTAATATTTATTGTAGAATTGATTGTATAGTAAATGAGAAAATTATTAAAAAGGAAATGTATCGCGTGAATTTGATTTTGCTTTATAAGGGCAGCTTGTCAGTCATTTAATAAACTAATAAATAAATGCTACCTTTCATTTAATTAAATATTATTTGATAGAAATGTTTAGAATTTTTTAAATTTTCAAAAATTTTTCCAACTTTTTCAAAATCTTATTTTTTTAGTAAACTGAAATCTCGAGTCGTTTGGTTCAATTTTGAAAAATTATTCGTAACGTGTCGTTAATAACCACAGATGGTCAGATTAAAGGAATACTAAAATATTTGATAAAAAAGAAAGAATAAAAGGAGATAAACAAGACACTTATATCGGAAGAGCCATGTTTATTACACATGCATATGTCTTTCTTTTCGCTTTTTTTGTGCGAGACAACCTGTGTCCCTTTGTGTTACACGCTGTACATTGTTTCAAATATCGACTAACATATTTTTTCAGTAGCGTTACGACAAAAGTATATTGGATGATTTTACGAATCTTAGCAACGGTTGTATAAATTGATTCGTGAAATCATCCCAATCGGTTGTTCATGAAGCTGATACAAAATTGTATATTTACAAAAAAGAAATGTAAAATTATTTAGTACATATATCATGATTTTTCTAGTGCACACAAATCTCAGCATGTATGTTATCAATAGAAAAGTTGCATATAACAGAACATGCTTGGTAGAAGTCTGCGATGTTTAATTATTATTCAGTAATTAATTCGTACTATGATTTAAACGCCATTGTGTTGGAAAAATTAGTGCATTCGAACTCATAATTTGTACTGTGTGAAAACAGATATTCCACTTTCCATTTATCTTATTTTCTATTCAGCGATGATTTAATTATTCGTACAGATCCTTTTCCTTCTAATGAAATATAAATGAAAATAATATAACTTTGTGTATTATATTATTTTTTAAATGAAAATTTGCATTTACACGTCCAGATTCATTTGCAACCGTAATCAACATTTCTTGATTACATATTAAATGTAATCATAATTAAAAAAGGATACGCGTTTCATTATTCTCGTACGAATCAATTAAGAAATATTTTATTATTTTTATTTTAACAAAATTGTGCCATGAAAGAAAAGACTGCCATTTGTATTTATTTTTATTTATATACATCGGAGACACGACAATCAAGCACACTTTTGTTAAAGCAAATATCTATGATTTGGGCGCACTGTTTGAAAAATATAAAACCATTCTTGATATGGTATTATACTATCTACAAGATCGCATTTATTTCTTACAATTAATCGATTAATTAATTTATCGTACACCCGCCTCCTGTATGTTCGTATCCTCCTATCTGTGTGTTTCAGTTAATCGACTGAAAGTAATTAGCACGAATCGATATACATATATCATTCTTGGAAATCAATCGTTCCTGTATAACGGAGAAATATTTTTCAAACAAGAGTCCATTAAATGTTGCGCGTGTTTGTTTACTAGTTTATCACAGAATAACGTGTCGTTATAGTAATAATAAGAAAAAGGGAAAAAAACAATATTATTGCATTCAATTTTAGGGTACAAATAACTGATTCTATTACAAAAATTATTTTTCTAACTTGCAATGTTTTTAATTTGTTTCAAATTATAATTAGCTTTTTTTTGTATAAATGATCAGCATTATAACTGGACTCAATACATATAATGACAACGTGAGCAAGGGAAAAGCATTCATAGTATTTCCGAGAATCTATTTTTTAAACTTTTGTAAAAGCAAAGCATAAGCATTTTGTTTGAAATTGTATCAATAACTAAGCATAGCATCTTTTCACATGAAGTATAATCTATGTCAGATTTTTCACTGACTTTTGTGATTACTAAAATTCAAACTAAATTCACCAAGACTCAATGGTGAACCCTTGTAAATGTATGACATGGTTTTCTCACTGCATTGTAAGAGTTCTAAAAAATCAATAAATACCGAATCATTAGTTATGAGTAATTAGGATATTCCAATTACACCTCCTTAAAATGAAATAATTAATTAATTAATCTTTCCAATCACCAGGCTTGAAAGTAATAATTAATATGAGTCGAGTCGAGTACAATTAAAATAGCGAATATCGTATAATCTGAGCCAAATATTTCGGAAATAGGCACACAGATTGTTATATTAAGACAATTTTATACTTTTTTAATACTTATAATGGTCCATCGAATTTTTTTAAATTTAGAATATGTAAATTTGTGAAACAATATTTGCTGCAGTAGAAAGTTTCCATATTTCCGAAATTTTAGAAATACGATGAACATAAATTTGAAAATATAAATATATGAATAACTAGACATCATGATGAGCTTTGAAGTTCAAAGAAGAACTTCAATCACATTTTCAAATAATTTATTCAGCTGCAAGTTTCCTGAATAATTGAAATTTTACTGACGCGATATGAAATATAATTATTCCTCACTGTGTAAAACAAAAATCCTTTTCACCATCATAGAAATAATACTACTAAAATTATCACGAATATTTCTGTGAATACTGCTAACAGAAATTAATGGAAAACATTCCAGACTTTTCCAAAAAAATTGACGATATTTGAAACAAACGAAACAACTAATAATTTTTTAATTGTAAAAAAATTCAAATTCATTTAAGCCAAATATATTTTTATTAATTTAAAATGAAAAGTTTGAATGCAAACGACCATAATACTCGGCGAAATTGTTTCGAAACAACGAACTCAGTGAAAGAATAGGTAGAGTTTATAAATAAACATGGATTCATGATTATTCAGCTACACGAGAAGTATCGATAAACATACACACGTATACACGTACAGCATAAGTTAGTAAAGAAGTTCGATGGATTGGAAACTGCAATTGTCCGGTCAATGTTTGCTTTTTTTATCGATCCGTTGAATAAATTCTTTCGCTTATTCTCTAAAGACACTACTACGATTATAGATTATTACCGTATTCGATATAATATACGTCTTACACCAGAAAAATCCAAAATGTCAGTACACAGATCTTACAGCTCTATAATACTCTATTTGCATTTGGCAATCAATTGGCAAATTTTCTTGGTCATTAACAACCATCGCGAAGCGTTATAAAAATAATCATTGACGATAATATCAATTATACAACGTTTCGTTTGATAACAATATTCTTCGATAAAGTACGTGCAATTTTGAGTATATATTTGAAATCAGCCATTCCATAAAATTCGACCTTGATTAAGGATCTTTTTTGAGAAAGTAACTTATTGAATTTTCTTGATAAAATGCAATAATATTTAAGGTAAACAATGTCTAGCTAAATACTTTGATTAAATGTTTTAGAACCTTACCTCGGTATCAATGACAGTCCCTCTTTCGGTGATATAGTGGCTGATATATTTTGTGTCATTCTGCTTCACTAAACCGTGTAAACGCGTGTAAGTAAACCGTCTTCTTCGGAACTAAGGTGGTAGTCATCATGAAGAAATCACAGAGGCCACTTTTAAAATTTTTCAAATAGCACAGTACCGAGCATAGTAGGCTTTCGTCCAAGGGTTCACCCAGCCTAAGCCTTCACGGTCCCGACGAGACTGATGAGGGATAGGGCCTCATACAAGTTTGTGGCTCCCCACCACTTGCGTATAAACGATTACGCGGAAGAATTTATAATTGATATTCATCTTATCATTCATACTTCCTAATTATATACTAAACTTCATAAAACTTAATAATCAAAAATATTATTTTTTTCTGTATCGCTGTTAATATCGATATCGTCAAAATTAAGGGTTTGAGAATTTCTGTTTCTCTAATAACACCATTTCCCCTGGGGAAGCACATACTGCTCGATACTGTTCATGAAAATCTCCATTTTATTCTCTTATATTGTATACCATTAATAGGATGAATCCAATGTTTCCTTTCCACTTTTATTGTTAGAAGTAAAAGGGATAAAATTTCAAACTCATTAATCTTTCCAAGGAAATACTACATGAGAAGCGTGTGGCTAAAGGCATAAATCTCAACGCGAACGCGATCGAATGAATTTTCGAAATAAATGCAAAGTTAAGGGTTAGAATGAGTATCGAGGCAATTTCTTGAAATAACGAGATACAATGGGGTTTCGATTATCCGAAGTTCCATATTATCCCAAGCTCTTCGAATTTTATATTGAATAGCAGCATTGATTTTAAATGCTGAATCGTCAAAGACACAATACGATTCACAAGAGTACCATTATGTAGCTGATATCATCCCTTCTTTCATCTTGATATTGAGCATGGAAGGAACCGTGGAATTTGGGAAACGATTTTCTTTCATATTATACGAATTTTTGATTATCTAAGCTACACTCGAATCCACATTGCCTTGGTTAATTGAGACTCTGTTATAGAGCGCTGAGCTTGGTAGCCTCCTTTAATTCTTTAAGAACGAAGCACTTTTAAGTTCGACAGAATAATTCCATTATGCTTGTCCTGACCCGCAAGGGTTAGGACTGAACAACATCTGTTTTTGCTATTAGAAGTGTCAATCGTGAGGTCGCTTACGTGTCATTCCACTCAAGAAGCTAGACACGTTCCAGACGGACTACATTTGTTAAGAATATATTATTTATACCGAAATTCACAATACCCCTTTTTTATTTTTTTTTTTCTACGTTTCTGTGAATAATGTATACGGTTGTAGGACCTCTTTTAATTACCAACCCCGCTAACTACCAAACCGAGTAAATTGACCCCCGTCACTTATGAGTACCACAAAAAACTCAAGATAAATTGTTCAAAAAGAAAAAGCAAGAAAAACAGAATTTGTTGAAAGCCAGCCCCAAGGCATCAATTTTTCAAGAATTAAGATCAACCAGAGTTCAAAATGGAGAACTAGTGTAAGGGTAAGAATCAGAGTACAGAATGCAATTATCAAGTGCAATTATCATTATACTTTTAAATTAGACAATTAGAGGTAAAGTGTCATTAACACGTTGAATGCCGCAGGGGTCACCGATGACCCCTACCAATAACTAAGGGAAATTAATGAAAATGATAAGTAGCATTAATATTATGAGTTTCATAAAGTACCAAATGGAAATTGAAGAACAAAACGATCATAATCTGAATAATTATAAAGTGGCGACATTTAACGTGGTAATCACGTTACTCTATGCTCTATATTCCCAATCGATCACCTGAATAATAATAATTTCAAAAAAATATATAAATATCACAATATTTAAAATTAATATAATCCAACTTAGTTATAAAACTAGAATAAATTTAGCACACAAAGGTATAAATTTTAACAAATATCGTCTTCCTTTATTATGTTGCCTTAAATACTTATATAAAACTGAATGCCAAGAACTTGTTCCATTATTCGAAAATTTATACACTTTTGTCTTTTTATGAGGATAACTGAGTGAGATTCTCTTTTGACCAGACTCGATGGAATGGCTGATACATCAATCACGATATCGATATACACATAGCAACGGATCGATAAAAAAGCATCGACTCGTGCGGACACTATTGTCCCTATTACATACTTAAGCGATATACAAACATTCGTCCAAAAATACAGTACACAATGAATTTCGAACACCGTTTTCGATGTCTTGTATTCCGGGAAACTCGATGAAGAGAAAATTCATTTGACCCTGCTGAAAGTAATCGGTTTCCCTATCGCTCTTAAACATCTAACATTCGCCCACGCCTTTATTACCTGGTCGTAATTACAAAATTAAGTACTTTGTATCGTCGAAAAAAAACAAATTTGACTCTAAGTACTGAAAGTGACGATCGGGTTCGTTTCGTTCTAAATACGTCATTATTCAACGTTGCTTAAGAAATTTATATTTTCAGTGCGATTTGGTTGGTTAAAAAATAATTATGATTTTTATTCATCAACTTTAAAGTAGTATAACTTATCGTTAGATTAAAATAAAATTTGTTAATCAAAATAAAAAGCATTAGAATCTATTTTGCCAAGTTAAAAATTAAAGAAACGAGATAATTTCCTTTCGAATTCTCCACGTTATTCTAAAAAAAGTTTGATAATAAAAAAAAAAGTTTCAAGTTTTAATGAGTCACTAAAGTGTAGCTTAGATTAGAATAAATTTTATTAATCAAGATAAAAACCATTAGAATCTATTTTATAGTAACGAATTTTGATAAATTTTTCCAAATTATCCATATCAAGCTAAAGAAAAAGGGAAAATAAAAAATAAAAATTTTTAAACTGTAATTAGTAATTGAACCAATCAACGTCTAATCATTTAACAAATTAGGGCTAGAAATAAGTGTATTTATTCCCCAGACCAAATGTTACCATTCTAATACGTCCCACTTCCGTACTAAATTTAGCAGCCTAAAATAAATAAAATAATTAACATAAATCAGTAAAAAGAATTGCGTTACCTATATGAAAATATACCTAGATAAAATATAATTCAAAAATAAAATTGAAGTTTGAAATAACAAAAACCACAATTATTTTCACACCAACCTAACAGAAATTCTTTTATTATTATTTCAATTTAACAGGCTCCGTAATATCACGTTAACTAAAAATAGACTTATTGTGTAATTGAATTATGAAAGATCATTTTTTTAGTTTTTAACGATTCGTTATACAGTTCGGCTTAATTTTATCGTTTTCGCTCTTGGAATCTTACTTCCTAAATGAACTTATGTTTGAAATTCTTAAAAACTTTGGAAAATGTAATAAATGCGATAATTTGATAACATTGGAAGTTGTGAAATTCTTCAAACTACTATTCAAGCTGAATTCTATAATATTTCTGCTATTTTAACCGTTGAACGACAACAATTGGGTTAATGGTAGCCCAAACGTATACAAGGATGTTTTGATTAAAATTATTATTTTGAACTAATTTTTCAATTTTTTATTTAAAATATTTGTTCTCCTTTCATCCTTCAATTATTTGATTAAATTTGCAGTAATTACAGGTCATCGATGAATAAAAATATTTTAAAATTCCATGATAATCATCGAGTTGGAAATGAAACTCGAGAATGTCCACTGGTCCATTATGAAATTATCAAAGTTACAACATAATTATGGAATTTTGTTTCAAAAATCTTTCTAAGTGAATACGAAGCGTATTAATATTGCTGAATTAAATTAAATTTCCTCTTGTTAATATAATTGTTGCTATTTTGTATAAAGTGTATATTTTCAAAAATTTTCAAAATTGAATTTTCAAATAGAGTTTTGTAATTCATTAAATCAATCCTTTGACTGTATATTACTTACAAGGAATAATGAAATAAAATGAGAAACTAATTGCTTATAAATGCAGTAGAAATTGAATTGTTTGTAGTATCAATTCTTGCTAATCTAAAACAAATGGAGAATCGTTGCTAAAAAAGTGTAGTATTTTACAGTTAATATGTTATCTTGAAAACTAGCTATTAAAATACTTGCTTTTGAATTAAAAAATAATTATTAATACTTTGCATTCCATTGACGTCGATATTTTGACACTATACAATTCTATGGACGAGACTATAACAATTTACTAAAAATTAAAAACTAAACTAAAACCATTTATAAAATTTTATTAGAAAAACTTTACAAAAATGTTATTATCCTTATTATAAAATTCTAGAATTGTAAACAGTTGAACTATACTATGCTCAAAAGTATTTACCCATCTATATCTCTTTATACATACTTATGATATGTGTACGATTTTCCTTTCAAAATTAAAAGTCTGTTTTTCTAAACACATGAATATTTACGAATTTCCACACAAATTTATAAAAGTTAGTGAAAACTCCTATCGTAATATGATGAATTAAGAGAAATTTAGGATTAATCGCATCTCCAACTATATCCAACTACAATATAACAGTATCCTGCCATTTTTGTATATTTATGAAATACTTTTTTAATATATTTTACATATTGTTAATCACTTTTATTTTATCAAATCGTTTCCCCCACAGATATTTAAATAAATAGAATAAATAAAATACAAAAATAAAAGATCGTACAATTATATTAAAAAATTGTTTCCAAATGTTTCTTAGAAAACACTATGCCATCATTATTATTAGATCTCTGTCACTTTAAACTTCCATTTTTTCCCCCTTTTTTATTATATTTAAGCTACTAAAGTACATCAACAAATAAAATGGAAGTTTCAAGTGAAAGAAACTGAAATCATTAGACAACTAAAGTATACACGCAATCATTAAATACTATACAAAAACAGAATATCAACAAAATTAACATTAAATAATTATTTCCAATATTAATCAAAGAAGTATACGAAAATGTACCTTGAATCAATTTTTCAATATTGTCTGCTTGGTATTTTCACAACATCGGATATGCTTAACGATGGACAAATACTTTTGAATGATAGCAAAAAGATGAAGATAGCAGTCAAAGGATTAAAAGAATCATTCGTGGAACAGCTAAACGTTGACGACAATGACGAAGAACGAATCGTTTATTTGAATAACACTGCTACCTGGTTCGACTGCTGATTAAATGAAACAAGTGTACACGGATCGTCCAGGTGATTTTCATGATAAGTGATATGATTTCTACGAAGATGCGAGTTTCTTGTTCCCACTGACATGTTTGTCCTATCATGAAAAAGGAGGGCCACTCGTTTTTATCCGTCTCCTTTGTTATTTTCATTCTAGGCAAATGATTTACATTTAACTGGGGTCTCTACTACAGCCCTTGGACGGATGGTTGCCACTCGCGAGTATAATTCAATTAGCAATTCGTGTCTGTTGAGTATGGTACCATTGGATTCTCAATAAATCGAGCACACAGTACAATTACTAACAGGTTGAATTTCACAGGATGAATAGTTTTTAATAATAATAATAAATAACACTGACAACATGTAAGATTCTTTTTAAAAAAGAAATTATAATGTTTGAAACAGTAACAGTGTATTTAAGCATTTAATTTACAAGGAAACAAAATTTTTAAATAAATTTCTTTAAAATTCTTTCCTTACTTTCAAAAATTAGATAATAAATTTCTATGAAAGTTTATGTATCACCTAGATGTCAGTAACATGACAGTCAAAGTATTAATTAAATACGAAGAGTCACAAGTAAATGAGTAATAAATAAATATAAAAATATAATAAAAATTGTGTCATCGAATTATTAATAATTTCTTCTAGGGAAAAGTCTAAATTCACTTCCCCTAGTTTTTGCACGAGTTCTAATTAGAGACTCTTGTTGAACTCTTTCATTAATAAGTCAGAAAGCTAAAAACTTAATCCTTTCATGGAAGATGCAGAGTTAAAATTACTGGGTCAAAATAACTCTACATTCGTTTTCCAAAGATTAAATGACGTTATAGTTCAGAAACTAACTCTTAACATTATGCAATTTAGTACTTCATTTCTGAGACATAAGTAACTGAAGAATTTTTAATAACATCATTATTGCTGTTCAGGATGTCTATGATACTCGATTTATTGGGAATCCAATGATTTAATTGGAACGTGGCAACCCAACGCGGGATGCGCATCTTACAACCCTTAAGATATGCAACCAGGACTAATCTACATCACGATAGGTACCTAAATGCGAACATCGATCGTGTCGATCAATCACCGATAATGCCTATCAAGAGAGAAATACCTTCAATAGAGATTCAAACGTGTCGCTAATTACGGTAATTATTTTCTGAGATTTTCTAATGATGTTTCTATGATTTAACACGTTCAGGCCGAATGGCGTCATAAGATGCCAAACTGATAGAACTCCCCATCCTGCTGATATCATAAGATATCAGACTCAACATACAGAATTTCAGTGAAAATATTTACCATCAGGCATGAAATTCTAGGTTTAGGACCTGAAGACATACAGCTCAATCATCAAAAATTTTGTCACTCAATTTTTTCTAGAATGCCGGCAGATATTTTAATTCTTCTCCCAGACTAAACGTGTTAAATCCGAAAATCCCATACTACAATCACCATAGAAATGTCATGTCGTTAATTTCTTCAACGTGCCTCCACGATCGTTCTAAAATCACCTAATTCATTCGAAAGCATCGACACGTTGATTGATATTTTTTTATTAGTGTAATGGATCAGCGTGCTTTTCACAATGTCACGCTGAAACATGCTTCATCGATATGTGAGCAATTAATGAGAAAATAAGGTGATCGATGTCCGTCACTGCTATTTAACCATGCAACAGTATTTATTAGTAAACACTGTTTTTTCCAATTATCCTGCAACTTTTAATAAATCTATCAGATCTATTCTTCCTAGTTTAGCCAGACACTTACAGCTTTCTTCGAGTAAATTCTTTTCAATTTGATCATTTTTCATCATCCTTCGTCACTCGATTATTTAACAGCTTCATTTTTTTCCGAAATTTTTTGACACCAGATGAAGTGCGATTGAACGATGTTAAAATATAAGGTGTTTCAAAATTAGGTGGCCAAACGTGAACGCTTCCTTGACAAATTACTTTTATGGTCTGTATATTCCCTCCATTGAATTTTTATTCATAAATTTATGAATTATATAATGATTTTATTAATTTATGGGGCATTTAAAACAACAAATGTTTAACTTTTGAAATTAAAATAATCCTAATTATTTCTATTATACGTTAATAATTTGCTAAAGTCCATTTGTTTCTATAAAAATACATTTATAAAAATGTTTTGGACAATTCACAAAATCATTTTCAGAATTTCTCATAAGCAAATTTTCGTTTCGTTAAAATCTAAACAAAAAGTGTTCATAATTTGATAAGGAAGCATTTTTTAAGTTCGTCCACCTGTCTACAATATAAAAAATGAGAATTCTCGTTGATTCTTCCTCAGAATGAGTAAATTACCTTTCGAATGACACATCCACCCTGAAGCATGGTGGGAATGAATTATTGTCGGTAGATTTACCATCCGTGCGCTGTCAGGACGACCTCGAACTTTTCTGGTTCACGTGTACAAAACTTCGAGCAAGCATTGGCGTTGTTCGTTTCACAGTTTCACAAATCTCGAGCCGCCATAAAGGAAAACTAAAACCGTATCACTTGGGCGCGCGTCGCCCTTCACGAGGAAACTAACTAGAAAAGAATCACTTCTGGAATATTATGGCTGAAATAATTCATCACAAGTCATTTCATTCGAACCAAACACTCGGATTCTTCTCTGCTTCGTCTTCAGCTTCCATCCTCCTTGTTTGGGTTTCAAACACCCAAGGCGTATCATTGAATGCCACTGTCGTCCTTCAAAATACCTCTAAATCCTAGAGTTCGTTGATCCCTGAATAAGACGAGGTATTCGAGCATCACATCCCTGATTCTGCTATTCCTTCGTCGTCTGTAAAAATACACGATAACAAATGAGAATTTGGTTAATCGAAAAGAATTATTACGATACGTGAATTTATAATCATGCTCAGGCTAGACGAATCATTTTAAAAACAGTTAAATGCAGAAGAAATAACTACATATCTTAGAAAAAAAAGTATTCCGACTAAAAAATGATAATTTGTAAAATTATAGAAAGAATTATATAGTAACGATTTGTTATTCTTGGGGCGGAAATTTACTCAGAGGGTGAAATTATCCCTTAACATTTGCTGAATTTTTCATTTATGTGATACACCTTGTAAATCGTGAAAGATAAAAAGAATATAAAAGAAAAACAAATGAGAAAAATAAATCATGTTAGGGGATGGTTTCATCCCCTCAGAGTATATTTTGGACGAATAAAGAATCGTCCCTTGCATAATTCACAAATGTTCATTAAATTCAGAGCTTTTGGACAGAGAAACTTTCCTTATTAGTATTTTGAAATAAATCTGAATGATGGTATCTTATTAAAGTGTAGTAAATTTTTGTAAAGTATACAAAATATGCGTAATTAGTGTGGTATTAATTACTGTGTTTTAGATTACAATGGCTGGTTAGTAAATTAACATACTATTATAAATAAGATTCTAAAGTATGTTTAAAAAAAAAATATATAAGACACAGAATGTTTGTATACTACTTACAGCTAATAATAAGAAAAATAATTTGTAAATCATTGATATTATAATTAAATGAAATTCGTCAACAATTTTCATGCCATGCAGTTAAGTTTATGCAAATACATAACGATAATTCCTTTTTTGTATGAAATTAACTATAAATTACTGAAATCAGTAGAATAATTGCAGCTTCAAAATGTAAAATAAATAATAACCTGTAGCCATCCAAAATAAGAAAATATTTTTCAAATAACAAAATTAAAGAATTCATTTGATGAATTTGACTGTAGGCTTGCTGCACACTATAAAGAGAGAAATTTTTAGATTCTGCACTATATTTCTAAATAAAGCAATGCAAATATTATTTATTTACTGTTAATCTATTTAATCTATTTCTTAACTGATTGTATTTCTTTCGAAGTTTATATGTTAATTTTTATTAATCTTCGTGCAGTATGCATTAGTAATAACATGCAGCAGTCTGTTTAAAGAATAAAGTAAGGCAGGCGAAAGAGAAATAAGCGAGGATCGAAATTACCATCGACGCAGGAATCGCAGTTCGAGGGTCACCTTTCCTTTTCATCTTCAGCAGGACTGTTTGCGTTTTCAACGGAGCTTCGATTCTTGCCTGGATTCAAAGGGAGTACAAGGTTGCAGAAGGGAAGTGATTCGCTACGTACGGATGTGACACAATTTACCAAAAGCAACACCTTTTGCACGTGACACAAAATCGAATGTAACTCGTTTCGTAAGATCAATATCACTACCACCACCACCATCACCATTAAATCGTTCAAAGGAGATCGGTATTTTAGTTAATAATATCTTATCGACAATTTTTTCATCCCGAAATAAAGATACAAATATGTTATATTGTTGTCGAAAACAATTTTAGTGACTTGTAAAAAGAAAAAGAAATTTGTAAGTTCACAAATCATTTAAATTAACCCATTCATAGCCACATTCTATTTTTGGTTTAAATAATTTGATAATTTTATTACGAATATTCTTTGTTAATTTCAATTTAATTTGGCCACGAATGGGCTAAGGAAGAAGGAACAAAGAACGGAGAAACATTGATAATTAGCAATGGGTTTAAACATATAACTGCATATAAAACATTTTGAATATTATTGAATTTTCAAGAGTCTTGAATATTGGGATGTATACAGAGCTTAGCAAAATAATTTTGATATTTAATAAAGTAGAAATTCATTTCTCATAGACTGTGCGAAACAAAATTATTAGGGGTGGTTTTAATTATTAAATTATTTCTCTTTCGATAAAAAAAATTATTTAATAATATTCAAAACTTTCGAGCTTCGAAATATTCAAAATTGACGAGAAAAGGTATCAAACGCCCGTCATCATTGCATATAAATTATGGTGGTCTTTCGAAGCATCTGCAAATTTTGTAAATACTTCATCAACCTTGAATAATTCATGCACTACTGTTTCCTGTTTCGAACAATTTAATTCAAACACAAGGAAAAAATGCACTTGTCACTCAACAAATTAACGAATATTGAAATTTTTACTTAAATATATTTATGTTTTTTGGGCTCCATTATTTCTGTATTAATTGTACTTGAGCTTTTCTAGAATATGTCATTTCTGGTTCAAAATTCAACAATAATTATGAAAACTAAGGTTTCGATGTACAGACTTTTAGTTTGCACTCAAAAAAAAAATGATTTTTGGAAGTCTGTATTAAAATATTAATTATTAGTACAAAATTTGACAAAGTTTATTAACAATTTGTTTCAATTTTCTTTTTAACTTTGGAAAGTTATAATATATAATATATATAATAATAAAGACACCTTTATGTTTGTAACAAACGCTAACACTAAGTTTGAATGTCTTAAAAAAAATAACAAACATTCCTCCTTTCCTGCAAGAGTAGCAATTGGAAAGCAATGATTTAAGACATCACCAAAAATAATCGATACACGCGCATTTCAATTTGTGCACCACTCTAGGAAAGCTCTTTTTCAACGAACCAACTATAGACTCCCATAATTATCTCTCAAGATGATAGAATCTAGCTTATTACTCATGATAACAGCAACCGAAAACGTTCACTAACTAAACTCACCTTCGAATCCTTGATTATCGTGAATCTCTCTAGGTGGTCCAGTCATGTCTTGTCCTTCTAGCACTGCCAGAAGGCATTGATGTATACAAATATACTGTTGCTCGGTTTGGACCATCCAAACACGTTCTTTCCTCATTGCCCAGACTATTCCAAAGATGTCCACGTACTTGGACACCAAGATCTGCTGAAGAATTCGATCCAAGGTGATGAAGGTACCACTACGACCCACTCCCGCACTACAGTGAACCACGATCGGCCTCTGATCCGGACGAACTCTTTCTCTGAATGCTCGCACAAATCTGGCCAGAGTCTGAGGTGGACTTGGAACACCAAAGTCCGGCCAAGTGGTGAAATGGAAGTGTTGGATGACTCTTTTCACATCACCCTGTTCGGAGAAAGGATTACTAAATTAGGGATGTCATTATAATAATAACAACACATTGACTGTCGTGTCACCCATATGTGGATGGTGTTGGAATTTTATGAAAATTTCAGCATCCATATTAATTAGAATTTTTGTATACAGTAGACTCTCCTTATATTGCAACGTGAGCAAGTTGACATTCGTACGGGTTTTTAAGCTCTTCCACAATCACAGCTTAAGAAAATGATGCACTTCTAAATGAAAGCCTGGGAACTTGAAAAAATTGTAATATAACCAGAGTCTATTGTAATAAATATTGTAAAAATAATATATAAGATTTATCAAAAATAGAAAGTATTACTTGATGAAATTTTTAATATCTTCAATGTGGCAGTCAACGTGTGAACATTAGTACAACGCATTAAAAATAAATTATTATTACTTACTCTACATAACATGAATTCCGTAATACTCCAATCAGGATAATGTGTCTCGTTTAATATGGTAACGCAAATGTCTCCATAATAGACTGGTAGAGTGTCCATCGGCCAATAATGGTCACATTTTTCTCTGCCTTTTTCGATGCACCTCGTTAGCATCACGATGGCTCTGCTATTGCTTTCCCAGACCATTCTCCAAAAATCATCGCGTGTAGAATGCAAAGGACCTTGCGTGACGATGAATTCCCTTGGAGAATTATGACCCTGTCATGAAAAGTATAAAAATATGTCAATTAAAAACTTGAGGTATTTAAAACCAAAAAATGCAAATGACATTTTTTTTTAAACTAAAAATTGACAATTTGTGGTAATCATTTTAAAAATTACTCAAATGTCAATTTCTTAATTCAATAATATTTTTTATTGTGTTAATATTGAACGAATATAGAAACTGAACGTACAGGAACATAATTGGCGTTGATATAATCAGATCCTTCTTCATCGTCTACAGGCTGGAGCTTAAATCTGCTATGATCGTAAGGCAGAATATTCGTGAAACGATTTTTTGGCCTATTGCAAGGTAAATCGGCTGCTGTACACGGTTGATCCCTTCCAATGTGCTTCAGTTCTTCGAATTCTTCCGAGAAACGGAAATCGGAATCCGCGGACATTGTTCTATAATGCTCTGCGAAATCCTCTATTTTAATTGGCCGACTAAACAAAATAAATACAACAAAATCACTTAACTTACTTTTCATAAATGTCATTGCACATCATTTTAAAATAAATTCTTAAAATTAGAGTTAGGTATCAATCTTAGGTCTTAAAATTAGGCTGTTTTTAAAATGTTTTGAAGAACAGCTGCAAAACATGTATATGAAAATGTCAATTTATTTTTTTGAATATTTTACAAATGTGTTGCATGGCTAGAATAAAATATAATTCTATTTACCTGGTCTCAATAACGCTGTCTGGTAAAGACAAATTGTCGGTGGTCCTTGTTTCGGTTGTTTTACGACCCTGGCTTCTTCTTCGTCTCACCAGTAGACCAATTCCCAGTAAAGTTAACAAAAGCACTATTGGTACCGTCACTCCGACAATGATGGCTGTGTTGTCTTTATCTGCTCAAATATGAATAATAATAACGTTATTTTCTTTTGCAATGAAATTCTTAAATTAAGAAAAAATTTTGAGAGATCTAATTAGTCAGATGTTGAATGCCATTAGGGTCACCGATGATCACCAGCATAAATTTAATATAATGAAATAAAAAATAAGTAGTATAAGTATTATACTAATTTCATAAGATCAAAAGCGAAAAGTTTGAATTGGGATATAAAACCTTTAAATTGAATTTAAAGGTTGATGTGACATCAATTTAAGAAACTTTTAAAAAATATTAAATATTTCAGTAAGAATTTAATGAACTATACTTCACTCGAGTGTTAATTAAAATGCTGTTTGTCTTTGCTAACTTACCTGCCAGCAGCAATCCTTGGACAGACATGTACACGAAATAACGAGGCATGAATTTAGCAAGCTTTCTATAACTACAGCTTATAACAACACGATTCTATGTATATGTTTTTATTTTTATATATTTGGAAGATGTAACACACAGAAGACTCCATAAAGGATGCTGCTCAATCTTTATACATTGTTTTAAACAATAATTTATTTATTTGAAATTTAAATTTAAAATATTGAAGGTATGATAACTTTTATGACAAATAATAATATAAATAAAATGGATTTGACTTTCTGAAATAAGAGACACGAAGAAATTTTTTTATAAACTTAAAAGGAGTATGAAAGTTTTGTAACAACACTGAGTGTATGTTATTATGAGGCAAACATAATTAAGAAAAATGAAATTTTTGTCTTTACAGAAACAATGGAATCTTCTGAGAAGTATGAAAAATGCAGGTATGTAACGTCCTCCTTCCATAAATTTGAAAATTTCCTAACAGAACCAACTGGAACAATTGTTGTTTGTGTCGAGAGTTTCACACGATCTTTCTCACCTGTTTGAATCGGGAAACTGTAACTGGTGTCCGTGAATTTATCAGGAGCTGTGAACGCTCGAACTTTAACTCTGTAAGTAGATCCAGACTTCAGTGGTCCATTACAGTATCCTATTTTGTTATCACAATTTTCGGTACCGATCGTGAAGTCCTCGACCGATCCATTCTTGAATGGATAATATGGCTCCATCACCTAAAAAAATAAATTTAGAATATGTTCAACTAAATATAATAATTTATTGCACATTAAATGGAGGATTTACATTAAGAAAAATTTTATTCTGCAATCGAGCATCGAGCTAAAAGTATTAGGTTTTTGTACATTCAATGCCAATTTCGAAATACAAAAAGTCTAACACGGTTACCTGAGCATATTAACATTAGATACATGGTATGGCCCTGAAGCTCGGTCATAAAATGATTCATACTATGACAATGAAAGTATTTATTATAGAAAAATATTTAAATATACGATTCATATACTTTTAAATACTGCAAATAAATTTTTAAAAGATTTATCTAAAAAATGTATTAAATATTTACATATTTTTTTAGATTTTTCAGGTAGAATGTTAAACAATTCTCTACAGAGTTCGAAAATTAAAATAATTAATTAATCAATTATTAGGCTAATTTGAAAAGTTGTTGAACTACATATTTAATACTTTTATCAAGTATGTTTGCATTTCTTATGTTTCTTTCATGAATTTTGCATCATAATAGTATTATATCACAAACCAGTCACATAGTTACATTAATCGGCATTCATTGATTTATAATTGATCTTAGTTGCGTAGATAAGTAAAATCACCGAGAACTGAATCATTTTCCAGGGAAACGAGGGTGTAATATCGAACATCACGTAAGAGCTTTTTTTTACACACGTGCCAAGCATATTCTCGAACATACGTACATAATTCAAATAAACGCTTCATTAACTTACTTATTTGTTGCCAACGTCGTAATATATCAATGATCTCTGGTCGTAAAATGTTTTCTACCGGAAGAACGTTATTCAAATGCTCTTGCAAGGATGTGTTAATTAAGATGTACAAACAGCTTTTAATTTAATTCAATTTACTGAATTATTCTGTAACGCAATTTCAATTATTTTATAACAGATTGAGGACCATGCTGGCAGCTCTCAAAAACAATTCGTGCAATGAAATAAAAAAATAAAAATAATATTATAAATCGTGTGGAAAGTGTTACACTGCAATGATTAAACCATTAGTTGAACCTAATAATTCCATGAAAATGTATTCTAGAAGGTAATAATTGATATTAATAAATTCAATGTTATATCTTCACCTGTGCAATTAATTTGCCACTTTTTGAAAAAAAACTCTGCACGACATTCATGATCCAATTCGATGCTCATATCAGTGTCTTTATACACACACCTAAACACTCGAACGTGAGTATCACTAATTATTTTAACTTAATGATATTGAGTTTTTCTTCCTTGTGATAGAGGTAGCAAATTAGAAATCAATTGATGCGCATTGAACTGTACAAATCATTTAACACTACACAGAAACACTATTCTTCAGAATATTTTTATCCCTATTCTTTTTATATTTGTTTTAAACTTTCTTTTCGTACAGATATAAAAAATTGTACATTTAAATATACTGCACTAATATTATTAAATTTTCTCTAAAATAATATTATTTTACACGATTCACTAACTACTCATTTAAACACTGATGACGATTTTAAATGTTTTTAAAAATATCAAATATAAAATAACATTCACTGATTTCTAAATTACTTATAGGTAATTCCTTTAAAAAAAAACTCCGTGCTTCACTGATAAACTGTGTTAAGAAGATGCAAATGTATATGAAACAACCCGACAGCACAAGGATGATGTTCATTTGATTTCTAAGCGTTTTACTGTTACGACAGTTCATAGAATCGTTAGCGTGTCCTCTAACGACGACCAGAATCGAGCGCGTTCCTCCATCGACTGTTGACTGCACGTGGTGTACACGTAATGCAACAATTGCAACGAACACGAATTGTTTATGCGTGGTCTTGAGTGCACGTATTTCTTCGTTGTTTGCGTTATTCGCTCGTGATCTCGCAAGTTAACGAGCTACTCGCCGTGATACACTGCATTCATTATTTTACATCTCTATTGCGAGATCGTTTAGCGTGCCGATGACGCATTGCGTCCGATGAAATGAAAAATATCTCGACACAATTTGAAAATATTGATGATTTTTTTCTTTCTCTGATGTAACACAGTGAGATACGTTACGGCGAACAATTTTTATCGATAAAGTCAAAATGGTATTATGGTCTTATCACTATGCTAAAGAATAAACATTAATTAACAATGTAAATCTGTTAATTCCTTTTTAATATGTTAAGTGCTATATTAGTAGGAATTATTTGAGTTTTCTAATGGTAACAAACAATCCTAGTATCGTTTGAAATAAGACACATAGCTACTTAATGAAACGAAGAGATTTTAATATGTAAAATTTATTTGCAGAAATCAGTGAAGAATACTGGAACATAACATGGACATGAAGAAACTGTTAACCACTTCAAAAATTGCAAAGATAAAAGGCAATAAAGTAAAGGTAATAATGGATATGTAGCTAATTACTACGTACAGTTAATGAGACATTAAACTTACATAAATTAAATACAAGAATAATGCAGAAATCTTGCGAATGACAACGGTATAATACGATAAAAGTGAGAGTAAATTGCGTAAAATATTAATGTCTGCAATTGGCAACTCAATATTAAGCATAATATTAAGCTTCTTTGTGTCCTACTTAAATAAAATTTATATGCATTATACCTGGCAACCATTTTTGTCTTACCTGGTACGGTGGCCATATGCTGTACGCTTGTACGTCTCTCCAGCTGGGCATCTCCAAGCCAGAAGCATTTTTACTGTCATCCTCCGCCACGATGATGGTATACGAAGTGACAGCCCCGTTTTGTTCACTGAAGTAGTTCTTTCTAAATCGTATTTGAATCGTGCTACTACTTCGACAGACCTCGGTAGGCACCACTTGGGTCGGTGGTTTCGGAGGTGCCAGGATGGGCATCTTCTGCTTCCACACTGCTTCTGGTCCGAAACCAATTTTCGTCTGCGCTTGGATACGGAAGATGTACGTTTTGCCAGGTATGAGGGTTCTAATGACGCCGCGGTACTCGTTTGGTCTGAAGTCCTGCATCTGAGTGTGTGCTGAACCCTAATAATAGCAAAAGCAGTCATCGTTTCAGTTCGATCTGGACAAGTTTATGTAGGTGATACACAGTAGTGGACAAAATAATAAAATTTTTGTTTTTCTCTTAACACTTTTTGTAATCAGTTATTAAATGAATGTAGTTAATTTTTGTGATTGAAGCAAAAAAGAGAATTTCAAGGACTTTCAAACCACCAATTGGTAATGCGAATCTTTTTTTTTTCTTTTTTTTTTCAATTGAATAATTAGAAAGTAGATATCGATACCTAATATGAACAACATTGTAATTTTATTACGGTGTTTTGCAAGTATTAAAATAAAAAATCTTTTTTCTTTTTCTAGGAACCATGCCTGTATCAGGTGCCGGTACATATTTGTTAATAGATAGTATTAAACTGTAAATTGTTATTGTGAAATCCAACGAAAAAATAACAAATTTATATTAAAAAAATTGATAAGATACTTGTGTAGCTATTTTTAAGAAACGTTAATCGTTAAATTCAGATATCAAAAGTGTTATTCTGCGATCCTTATATGTCATGAGGTCATGCTAAATGAAATCGGTCGTTGTTTGCTATAACTGGCAGTTATAACTCATTACATTAAGATCGTTATAATGAAGGGTCTGTGTAGTTATATTATCAAGCCTTAGGCTTCAAATTGATATGACACAAGTATTATTTTATCATCAAACCCATTATCCCATTTTCATTACTTTGCTCGATACGCGTGTAATTGAGCTTACTTCCAATCCATAAGTGATGGTATATTTCCTGATGATGCCATTCTGTTCCTGACTAGGCAAAGACCACTCGAAGCTGATGTCACTTGGCTGAATATCCGTAGGATGAAACTTTTCCACTTTGCCAGGATAAGACTCACTGGTGGTGAAACTAGCGCTCAAAGGATTCGATATCCTGAGATTTGAAGATGCAGTACCAGAACGTACTACAAGCGTAAAAGTGTAATTTCTGTGAGGCTTCAAGTCGGAGATGGTTATCAAATTGACCGATGTGATATTCTGAATGTAATTTCCTTCTGTGTTTATATATTGGACCTCGAAAGCATCGTACTGTCCACGTGGAATGTCCCAAGTTAATGTAATTCTGGTATCGTTGATGTTTACCGCCTGAATCGCTGTTATTGGTTCAGGATCTGAAAGAAAATATTGGGTCAAAAGAAAGTACATTTACATTTGAGGACAATTTCATCTATTAACCCTCGAAAGACAAATGGAGGGTCATTTTGACATGCTACATGTTGTACAATTATAATTGTCATGGGTCAAAGTGATCCTAGATTTCTGAAGGTTCGAAATTAAAGAGGACTAGTAGCAAGAAATAATATTTATTACTTAAAATAAATTATTATTTCCTCCATTGTGTTAATTACACTTGTGAATTGTCTCAAACATCACAATCTATGTAAACTTAATTTTTAATAACAAAGTACCACGTTCTTAAGTGGAATTTTATACAAATGTGCACCGTCTCAATGTACACTTTAATTAAGCATTTATACAAGCGTCAATAAAATAAAATTACACAAGGAATACTAAAAAGTATGCTTCTTAATCGAATCGAGTCTTACCATATGCTTACTTCGATCAATATTGTATTACTCCCGTTTAAGTAAAGAGCTATTGACTATGATTAATTATACTTTTCAATATCACTAGAAAATCAAAAAATTACTTACAAAATTAAATAGAACTTTTTTTATTGTATTGGTATTTAAGTTAAAATAGATGCCACTTATTTTGAATCATCCTCTATACAGTATCGCTCTCAAAGTATCGAAACACACTATTTCCAAACACATTTCGGTTTTTAATCACTATTGTCATTAATTTTTTGCCTTACATAGAAATGAAGAGTGTCTAACTGCAAATGCCTTTGATATTAGTATACAGGGTGTTCCACAACAGGTGGTAGAAAATTTAAAGGGTAGACCACAATAAGACGAAAATTAAGGATCACGAAATACTGCTCGCAATTTTATTTTTTTAATCAACGTTAAAAAATTCATATGAAAAACGCCTGATACTATCAATCTGCACAGCACCAATGATTGAATCTCGGATCAGTAGGCGCATATACAGATATACTCAACAAGTGTCGAATCCAATTGGACAAACTCATCCGATGCGACTTTATTTCATTTTATCTTCTGTTTGTTTTGACTACAACTGTACATGCGCCTCTTAATGCAACATTCAACTATCTGTGCTGTGTAGATCGCTGGTTGCAGGCGCTTTTAACTCGATTTTTAAAAAAACAAAGCGAACGTTTTTTGTCTTAATCTTTAGGATCATCCCTTATATTTTCTCCCACCTGTTGTCAAACGCTATGTATTTTTTCTTGAAAAGTACCTACTAGATACCAAACTAATGTTCAGGCTACTTCGGCAGTGAGGCTTTTGAAGACCAAAGGTTACATTTTGAAAAGAAACAATCACAAATGTTTATCAATCTATTTATTTTTATTTATTTCGTTATTTCGCTATACGTGTATTGTAATATAAATCAAATTTGAATTTCATAGTTTGAAATTCTCTCCATGAATCTTATAGTTTCAGAAACCCACAATGGGTTCAATATATATTAATTCGACCCGAACTGACATTTATTATAATTCCTATGCTAATCGTCCTCGGTCGCAGAATACTCACAAAGCCGATCCTGTTTGACCAATGGCCTGCTCTCAACATTATCGCTGACTGTCCAAACGGTCACATTGTAGAGTTTACCAGGTGTTAGGCCAGTGAACGTCACCTTGGTGTCGGTGTCATCGACCAGCCGTTCTTTCGTCGTGTTGTTCTCGTCGCTAATCCGGAAACGGTACAGATCGAACTTGGACGATTGGATCGGTGTCGGTGTATACCTCAATGTCAAAGAGTCAGGCTGATCTCGATCGACCACCACAACGACTTCCGATTGGATCAGTGGCACTAAATTCGATAGAAACGTGTTTTTTTCTTCTGTACTTTCTTTCCTCATCCTAAACACGTTTCTCTCTTTATCCAAGCTGATTTCAAACGGATCTCTTTCTCAGAATTTTGTATAACATGGGATCATTTTAACCCTTTCTACCCGTTTGAAGTGTACAGCAGTTCTCGTTCATTTTTTTTTTATTATTATTCAATTATAAAATTTGATGAATTTATTTGCAAACCCTTACTACTATAAATTTGGACAATAAATAATTGTCGACTTGAGGAGTTAATTATTATCATCCAACCATTTAATTATTATCATCCACCATAAAAATATTTGTTTCAAAGTGAAATAGAAATTAAAAAACGTAAAGTGGATTTCTCTAAGGAACCTTGTGCAAGGTTATACACTATGACACAAATGTATGATACAACACACAGATTAGTATTCTAAAAATGATAATAATTACAACCAATCAACTCTTTAACACATGTTAGCACTGATGATTAGACAGAGCTCGTTAATGAAACACTTGGATAATTAATTGAAAAAAAGAGAAACGTAGCTTTGGGATATGTAAAAATAATTGAAAATTTCACTTACTTGTTCTGGTTGTTAAATTGGTTACATCGCTAACCAGATTATAAGAAACCGTGTAGATGCTGAATGAATATTGAACACCTGGCATCAGGTCGCTGACCAGCACCTTTTGTACAGTATTCTCGTCAAAGAGAATACCAGTCGCATCATTGCTTTCTGAGACATTTTTTGATCTTATGTCCTCTGAATTCTCTACTGGCCACCATCTTATTACGTAGGTTTCAATTCGACCTTCCGGCCTGGGCCATTCTAGGGTCACGTTCGTAGAGTCGATGACTGGTGTAATATTCAGCACTGGATTGGGCCCTGGAATAGATTTATAAATTATAAGTAGACTGAGATTCATGGACAATTATAGAAATAGCTGAATAAATTTAGGTATTTATTGATTTTATTTAGATTTTATTTTTAGAATTGATTTTAAAATGGCTAACATCATTTTATTATTCTACAAAATATTTTTCTTACAATTTAAATTGAAAATATTTCTGTTTACTTACGAACTGTATGGTTCACTTGAAGCGGATAAAGGCTTTCGACACCGTAACTGACAGTGTTCACTTGAATCGTGTACTTTTCTCCAGCTGTCATATCCGCCACTTCCGCTTCCGTTTCGCGTACACTGGGCAATTTTACCCATCTGGGATCGTCTTCAGTTCGATATCTAATCGAGAATTCGGAATACAACGAATCTGTAGGGGCCTCCCAGTGAACAACGACGGTATTGCTTGTCACCCTTTCGATGCTTAGATTCTTTGGTGGGTGGGGTACTGAAATCAAACGATTAAGTAAAATAATATTAGTAATCGATTTCTTTTACTGGACATTACCAGAAACATTTAAGTCACTTACAAACGGCTTGAAGATAATCATGGGGTTCGCTTCTTAACCCATGACTAATGGCGAAAACTTTGACTTCGTACGCTGCACCCGGATAAAGATCTCCCAAAACGATATGGGACTCCGTGGTAAGGGTAGTGGCGCTCTCTCCAGTGTCGTTCCTATTGAGCGTCACTTCGAACTTCTCTTGCCTCGAATTCACGTCGCTTTTCCACGAGATATTCAGTCCCGTTTCGCTGGGTTTCAAATCTTCGATTATGGGACTGGAAGGTCGTGTGACTTGGTACAGAATGGTCTCGTTAGACTCGACCTTGTTGCTGATGGCTTGCACTATTATCGAGTAATTTCTGCCAGGTAACAATGCTTCTAAAGTCACCTGGAATTAACGTATGAATATTAAAAGATTTTCAAGTATCTTATTCTTTTTTTTAAACAATATATAAATTTTTTCAAAAAGAAGTTACTTTGACAATAAATAAAAATATCCTCTTAATATAAACTGGTTTATAAATTATAAGGAAATGACTAATAAAAAAATTGTTTTCGATCAGAAACGTTAAGTGAAAAAAAAATATGTGATTCTTTCCAAAGAATTCAATTTCTGAAATTACGTATATATCAAGAATGATTTAATGTGTCTTAAATGTTCAAAAATATTTTTCAAAGAAATATGAACAAATTTTTGCAAGTGTTTATGAAAATAAAATTGTGTAGTTAAATAAAAGAAGAGTAATAACTTGTGGAATTCTTCATTTTCGTAGGTTCCTTATCATACTATGAACTCTCTTTCAGTCATTTATGACTCATTTGTCATTTTGAATAGTACTACAAAAGATGTAATGAATCATCTAGAGATAAAAATTAGAATGTCTATATCTTTTATGTGATAAAACTATTGTAAACATTTTCAAATATTTTTTTTTAAGATTATCAAATTCGGAATTTTGAGGTCACTGACAGTCTATAAAAAAACCTTTTACTAATAACTTTCAACTTAGTCATTTTTTATTAATTTCAGAACTTTAAAATTTAATCCTTTTTTGAAAAAAAAAAATATAATTGGCAACACTCAACCAATTTCCGATTTCAACATCTAATTTAATTTGACAATTCTTTTTGAATTCTGAAAAAATATTTTTTTGTTTAACACTTCTTTAAAAATGATTGAAAGTAAAGACATTATTCATTCGTATTTTAGATAATTCATACTGTGCAAATTACAAAAATGACTTAATATTATCACTCTTATTAAAAATTTTATTCTCAGCATGTGAATTTATACATCTGTAACAATACTTACTTTAGTCTTATCAGTTGTTAGAGTATTGCTATCACCGCTGATCGTTGTTTCCACCTCGTGATACTGAAGCTTGTAACTATCCTGAGTGCTCGAATTTTCAGGATGCCAAGAAACTTCGACCATCCCAGTTTTTTCATCGATCACAGCACGGAGATCACGCACTGGTAGTGGTTCTAAAACATCAACAAATCATTACTTATCAATTGCGAATTCATTAGAATTTTGAAAACCTGGAATTTTGAAATTTTTAAATTTTTAGGATCTAGTGTTTTGGAACTCTGGAATTCATAAAATCTGAAATTTCGGATTTTCTGAATTTTTCGATTTTAAAAATTTTGAAATTCTGAAATTTTGAAGTTCTAAAATTTCCGAATCTTAAAATTTTCAAATGGTGAAGGTTCACAATTTTAGGGAGGGACCGATCCAGATTTTTAGGGAAGCCAGATCCACCCTGGACCCTACTTTATAATATTTCTTGAATAATGAGAAAAAAATACTCACTTAAAGTTACGTCGCCACTGACTGGCCAACTTGTCACTTTCCCAGAAACGGTTTTCAAAATAACTTGATAAGTTTTTCCTGGTTCCAAGTCTTTGAATTCCCACTTAGTCTCGTCATCCCTGTTCCTGGTAACCGGCGCTAGTCTTCGGTTACCCCCTAACGATATTTGATATTTATCAAATTCGGACATTCCGTCAGGAGGACTCCAGAAGACCCGGAAGGAAGTGGACGTTATCGAAGACTTGTCGAACGTAACGTTCACGGGTCTTACTGGCACCGTCCGATATTGGGCCGTTGTTGGGGCTGAAGTCTCATCCTCGGACACCGTGTGCACGGAAATATTGTAGGCTCTTCCTGTAATAATTAAAAATAAATAATTTATACCAAAAAAATAAAGAGCAATATTGTCTAACTAACTTTCAGATCTTAATATTAAATTCTTTTTTCAATTTTTCGAGTTAAAATTTTGTACACTTATTACTATAAGTATTATTTTTAATCTATAAACATTAAATTCTTCTAAAAGCTATCGAAAAAAAATTCTTTTTAATTTATTGCTTCCTCGAACAAGTAAAAATGGATTGTATTTTGAAAGTTTTTTGTGGTAAAATTTACTTAAATTTTAATACTTTTATATTGCTTTCCTCAGTTTTGAAGATATAAAATTTTCATCCGTTTTGGTAAATAACTTACCCGGAACGAGTCCCTTGAAAGCAGCTTGTGCTGGCCCAGGGGGTTCGCCTTCTTTTTCCACATAAAGAACGGATTCTATGGCATCAGGAGGATCTATACTAACTTTGTAATGGGTATAAATCCCAGCAGGATAAGGAGGCTGCCAAAGGACCAATAAAGTCGTTTCATTCCTAAACCATACGATAAACTTTCCAGGTGTGTTGGGTTCTGTAAAAAAGAGGTAAATATGTGAAATTATAAAAAATAATTATGATAAAAAATGCTAAATCTAATTTTTCAACAATAATTCCAAAAGTTACCATTTTGAAATCGACTAAACCACTTTTTAACTGTCAAGAGCAGGAGCACGATTTAAATAAACGTCTCGAATATTTTTTTGTTGCAGTTCCAACACTCACTCCGTTTTTAAACTCATAGAACATAACATGACGAAAATGTAACTTTTCATTTTCCATTTTGAATATTAACCCTACACACATTTTTTAATTAAAAAAACTTTTTCTTAAGGTTATATTGGCTCACGACGAATTTAGATAACTGTCACTAAATAATATTATTATAAAAGAAATATTTTTTTCACTCGATTGCAAAGTTTAGAGCTTACGTCATAATACCAGTTACGAAAACGTAAAAAAATTGTTGGAAATATTAAACCAATATTAACGATAAGTATAATTATACACTTCTAATTGGCGATTTATGAATTCGTGCTAACGTAATATCAACTTTCAGCTGACCAACTACTTCAACTATGAACTCAAACACAGACGGCTGTCTACTAAATATACGAATTCTCAATGGTATTTCAAAGTTGTTTTAAACGAAAAAAGTTTATTTTATAGTTTCCACTTCTTTGTGCACAAGTAATTACGAGTTTCTCATTTATGCAATGAATTTTGCTGCACTCTATACAGGATGCCACGTAATTAATGCAAGCAGAGACAAGTACCTGTCGTAAAAATATTAATTGCAAAATAACTGTACATATCCACCTTTTGAATTTTGAAATTGTTCCCAATAATGACTTAAACCTCTCTTAATTCCACATACATATTTCATTTGGAACTAAATTCCTGACTCTGCGATGAAAAAGTAATCAATTTCGCGTTAAACGACACCGAAATATTTCTTTTATGCTGACACAAAATATCGGAATAAGCAATCTCGTTCACTCACTTGTGGTGAAGTTTCTGCTAGTGTAAGCAACGCTTTCTTTGGTGTCCAATACAGTGAAAAGTTGTAAGGAATACGTTGCCCCGGGGATGAGATCACGAAGCAGATAGGGAACAGCATCCGCTGAGATGACGCTTGTTTTTGGGTTTCCGGTGTCGCTGAAGCTTTGCACCCTCAACCGGAAACCGGAATAATTGCCCTGAGCTGGCGGTGCCCAATAGACTATCGCGTTTTTTCCATTTCGTACCGAGACGGTCAGGTTCGAGGGTGGATCCGGTGCTGTAAAATAAACCCCATTCAGTCTCATTAAAAAGAACTCCTACTTCTTTTATTCGAAGTAATTAACCGCTGGAATTGGTAATTAAATAGAAGTGCAATTAAAGATAGAATTCATAATTAATTTTCATGTTCATTGATATCTCATGTCAATGAATGTAACAAGGTATAGGATACAACTTTAATCTTAATTCTAATAAGTTAAAATAATTATTAATAATCTGCTTCTATTTAAATTTATGGCATTGATATCATATGATTAAAACTTAAAAATGACTAAAAATAACTGAATAACTTATAATTTTGTAATGCTAATGCATAATTAAATTCAGCAAGTGACGATAAGAATATATGTACATACAGGTGCAAATATTAATCATTAATCATTATTACAAGGTAAATGCTTCAAGTTTACCAACTATGCTAACTTCGTTCAAATGTCAATATAAACTTCATAATGTTAAGTCAATAGTGTCAATTATTTCTTACGTACGTACTTTACGCATAAGGTTTCACATAAAACATGTGATATCACCCACTTCTATCAAACCTATGAATGTATAAATTTTCACTTATAAGATTAAAGTGTGTATTAAATATTTTTTTTTTATTCGTAACTTTATGCCAAAATAACATTTGGGGAGTTGCCATGAAAGGGAGGATGTTCCTTTTACAACATACCTGTGGTAATAGAGGCAGTCCACGTGAGCCAGTCATGAAGGGTGCTATTACTATAATACAACCAAAATTCGTATTTAGTGCCAGGAAGCCCATCTTTGAACTTAATGACATCACCGATGTCGACAGCTGCAATGGTGGTATTTGGTGGTGGGTAACCAACTGGAGGGCTGTAGTCTAAACGATACCAAGAGCCTCCTTGGCTCAAATTCCCTGGTATTTCAATAGCAAGGTCCGCCGAATACGTAACCTGAGCAAAACGACAAAAGGAAATTAAATTAAAATTCATTTCAAAATTCTACAACTTCTGAATGATATCTACATATCATTTTTATTAGCGGTAGAAAATTTACCATTATTTTTAAAAAAGGCTTTTATTATTTATTTTATTTATATGATAAATATAATTTAGTTTGTAGTGTTTGCTTGATGTGATCATAATTACCCACTGTTTAATTACCTATACGTATGTATATTCAGACAAGAAGAGTAAAAAAGCATGTTTTTTTAATAAATGAAAAATTCTTATTATTTCTACAAATAAATGATTGGAAATTGGATATTCGCTAATGGAAAATACTAAACTGCAAATTAATTAATTAATTATTTATTCCAATGTGTCAATCTAAAGTCATTCAACCGAATCAAACTGGTCAACCTAAACTTCAAATTGATATGGCGTAAGTATTATTTTGCGATACCATTATGTCATCAAATCATGTAAGACTTTCTATATTTCGAAATCCGTCATTTAATATGTAACAACCTAACATTTTGTCCAGCAGTGTGTAGCTGCTTAAACTTCAAATGTAATTGTATTATCAGTGACCTAATACACGTGAAACATGTTGCGTTACTTTTATGCAATTGAAGCGTGCATGAAATGTCACAGAAATTCAATCACGCTCGATTTCCGGTTATTACATACACGAGCTGTTCTAAATTTAAATGCTCATTATTAGACAATTTTTTTTTTAATATAAGGTAAGTTGTACTAATTCTGGCACTGCGCTAATTATTGGCACTTTGAATTTAAACCAGGATTCATAAGAATCGCATGCAAAATATTATTTTTCCCACAGAATAATACTTTAAATTTCTATGGTTTATTATTTATTTCCAATTGGTAATATTGACAAAAAATAGAAGATATATATTTTAGTATTTTTAAAAATTTTCTGAACGTCTAAAATAATAAAACGACCCAGTTTGTCTAAGGAATGTGAAAAACTATATTTATCTATGGAAGATTAACTTTGAAATGCTTTATAATTTAAAAATGCATATCGCACGAACGATATCTAGAATTCTATTGCTTCCATTCCACTGAATAACCAGTATAAAATCTCGTCAGGACGGAAATCGAATTGTATCGATAACCTCTTTATGAAAGCAGTATTGTGCTTGATAAAATCGTAGACGTCGAAGCGATCGTTGCACAAGAGTCTGTTATGGGTGTGCGTTCTACACAGAGGAAATGTGGCATTTCTGTGTTACGATATTGCGTATCTGGATCACAATACAACGACACGCGACCAGACGAGGTCGCGCTCAATGGCAGAGAGGCATAAACCTTTCTGGTATGTATTTATAGTACACACGTTATAACACTATGATGAACATTCATTCTTTGAGTCGGATAAATTATACGGTAGAGCTCTGATTATCTGAGATACCAGAATGACCCTGGATAACAGAGGCCAACCGAAACATCACATTATCGGAATCTGATTAACCCTCATCCGGTCAAGGGAAGTCTAATGGACCTTGAAAGAAGTCTAACACACCTTGTTTGCATAATCCATTTAATCCTGAATAGAACTAGTTAAATACTTTTCCAAAAAATTCTGAATATTTACGAAAATTTATTTTAAAAATAAACTAGTATTTATCAAGGCTAGATATTACCCTTACGACCCTGATGGGCCGTAGAAATAGAATAAGTTATACACTTGCTGGCAATAATTAAAAAATATGACAGTGTAATAATGTATAAAAATATTACAATCTTAATTATTTAATTTTTTATCATATATTAAATAAGCAATTTTGTTTTTAAAAAAATTCATTCATGAAACTAATATTTCAAAGAGGTACAAATTACGAGTGCATGAAACAGCGTAAACCTAAGCCAAGGTAGAAAGAGGTTTTTATTTTGTTTTTCTACCCTCTTGCACGGCCGTTAGCGCGGCGTCGTTAAAAGTACGAAACATCATCAAAAAGGCAGAAAACCTTTGAAGAAACAAAATTGAAAGCGTTACCCTCGCACGAGATTTCTTCTAATTTCGCTTGTCAGTTCGCGAAACGCGACGCGACGCAAGGGTGGCGCGTTCCTGAAACGAGCACCCATCGCTCGATGTGAAACTTTAACGGTCTGAAAGTCTCTCTCGAGCCACGACCGCGTTTAATCACCGGAAATTCGCTTGGTAAATAATTCCTAACGCGAGCTGAACCTTTCTGTTATCCATGCTACGAAATTCGAAGCTGAAAGATTACGGTACAATTTCGAGCGATTCAATTTTGAATTATTTCGAGACAAATTTGAACAGATATAATTGAATATCTATTTCAAATATCAGCACAGAATGCTATTTTATTCAAAATTTTCAGGACTTTCAGTGTCATCAAATTTCAAAGTGTAATTTTAAATAATTCAACATGGTACAGTCTGGAAGGTTTACATAGTTATCCCATTGTTCTTTGTACAATTAGAAGTTCCGATGGTGGTTCGTGACGTAATGGTGGCCGCGGGGGTGTACGGCAGCTGGAAAGAGGCGCGACGAAGAAAAGGGATGATGCGAGGAACTCGGGGAGCTGAAGGGAGACAGCGAAGGGAAGAGGGATCGATATGCACATCAGCGTCGCGACCGGATGTAGGAAGAGAAACTCGAAGCTTCCGCGCGCATAGGGAGGGGTGCAGGAAATGTTTGGAAATGGAAAAACTTGGATAAGTTATCCTAAAGACCCAAGGAACGGTTGGACGACGCTGAAGTCTGATTTCCGGTGACGAAGAAATTCAACCAACCGCAAAATTGGAATCAGAGTAGAGCCGGAATATTATGTTGATACTTGTTCTTCCTCTTAATGGTTCAACCCTTCTAGTCAAGGTGAATCCAATGGACCCATGTACCTTTTAGGTATATTTCTTTTCTTCATCACAGAAAATTTCATAAAATTATGAATGCAGCAGAGAAAACATTATGGACCAATTCAAGCAGTGGTACTTAACTTTTTTAAAATCACAGATTTTTAGGTAATTTGAATGAAAAGTTCATTAGGGTCTGAATTGTGGGAAATTGCTATTCTACCTCTGCCTCAGTAAGGTAGAAAGTAACCTTACTGCGGAAAAGTTCACCAAAGTTCCGGCATGAATTTGTAAAATACCTTTATTGACTATTCTATTAGTGTCTAAAAATACATAACCGATGGAAACTGCTACTAATGAATCTACCAGCGTTTGAGGTATATAGATATGCCGGGTAATCATGCAGATGACTCCATTTGCGTCTAAGGCGTGGGTCTGTTAAGTAACCTTACTGTTGAGTCCACTTACAGACCCTGAACGAAACGCGTTCCATCCTTTTCCGCAGCTCAATCACTATAATACAGTGCTGTTATTGTATCGTTATTATTTCGTGGCAAGCATTGTACTTTATTTACATGTACGATCCGTTTATAATGAAAGGGACAAATCCATTGTCATCATTAATGAGGTATTTTTATGTTCAATGAAAGTCAAAACAATATGAAATCTGACTTTTTTTTGGAACATAGTTGCTCTTTCTTAATAAACGATGACTGTCTAGAAATACATTGTATCCTAGTTTGCTGGCAAAAAAGATAGGCTAGGTGTGGGTGACAGACAGGATGGCGAAATTGATATCGTTTTTAATATACTCCCTGTCTGGTGCAGCCTGTTATGTTACGGTTGAGTAACGGCATTATAGATTTGCGGTGCGCCTCTTTCCCACGTCTGTCTCACCGCTTCCGGCATGCCGTGTACATGCCAGCAATAGTTCTCCATCAGAATTCATACCCATGAATATCGCCGACCGTGATATTGCCGTGAGACGGTTATCATACGCGAACGAAGAATTGCAATCTTTTTATTGATCTTTATACGTAGATTCGAACGTAGAATACCCTAGAATTCAGACACCCAACGCTCAGTCTCCTGTATTTATTCTGGAAACGTAGCCTTATATTGCAAAATGAAGAATGATCTCTGCATTGAGACAGTATGTAGCAAATAACTGACAGCACGACGCGACGTTTCTAACTCGCAAGGATTATTTTCGTTTGTTTAACGACAATTTCTGTCAACCCAAATTCTGATTTGTGCAATGTAACTTGATCGCTAGAAACTCAGCCGCACCTCGTACATCAGAATGTCTTTGATCTCTTCATAGTATAATGTACTTTCTATTTGGAAATTTGCCAGTAGCTTGTAACCAGAACGCACATATGAATCCTGATTACTATAAAAGTTGTAGTTACCAGTAGTATGAATCATTTTATCGCAAGTAAGCGGTACCTAGGGGAAGTGGCCATTTTTGGGGGTCAAAAAATAGCATTTTTTAAATTTTTCTATTTGATAATAAACAGTATTTGGGGCCATAATACATAATTAAAACAATTTTATAGAAATAAAAGTTCATTTCAATAACTCTCAATAAACCTGGGGACTAAATGGAAAATTTGAATGTTAATTTATCCAAACACCCCGTAGACAGGAAGCATGATGTTTTGTGGTAAGTGCTTTGTGATATAATGTTCGTAATTGTTACTGTACCATTCATGAGTTATATAAGTCACAGGTATCCTCTGACCGGATGAAGGTCGCTGTTAATACTGTCGTTGGTCAATCATTGCGTAATGTTTGCAGAATTTGCATTGCAACTTGTTTGACAAATTATTCAATACCTGCTTTTGAAAATTTTCAATAATATATAAAGACCCGTTAACAGAAATGAAGGCGTGATTGAAGGATTTTAAACATTACCTAAAATTTTCAGTTGTATCATCTAAAAAAATAGAAAAAGATTTCTTAAAGAATATTTTACTATTGATGTTAATTAGGTGTAATTTCCTATAACCTTCGATTTTTTTGAACTAATTCATGAAAGCGTCTACTTTTCATCATGTCTAATTTTTCACCGTTTTCTTCCATTTTAAATTCATGATGGGACCAGGAATTCGATATATGAACGTACGTTCAGTTTGCTTCTGGTTCACGAATGGGTCCCGAAT